CTTTAATCGAGGCATAGAAGTAGGTTTTAGCTATTCCTTTTAGTATTAGGGGAAGTACCTTGTTATATTAGGAGGTATAAATTCCTAGCATTTTATAGTAATCTACGAATACTAGCATCTTCTTTTCGAGTATATCGTATATATCGCTACTATATTTTATATCGTCGGGGTATAGTTTCGCGAATTTTATTAATTACTTTCCGATACGGTCTGTTAACTCGTATAGTTAGAAGTCTATTAACGGAGAGACCGTAGGATATAGCGGTCGGTACGGTAGTTGCTACTATTATTATTCTTATAGAGGAGGTAGCTATAGGGTTAGTTCGACTCTTCCTCCTATACTATTAGCTACTATTGCCGGTCTCGTAATCTCTTTGTAGAATTCGGGGTCTTTTATTAAAGCCTTTAGGTTGCGATATCTCTTAACGCCTTGTTCGAGTTCTTAAGGTGACTAGTAGTAGAATTCTTCCTTTTTAAAGGCTAATGCTATGTTTTTCGAGATTTTCTTACTATCTATTTCGACGTAGACGCTATTACTAATTAAATAGTCTCTAAAGAATCGTAGGATTAGGGGAGGTACGTTCTAGAAGTCTTCTTCTAACTAGTCGGCGAAATCGGGAGAAACTTCGTTCTATAGCTCGAGGCTTATAAGATTCCTCTTCTCATAGGTCTTAAGTAGGAAACCTATATAGGAACCTAGTTGCTATAGGCTAGCGTTTGTAAGGTCGATTGCCTAGTTGCCTTATACTGCTAGATCGATTATACTTTCGATTCTCTATAGGATAGGGACTGTTGATTAGCTTTTAGTAGTAACGCTGCTTATAAGCGATCCTTCTCGTAAATTTCGCTTTATTCTAATAGTATAAAAGGATTACTTCTATTTAGAATCTTAAATTCTAATCCTTAATAGCGTTAGCTACGATTAGTATAAGATATAGGCTTAGAAGTAGGAGTTAAAAGACGATTCGGGATATTATGATTCTAAGGGGAAAGAATCGTAAAATCGGGGATTTTCGTTAGTTCGTTGTTTGTTTCCGTTAGCGCCGTTTTTACTAATATTCTCGAAGGGTATAAAGGTATATATAGGTCTCGAATTAGTAGGGAGAGAGTTCTACTATAGATTCTCTCGTAAATCTCTCTTTCTCGCTTTAGGCTTCGCTCCTTACTATTAGGAAGTTTAGAATCTAGTAGATAGTTAGCCTTATAACGCTTATAACTACGTACGTTTCTCCTAAGCTATAGCCTCGGAAGCGTATACGTATAGCTATATAGGCGGATTACTACCGGTAGTCTTTGCTTGCCTTTTAGCGTATTCTTCTTCTAGTAGGGAGGTCTTTTATAGCAGGCGCCTCGCGGTTAGCACCTTGTCTAGGGATTTATTAAGAAACTAGTAAGCGCTTTGTAATTAGCACCGCGCGTAGGGGATAGTTATAGTTAGGGAAGTTGTTATCCCTTATAGGATTTATAAATCTTCGCCTTTATAGCGTAAAGAGGTTAGAAGACTGTCGATTCGGTAGGTCTCTTCTTCTAGTAATTGAAAACGCGTAATAGAACGCTTTTGCTAGCGATAATTAGCTACGATTAACCTTATCCTGCCTAAGGTAAGCGTAACAGTCCCTAGGTTATTCGAATAATCGGATTACTAGTAGATTCGAGGAAAAGAAGCTTTCTTCTACTAGTTTCCATAGATCCTAGTTACTCTCGCTTCTTCTCTCGTTAGTACGAAATCCCTACTTTTACCTAGGCTTAGGTATCTAGTTTAAGAAGTCGTCTCTTCTAGTATTAACCTTGCTAATCTACGGTTTATCCGTAGCAAAGTAGTAATTATAAAGTTAACTAAATTAATAGTAACTATAAGGTTTACTACTAATTAGTATAGGTTTTATAGGGGGTAAAACGGAATTCCGTTCGTTAATAATAAATAATAGTAAATTAGTTCTAATCGATAGTTTATGATAGTTGAAAGTGGTATTGTTGACTAGAAGGTGGGGATATTCCCCCTTGGCCTGTTACGTGGGTCTGGGAGGCTTGGGCCTCTCAGCTGTTACGGCCAGCTAACTGACAGTGGGTTTGTGTTAACAGTAAGCCAGGGATTGACAACAGTAACAGTCGTTCTGGGGTCTGGTCGATTGAATCGTAGATCTTCAAAGGTCTTGGTGATCAGTCAAGGCCTCAACAAGAGTCGTAGAGTAGTCGTCACTTAGGTATAGCTGAAAGTACCGGTTAGGGTAATCACAAAGTTGATTGCTGAAGAGCTATGGAAGTCTGTCCTCGAGCCCGGCTCGAGTCCATCCTATATACAAGTCCTGAACGGTCCTCCTTATCTTGGCTATGTTGGATATTTGACATATCCAACATATCCGGGGATCGGTTGGATATCTGACATATCCAACATATCCAGCCCGGGTTGTCCCTACCCCGCGTTATCCCCGAGGCCACGTGACTTGTCCATAGTTCTTCCGTTCCGAGGATCCCTGGTTACACCTGTCGGCTGGGTTACATATGCCCTGCGTTAGCCGCCGGGATCCAGGCGGGGTCGTGTTGGCGACCATGTCCAACGGGTCGTAACATCAGCCTGGCGGGCGTGTGGCTGGAAGTGCTACACGACTCCGTATTCCAACTATCGCAATAGTCACCTTACCCTTGCTCTAATGACAAACTGACTATTTTTAAAGTCATGCCGTCACCTAAAGTGGTTTGTTCGGGTAAAGGATTCGATGCTCAGAGATCTTGTGTTGAAACGTTGAAAATTGATTCTGGCAGCGAGTCTTGAAGTTTCTGTTCTAAAAGGGCGCTGTTTGAAATAGAACCTCGCTAATGCCCTCGAATAATGAAGCTTTGGGCGTGAAGTTATGAGTACGACGGCTGAGATGATGGGATGATGACATGGTGATTATGAAGCGCTAATAAGAGCACAATAATGCTTCTTCAACATTATTAAATCTTGCGCGGTATGACGGATACTATAGCAACGAGCTGGGGCACACGAGGAAGCGTAAGATGCCTAGTCTTCCTTGATATTTATCTCTATACATAACTGTACTCTCGCCACAAGCCTTGTACGTCTGTACAGCTTCAATCTCATGGAGGATAAGGCAATCCAACGCTCCTGGTCTGGCCTGACGAACTTTGTGTCCAAGACCAGGGATGTGCTCACTACTGTTAGCAAATCACCTTTCGAGAATTCTACACTTGCAAAAATGCCTGCTCCCTGTGAGGATTTGCACACTGGACGAGCTTCAGCTACTAATAATTGGCTTGATTAGGTCTGAGCTCAGCTAAATGTGTTAACAATCGTTGCTATCGCGGTGTCGCCACAGCTTGCTTAGTCACGTCTAGTGATTAATATTACATCTACTAATAAATCTGTCATAATCTCCAGTAGGCTCTCAATTACGTTCATTCTGTTTAAGTACTCTTGACCTGGTCTCCCACCACAAGCCTGTGCAGGCCCGGAAAAGGCCCCTTGGAAGCTTGGGAACGCAACGAAGTCCGGCCCATCAAGAGACAGAAACTTTGCTAAGGGGTGCCATTGCGTGATCTCAGTTCGTTGGATCTTTCATCTTGGCAAGGGGAGGCGTCTTGGCAAAACGGTAGATGGATCTTACTTTGAGCAGGGAAAGGATCAGGTACCCCCGAGAAGCGATGCGAATAACCGATGTGCAGCTGGACATTAATCGAGGGTTTCGTATAAGGATTTTAGCCAACTGCCGTTGGGATACGCCAGCTCTCGTTTTCACCAGAATCGGAAAACGACCGGATGGTGGGCGGTCGAGAGAGCATGCACGTAGTAGGCTGGACGCAAATAAGAGTATCGGAGCATGGCGGAGTCTAAATAGAGTTTTCTGCTAAGACTCCAACAAGTCACCACTGATCGAGTAACCCCGCCTGAATACACCATTCTGGGCGGATTGTGGCCTGGACCGATGTACTCGTAGGCTAAGGGTTGGGACTAGACTTGCCAGCCGTTCTCGAAGCCACTCTCGAAACACCAAGGGTGAAACATCACAGCGTCCAACCCGGACCAGCATCCGGATGGAGACACGGATCGCGAGCGGGGAAGTTGGTCCGCGACCAGGAGACTCGACACTCCATTCAGAACCACGGACATTATGGCCCTATTATGCTAGATGCACTTTACTAGTCGACTTGTATGCGTGAGAAAGACGGGTGCGCACAGTCCGCTGTCATGGCCACTTGCTGCTGCTGCTGGTCGGCTCCATGAACAGGGAGAAGAAGCCCACGGCCCCATGAAACATGACAACCGACACCATGGTTGCTGCATCTTTCGCTAGAATTGCCCGTCCGAACTCTAATCTCACAAATGGCCAAATGGCGGCGACGCAACGAGGAAGAATGTCAACACTACCCTGCTGTGGCAAGGAAGTTATCATGCAGCCATGCTTGATGGGTGGTGTCCTCCCTCCAAGACGGCATTTGGTCTGGAACCACGAATCGTATTGCTGCTAACAAGAGAAACGCGCACAGATGCACAGATAAACATGCAGGCACACCTACCACTTTCAAAAGTGTCTCTCCCATCTCATCCCATAAACCCCAAACCCCAAATAACCCGATTGGGGCGCTGAAGACAAGAGAGAGCTAAGCGAGGAGAAAGCTTTGTCCCCTTTTCAGACCCCCCTCCTACAACCCTCTTCTAACCCATCTGGCATCTGAAGCAAGACCGGTTATCCTTGATGTGTCAAGACGCAACGGTGAACGGGTTCCTGCGGAAGGGGTTGATAACGACGTTTTCCCCCCCACCACCCGAGGAGGCGAAGCTGGAGGTCCCGTTCCCAATGGTCTTGAATCAAGAAGCCCTTGAGTTCATTCTACCGAAACTCTGGAAAAATTTCTTACATGCCGCCCCGTGTGGCGTCTTGGAGACTCGATATCTCTGATCGAACCTCGAACTAATACCTCAGTCGTCATTCTCGGTTGGCAGATTGGTTCCATGGATTCCTGAGCGGCTGTTACCGATAAAGAATCATATGGTCGGCATGCGGTCATTCACATCACCGGTTGCCTTCTGGGGCTTTGGGTGGATCGTCTTCGCGCTTTCGATGAGCGGAGTGATGGGGGCGGATGGACGAGGCGTCTACCTGGTTGAGCATCGGCTGGTTGAACGGCAACTACCGGACCTGAGCCATATCTCAACATGTGGTGTGAGTAATATGATCCCCTTGACTGGTTTGGTTGATGTGAGCTAACAGATGACGTAGATAAACTGTCTTGTCCAGGGCATTACGGGAGCAGGTTGTGACTTGACAAACACGACGTGTTCATGTGCAAGCTCTGAACTTGGCCCACTGACTGCGAACTGTATACTTGCCAACTGTACGATGCAGGATTCTTTAGGTAAGTTGCCCACGCTTTTCATCTTGGTGAATCGTTCCATATCATTGAAAAACTAACATGATGATAAAGATCTTGCAAAGCTCCAGGCTTCGCAGTGTAACCTACCGCACGAGTCTCAAACTACAAAGATGCTTGCGATTCTTGTTGTTGTCTACACATCCGCAGTAGTAGCTATTGGCCTACGTCTTATTGCAAAAAGCCTGGCCAAGACGTGGAGTATAGACGATGTCTTGATTATAGCTGCGATTGTAAGTTTTACAAGCCTTCCGGGTATGCAAGATCGGAGAGCTAACGTCGCCACCAGGTAATCGCTATCGCACCCTTTTCTTTTGTCATATTAAGTAAGTCACCAATGCTAAATGCAAACGAGGACAGGATGGTACTTACGGTAACCCGCAGTGGCCAGCAAAGGATTCGGGACTCACCTTTACGATCTCCAGCCCGGTGGTTTACTGGAAATCTTGCGCCTCTTGTATGCCGCCGAGATCGTCTATGTTTTTGTCCTCCTCTTCGCAAAACTATCGCTCGTCGTCTTCTATCTTCGAATTTTCACCGTTAAAAAGTTTCGGATAGCTGCCTACTCACTCATCGGATTTCTCGTGGTGGGACAGGTTGTCATCGGCTTCCTTACCATCTTCTCTTGCCACCCCATCGAGCTGTTTTGGAACAAGGACATCCACACTGGCGGTTGCCTTGACATCAACCAGCTCGCATACGCAAACTCGGCCTTGGCCATCCTTCAAGACCTAATCATCCTCGCATTGCCGATAGCTATGCTGCCTGGCCTTCAGATGAACCGCAACAAGAAAATTTCAGTCGCAATCATCTTCCTCCTGGGTTCGGTCGGATTCATCTCTACCATTATCAGACTTCAAGTTCTAGCGGTATTCGGCAGCTCCATCGACCCAACGTGGGACTATGTTCCTGTAGTCTGGTGGACCACTGTTGAGCTTGGCGTGGTTATCGTCTGCGCATGCCTACCGATGATTCGCAATCTTGTAGAGAAATTCTTCCCGGGGCTCAAGCTGTTCAGGTGGACCTCACCAAAGAAATCGAAAGACAGCTTTGGCTCTTCAACCGACGACAAGTCGTTCCAGCTGGGCCGATATCAAAAGTTTGGCCGGAGCCACAGCCCACCGCAGTTCAGCGACAATTACGTACGAGATCATATTGGGGGCCCTCCAATTCCTCCACCAAAGACTGGGGAATCAATAAAACACCGCGACATGCATGCATACGGCGGGCCAAAACCAAAACCTAAAGTCGTCGAACTTCCTGTCGCGGCTCCTCAGCCTTATGACCTTTCATGGAGATCTACAAACCCATACGGGATACCCCCGGACAACCCCTATGGGCTCGGGAAAACAAACTACAGCCTCAAGACTGAAATGTTGGAGAGAAAAGAAAGGAATTTCGATGTTGAACAGCTAGATGCCAGATACTATGGCCAGGCGATTACAAAGGGGGAACACCCTAATCCGGAGCGATGCTCGCATTGCGGAAGACAACGATGCAACGATGTGTAGCGCCTGCGATACCAATTTTCTTAGTAATTGAATAGATACCAGATATTAAAAACCTTGTTTCATCGTTTGCTGTATGATTATCATGGACTAGATGCAGCCATAATTCCCCATGAATGTCAGAAGCAGAGGTTTCAGGCCTTTGTTGAGGCCGAGAGGGTGTCTGATTTGATACCAAAATCTAGGTCTTTAGTATCAAACGGTACCATGACGGCTTCTTCCTTTTTCCTGAAAAGATGATAGAAGCACTGCCAAGGTGCGTATCAAATGTGGGGCAGTGAATGAAGTTATGCATACTACATAGTAATCCATGACGATGACTTACCGCAGCCATATACGCCTCGCTTGATCCAAACCAACCTCTAGGTTTTCAATACCCCGAATTTCTCACCAGGTACCTCATAATCCGCATATATCAGGGAGATACCGCTTACCTATGGCAGCTTTACAAACCCCACAACTTGAGGCACAAATCGACACATAAACTGCCTGGACGGCAACAAGAGAGCTGCATTTCGCACTGACCCCCAAGTTTGTCACGCTCGCACATTGGTAGACCCCTCATCCGCTATTCCCAAACTGGCGCCATCTAGGCCTCATTCGGTTGCATCTTGATCGTCGTGTCGCAGCTTTCGCCTCACAGACTACGTGAAACATGCGCGCACCTTCTACCAGCGTCCATACGCTCGCCCTCCTGATGCTCTCGTCGGTTGGGTGGTGCTGTCAACTCTTCGACACGGAGCAGGAGCAGCAACATCTAGAGAAGCATGGACTTGACTGCGGCAGTTCGACACCGCAGTGTTCGTCGCCGGTTCCGCCGGATTGGACGGAATGGAAGACAGACGATAGGATTGACCACACCATACGCGCACATTGGATGCGACAAGCGAACCTAGCTCTGCCAAGTCCCTGTCCATTCGCGGCATTCGGGTCCGTTATTGTAAACCATACGGCTGGCGGTCTCGGGGAACTGGTGTGTTCCGGCGCGAACAACAATTACCTCTCGGGCAACCCGACGCTTCACGGTAAGCAACCGTATATACATACTACCTGGCCTGTGAAAGAAGTTTGGTTTAATGCTGAAGCTTAAAATATCAGGTGAGATGGTGGCGATCAACAACTGCTCTGCCGTCTTCACCGACCCTCAAGGGCGGTATAAAATGACGCCGGCCGAGTCTCTCGCTGCCTTTGCTGATTTGACGTTGTATACCAACGCTGAGAGCTGCCCGATGTGCGCATCGGCGATTCGTTGGGCAGGCTTCAAGGAGTACGTTTATGGGACGAGCATCGATTCTCTTGTCGACATGGGTTGGGGCCAAATCACCCTTTCCTCAAGGGAAGTGTTTAACCAGTCCTCTAACCTATCCCGCAAGACTGGCTTGCTTGGGCCCGTGTTGACGAATGAGACGGATGGGTTCTTCAGTTGGCAGTTTCGTCCAGCTACCCCATGCCCCAAGGGCTGCTCTCGAAGCACAGATGCCGGCAATTGTGTTCCTGCATGAGCTGCCGACTCGGCACTAGGGCCGCGGAATAGGTATCGTCTTGCAGGACAGTAGCCCCTCCTTCTGAGGCGAAACGATGTAGGCAACTCAAGAGCTTGCTTGAGATTGGGCTTGATACAGTCTGTCTCCCGCTAATATTGAAAAGTTAATTGCCAAGCTTGATGCAAAATTAAACTTTGGGGTATCGTATGCTTTTGCAGTCGTAAACGAGGGCGTTTACCAGATAGTGTAGCTCTCAACGCATCCCTTCCACCTTGGGGATGTCAGGAAATAATATATTCATGCTAGAATTGATTGCCTGTATCGCCTAGTCGAACATTTTTCAGAAACGGCTTTAACACCTCAATAATAAATAGAACAGGAGAAGCTCTTGGTCATCACGATGTAAGACAGATAAATAGTAAAAAGTAGATAGAGGGAAAGCATTCAAAAAATTCTATCTATTGAGGAAAAAACCAAAAATATCAATTCAACAAAAGAATTTGATGCAGGGCTCAATCGGGGATCGAACCCGAGACCTCGCCCATTCACGCTGTGCGCAAGGGATGTGACGAACACAACACCCGAAGGGCGAATCATACCACTAGACCATTGAGCCATCAAAGGTTTGCAGTTCCTATGGAACCGAATGCACTGTGGATGCGAGGGCGGCGAAAATCCAGTACTATGGTGGACACCCACTCAAACCACCACCAGCCAATGCGCCTGCTATCGTGACCTGAAGCCGTAACCCTACATCTTCATCGAGATCAAGACAGAACAAAACACCCTTGAACTTACTGTTTTAGAACAGTCTAACCCCTATATAAACATGTCTGGATCACTTTCTACAGTCTACATTTACTTACCATGAATGCACTATGAATTGAAAAGAGCATTGGCTTGAACGAGATGCCAGCCAAAAAGCGGCCTCCCATGCGTCCAAAGGTATCAATAATCCAAACAAGCAATTCGACTCACCGTGACCAATCTTGCAGAATCTTCACAAAACACAACTCAATGTCCGAACAAATTACTGTTCCATCTATTAAGCGAACCATTACTGGTGCTTTTCTGGATCAGCGTGGCATCGAACACCACAGCGCTCGTGCACACGCTCGTTTCCCCATAGTTTCTCCATCGAGAAAATAACCTGCGGACCCAGCTCTGGGGTCGCCAGGTCTTTGGGACCGTGGAGAGCATTTGAGAAGATGCCTTGGCGGAGATCATACTTGAGTTGTATCGCCACGTAGGAATGCGAACGAAGAGCTCTCTGTCTCATCATCCGTAGGCTCGTGGTATATTTCACCGATGCCGATGGGCTTCGGCGATGTCGGGAAGTCGGCGACCACGTGCACAACTTCTCCAACGCTAACTCAGCGGCGTCAATGAAATGATTCAATCTTATCGAGAACGTAATTCTCTCGGAACCATCCGCTAGCAGCAGTGCGGTTGACTATCCGGTCCCCGCGGGAAGCTGGAACCACATCACGCCCCTGTTCGCGCGTGTTGTTCGATATGCTTGGTTGAATTACGGCAGCAGTGGCAAATTGTTCACTCGCGCTTAATCAACTTAGCCGACCTTCATATCACCGCAGTGGGTTACCTTTTTGAAAAAGACCACGGAGAACATACTACTACTAGTAGTTGGCACGGCTCTGACCCGACCAAAGGATCGGATCAACGTCCTCCCACATACCTTGGCCGCTAGGATTCCCGAAGACGAGAGAAACCATATCCCTGTTCAAGCATGGTATGTCAGACTTGAACAAGGGAGGCCAAACTCGGTCCGTGATGAGAACCTTGTCCTGGCATGTTGGCAGCACAGATGAACCCATGAGTAACAGTCTTAGCGCTGGACTTTATAGCCCTATGAACTGTTAGCTTCTGAGCTTGTGCCAACCTAACTGAGACAGGATTGATTAATAAATCCTGTTGATATGAGCGCTGATCGCGGCATTTGCGATGTTGTTGCGCAGATCTCGTCAGGGTTGCCCAGGCCACAGGGTCGGTGAGAGCGATTCGCTGCCAACACTCAGAACGCGGCCTGATGCGCCTTGCAACGCTTCGCCAGGCGCACTTGCGACCGTATAAATGCTTGCAATACGACCCTAATCTTACCCTGACGCCCGAGCGCCAAGGAACTGGAACTGCAGGTACTGGTGGCTCCTTGAACAAGGTTCATGACTAGTGCACACAATCAGCAACAGTAGTCGTCGTGCCACTGCTCAACGCCAACTGAACGAACTGAGCATCACCAGAGGCTTTAATTGCCATGTTTATATAGGACTTCGTCCGATTTCTCTTATATGGTCCCTACCGGTGAACTTTGTCACCTTTACAGAGTTCCTTGCTGAGCACATCTAGAAACCAAGCAGTCACAAGGAGGATGCCCTGTGCAACACATGGAATCGCCCAGGTGCAGTCGAAGCGGGGATAGAGTTACGAAAGTGGAATATCGTGAGCCCCTTCTAATAACATGGGGGTTTCTGGGTGGGTTTTGTCTCCCACTTCCGGCTAGGTAACCTTGCGCAACAGCAGGGCTTCAACTTCTCAGATTGCTTTCTTCCAGGATGGTGGGCAGACAAGAGCGCTCAAAAGGGGCGGCCTGCCATCAAAAGCGAAGGCTCAGTCAAACTTTGTACGGCCGGCTGCCCGTCATGCCTCGATTGAGAAGTGTATTGACTCCAAATCGCGATTACTCGTGATGTTGTTGCTTTCAAAGCCCTGGGCGGCGCTCATGCTGGCCAGCGTCTTTTATCCCACGACGAAGGCCGACGACTGTTCTGTCGACCCATTAGTTTTACCCATAAAAGTAAGAAGAATCGCGAGTCATTTCGTCACTTTTCACGCCTCGTTTGTTATTCTTCTTTTGGTGTCGTGGTGGGTTTGGTTGGCTTGTGTGTTCGTTTGGTATTGACTTCCTCTCCCCGCAGAATGTTACCTTTCCGAATGGCATCGGTGCCAACCGTGGCGTCAAGGTCACACTTGGCGGCCAAGTGCAGGGCATGCGAATGTCGACCATTTTGAACAACACACGAGTGAGGAATATCTTGGACTGTCCGCAACAAGACACATTGGCATTTGTTGGCTGCCAGGGAGCATCTGGTAGTGTGTACGACACAACCAAAGGATCTTTCAGTCAGGTATTGAACCTCAAGGACTGGAATGTCACGTATGTGTCACCTTTTTGAGCGACAGGGCCGGTGGTTTTGCTTACTCTTCGCACAGAACGGTTGATGCGCAGCCTGCTGATGGCATAACAACGGTGCTTCATGGATACGAAACTGCCAACTTCACAGACGGCCCAGCTGTCACCTACGGATATCCTTTCGAGGTTTGGGCAGATTTCGACTCCATGAACAAAAGCGCCTTGGCCCTTGGTCCTGATTCTTCCACCATCAGCCTCCTTGTTAAACAGAAACACGCACCGACCTCTAGCTGGAGTTTGGATTATGGCTCGACATCAGAACTGTACCCTCGCGACGGTCAGATTGTCTTCGGCGGCCTCAATGAAGCACGATTTAACGAGACGAAAAAAACCGAATTCAACATGTGGGGAGCAGGGGCGCCTGTAAACTGCCCTCTGCAGGTTCTTATCGCTGATATTATTCTAACTAACGACGACGGCGACCATTCCCTCTTCACCGACGTGGGCACCCGAGTATCTGCATGCATCGACACCGTCCAGAATGATTTCACATTCACGCCGAACATGTTCTCCCGGTTCCAAAACTTTACGAACCACACTTCCACCATCAATGGCTCTACCTTTGGTCAATCTACCTACCCGGCCAGTTTAGAGCCCAAGATTGGTACACTAACCATTAAGCTGACAAATGGTTACACCACCGTGATTCCTCACTACGAGTTGGTTACCCATGAACGCGGCACCGACTCTCGCGGCAGATACGCCGTGACAAACAACACACATATCAGCGCAACAGTGAGCTCAGGGATGAGCGACCTGGGGAACAATGTGCCTATACTTGGCGGTGTCTTTCTTTCTCAAAACTACCTACATGTTGATTACCAGGCAGGCAAGTTCTGGCTCAGCCCACAAGTTGCAAACGGCACTTTACCAGACCACATATCAACATCGTGTAACGGCACGAGCACGGGCAGCACAGGCGGTTCGGCCTTGGGCCTGAAGGTTGGCATTCCTGTAGCAATCGGTGCGGCTGTGGTGTTTCTGGTCGCTCTCTGGTTCTGGATGAAGAATCGCAAGCGGAACGTTAACAACTCTGTCGCCGGGGCTTCCAGGTCCATCCCCCGATCAGAGAAGCGCGACGCACCCGATTCCAAGTCATCCACGACTCGTTTCGCCGGATATCCAGCCGCCCACCACGCCAATCCTGACAACCATATGGAGCTCGAGGGCGACCTCGCGACAAGACCAGCAGAGCTGGAAGAGCCCGCTCCGGCGTATTCGCGGGCATCAGAATGGCCCCGTATGAACTCCATCCAAGGAGAGAATATGACATATTACCGGCCATCAGCGCGAGAAGAAGAGCACGTGGAAAGCTACGAACTCGCTGATACTTCCCCGAACCCACCACCAGCCGCAGTACCACCACGTCCGCCCCCAAAAAGACAGGACACAGCGGTATCGGCTATGAGTGACTCATGGACGCAAAGTCCGACAGCACTGCAGAAGCAGATATCAAATTTTAGCGACGTTGTGTCGCCGACAAGTACTACACGGGCAAACAGCACGAGACGAAATCCGCAGTATTCTACTACATAACGTACCAGATAGACGAATAATGATAATTCACTCTTTGAAGCATGAAACCTATTTGATGAGCCTTTCCTGTTTTGTATTACATGCTTGATGTTGTGCGTGAAGCTTTGCAAATCGACCCAAGCTTTGAAATGTATGCCTTGGCTGTTTCTTCTGGTTTAGTCATTGCTAGATCACACCTTTCAAAAGAAATGCCAAGATCCTTGCCGAACCGTATACCCCTTATAAACTTGGCTGGACTTAGCTTTTATCGTCTGGAAGACTTCTCACACGTACTTATATCTGCCGGTTGTACTTCATAAGAATGGTCATATTCTTTTATTCATAGTCTGATGTGCTCTCAAAGCCATCCTAATATCTTTCTCGTTGGTACAATGCAGATTCTACAGCCACAAATACAATCGTTCCCAAAATAACGCAAGCAAGTGTTAGCATTGCTCGGCTTTTCCCTGACTGTCCGACGACTACTGCAATCAACACAGCAGCCGTAGGTATAAAGAACCAGCTTATCGAACGGCTGATGTAAATCAATGTTGCAAATCCGGCGAAAACCAGAAGTGTTGTGAACCACCATTTCCTTTCAATGACCCATCCCCACAGCCCTTTCCACAAACCATACATTGCTGTTGCTTCTTCTCTCTCCAGCTGGATGCTTCCGCCGCGGAGACGCTTCTTGATTTCTTCCGAAAGTTGGTCGTGTGAGAGGTCATTTGGGTTGGTTTCTTGCAGTTGTTTCTGAATAGCTGCCGCCAGCTCCAATACGCCCTTGAAACCCATGGGTTTATCACAGCCGCCCCGCATTCTCATGGTCATGTGTGCTTTTAACCACATGGCGGACACGCCAATGGTCCACAGCACCAATAGGATGGTCATGACAAACAGTTGTATGTAAGAAAAGCCCCATTGATAAGTTTCCCGAACCGAGTCGTTGCCTGCTGCTATCTCACTTACCGGCTGGCAGCTGCCGTAAGTTTCGATATGATTTAGACTATACGTCTGGTTCCCGGGGCTGTAACTATAAGCCAGTCGCTTTTTGTCCAAAAAAGGCATTGAATTTGTTCGTGGATCAGTCCAATTCCGCCCATACAGAACTTCATCGTAGGGCTCTGGGATGTAGAAAGCCGAAATATTTAAAGTCGGAGCTGGGAGAGTCTGGTTCATCCAGATTGATGTTTTATCCTCCAGCCCGAAGAAACCATACTCTTTCACGTCTGCCAAGAAATGTCAGTGTACGCGCTTGCTTGAACAATCTTCAAATCCAACTCACAGTTAGAAACGTTAGCATGCATAAAGCACCTTGTGTTCAAGGGATTCCGCTCTTCCCAGTTTTTCCGAATGCCCTCGTCCCGATACGATGGCTCGGTGACACAGCTCATCGGGTTATAACTGTTGTACCAGGTACTAGGGACATAGTTACCCATAATCTCACCAATCATCTGGTCAACTTCGGTTGTCAGCCTTTTGGAACAAGCGAACTACTGCATAAGGACGCAAAACCTTGAAATTACCTGTGGAAGCCGTTCTGCGAAATACGATTGGGTAGTCTCCATCCAGATTAACTCTCCATCCGTCATGGATGACATAGGTAATCATGTCAAAATCCGAAAACTTCAGCATCTCTCCGTCATATCCGCTCACGAAAGCTTTGTTGTTTGCCAAATATCCAGTCATTGCGCCGCTAAACGTAGGAAAAAGAAGAACGAAGATGGCAACGACTACCATGAAAACCATTGCAACTCGCGACTGAAGTCTATGGGACCGACTGAAGTCACGTATCAAGTACCATGTGGAATACAACGTCGGCTGTTCCTGAAGGTAGATGGCCCAGAAGGTATTGTAAGTTACGGGGCTCATTTCGATAGACGTCGTAACATAGTCGGAAAATATATTCCAGGAGACCCAAGCGAGAAGAGCCTGGCCTCCCCTGCCAACAATCTAAATGAAGTCAGTCGCGAAGTTTTCTCTAATCGACTATTCAGAAGTACTTACCACGTCCCACGCAACGTCAACGAACTTGGCATTTGCAAATGTTAAAGTGCCCCATGCCATGGTGATCTGAAAGAAGCCAGACGCTGCCCAGAAATCATACCGATCGGCAAATATGCTGAAACTGCCATCTGGCTGGCATGCAGAACTCTTTGAGCCAGTCATTATTGCGGGCTGCATAACTATATAACTGAGTAGGACACCAAGCCCGGCAAGCCAGGCTAGGACGAACAACCAGGTAATGGTTGCAATCCAATTCAGTTCTATGAGGTCTGTGACGGCTGCGAATAGAGCCTCCTTCCATGCCCGCTTACTCCATAGTGTCTGGCTGAAGTCTGTGAGCTGACGTGTCACATGCTTGGTTTTACCAGTGGACGGCCTATCTTCTACCAGCAGAGGAGCAAATGGTTTTGTGGTTGCGGTTGCCTCATAGCTGCTGGCCTTTGGCGAATCCATGAGCGAGGTCGCGTCAAGAGATGTCTCGTTGCGGTCCGACTTTGAAATAGTCATTTTACACGATTCCTGTCATGATATCGCGTAGAGTAGTCGATCGCGTATTGCTGAAATCCAAATCCAAGTCCTTTCTAGCTACAAACAAATGTACGGTGCCGAGGGGTGCCTCAACTTGGCGGACGTCCATCCTTTATGGCGGCGGGAACGACCCGACCCTAAAGTTGAGTGCTGCCTGATGTAACTAGAAAGGGGGATTGCTGCAATTGTAGCCAGGCGTGCCACATCGATGTCGACGTAATACTTGTCAGGAATGTGATCCTTGGTGCGCTAGTGCGGCCCTGGTTTGCCCCAATGCATGTGCCACTGCGCCGCATTCCTGAGCGCCTTTTCGCCTCAGAGTGTCTGCCAGAGACTGCAAGCCGGTTTTGACGTCTGTAATAGGTGAGGATAGACACTGAAGTTGCCGATCCGGGATGGTCGCCACATACCTTAGGTATCGTTAGAAATAGCTTCGCGGCGCAGCACTGACTGACTGGCCTACCCTACCAGCCCTGCGTATGGTGTCCCTTGGTAGATCGGTCCTAATCACTCAATTGTGTTTGATTTGTAATAACGATGTCGCTCTGGTAGGGTTCTCAATTCTGTTATCAATCTCTACAACCCGCTACACAATCAATCTCAATGCAACCCATTTCAATTGCCAGCCTTTCTGTTCCTGAGGCTCCATTACATTGTGAAATTGACTGAATATTAGAAAACAAACCGCGAAAAAGTTTTAATTTATCTGCTGGCACAAGCCAATGCTGGAAGCCCGACATTTCCGTGATCGGCACCCCATATTTGGAGGATTCGAACCCTTGTACACACATCACATCGCAATCCAAAGTAGGAACCAGAGCTAAAACCTGGGGGCCTGAGCTTCCATATTTGCCTGACATCAACACCAAGCATACGATTTGTTAGTCCTTAAGGACACATCAAGCTACGTTACAACACAAGGTACTAAAGCTTGCAAAAACTAATTCTTGGATGTTGAATTGGTAAGCGATTAAACGGGCCTTTGATCCTTGCTACATTGGCGCTTGTAGTAGTATCATTACCTTACCCAATCCGAAACTACCTTGCCAACAAGAGCCCATGCTTAGAGCAGTCGATTGCACCTTTAGCATACACCATCCTCACGGGGAGATCCTCGACTGGACAGCACCTTGGCCAATAAGCTTGGAACTCGTGTTTCGGCAATTCATCAAAACTTTCAGGATGGATGACTGCGAGGTATGGATTTAATTAAGGCCATCTAGTTTATTCTCTCACGTCAACACCTCACAATCGCACGAACCCCGGACGGTAGTTGAGCTGAGACACATTGGGATCTCCATCATGACAGTCTCAGGAACAGGCGCAACAAACAACATGGATAAGGGCTTGTAGTCAAACAGCATATCCTCACATTGACAGCTTGAAGTTTGCACAAGTAAGGATCGGTTTAATTCCGAAACCAAAGATTATGAATAGACAAAAGACGTGTTAATAAAATATATTACTTGTTAATCGTAAGTCAGATATTCCTAAAACGATTGTTCCTGTGATGCCAGACGACTCCAGACTTTTCAGATCACTTTCAAGCTAGATATTTCACTCAAGCCGAGTCCTCAGCGAGTTCCTATGCCTTAGGCCCATACTTGTATCTCTCCCTCTCCAACTCCCGCTGCCTCTCACGCTCGTACTCTGCCTGTCGCGCAGCACGGATGTTGGCGTCTTCTTGATTCTTTATTTGGAAATTTTCGCGAAGAAGGCCCTCTGTCTTCTGCCTCTCATAATAACCTTCTTGAATTCGCTTGTCCTCAAGCTTTCGGGCTTGTTCTTGCTCACGAAGCAGTTTTTCAGTGTATACTTTCTCATCCTGGGCCTTGCGAATTCGTTCATCCCCTGTGACTTGCTCGAATGGCGAAGCCTTAAATTTCAGCTTGTCATTCTGAGCGTCCCGGATTCGTGCTTCCTCAAACTTTCGAGCTTGTTCTTGTTCACGAAGCAGTACATCAGTGTTTTTCTTGTCATTCTGCGCGGCTCGAATCCCATTTTCTTCGTAGGCTCGCTGTTTTTGCTCCTCCCGAATAGTTGCTTCGGTCTTTTGCTTTTGCTTTTCGTAATCCTTCGAAGAGTCATAATAAGGGTTGGCATTGGTTGCCTTATAGTTGTATTCGGGCTTTTTGGAGTAATCGTATGATTTGTCGTTGTATGCCTTAGAGTTATACTCAGGCTTTTTAGAGTAATCGTAATAAGTATTGGGGTTGTTTGCCTTGTAGTTGTACTCAGGCTTTTTGGAGTAATCGTAAACTGGGCGAGTGTCTGGAACGTCGACGACTTTGCGACCGCCGTTCTGTCTTAGCTTCTCGTTGATTTTGGCCAGATCCTGGTTTTGCTGATCCTTCTTTGCCTGAAGCCTGGCCTTATCCCTGGCGTTATCGAGCTTCACCTCTTTCAGCTCGTTGATCTCGAATTTCTTCTCAGCATTAGCTTGAGCCCTTTCCTTACTAGTCTTGGCATTCTTCTCATCGAGCCGAGCATCAATGATCTCCTTGCGTTCCTTATTCTCCTTTAACCGGGCATCTTGGTGTTGCTGGGCCTGTAACTTGCGAGTGGTGTCTAAATCGGCCTTCTTATTTGCCTTCTCCTTCTTTAGAGAAGAGGTAGAGGAAGACGACGAAGTAGATGGCTTCTTGTTGTTGCCACGGGTAGAGAGAACACTACGCCCCTCAATCCCTCCGTAGTCGTCGCGACGAGATAATTCGCTTTCTTCCGACTCTCCAAGATACTCGGCACGAATATTACGTGTCATGACCTTGTCATATTCCGAGTCATCGTTGCTTTGCTGAAGTGCAGATTCCAGTTCGCGAGAGTTGAGGTCTGCAAACTCTTTGAGCTCCTCAGAGTGGGGCTGATGACGACTGATAGCAGTAACATTGGTGCTGTTCAGGCCGTCAAGGTAAGCGCTGAGTGGTGCTGCAAGGGCAGTTGTGAAAAGAGACACAACAAGCAAAGACTTGATGGAAGGCATCTTTACTTGTCTTACAGGGCGTAGATTAAAATGGAGCCAGAAATGAGGAAGAGGTAAAGTGACTACTTGTCGACATGGACTAACATCATGTGTCAGGAGACATCTCACCTGCCTTATATACTCAAGCTTGTATGCACCCAGCTTCTTCTCATGATCAGCGATTTCGTCTTGCCCACGCCTGTAATTGCTCCCCACACTGGTGAATAAGTCAAAAGATTGTAGATAAAGTTAAGTTGGCAACCTGAGACGGCCTAGGCACTAGCCGTACATTCGGCATATCGCCGTTTTTTTGATTGATCTCACATTTTGTTGTCGCCTGTGGAAAAAAGAGACAGATTGGGGCGGGGCGTCGTCGGCATAGAAGCGGCATATTGAAGTTCGGTTACGGCGTCCACGGACTCCACGTTTTCCATAACGCGGCTGAAGTTGGGTATTGGTGATGGGTAAGCTTTTTTTGACTCTACGTTCTGAATTAAGCTACATCAGACGAAGAGGATGGGTTTTTGCGAGATTTATTGAGCAGCAAACGAAACCGAAGCGGTCGTTCGTGTCGACCCTTTCTGACAGCGACTATTCCTGCCTTGTGGACATTTCTCCATGAATCATGAGCCACGCGAAGACACAGGACATTGAGTCGACACGCGGGGTAGCACAACAGTTAGCGACTTTACACCTCTTGTAAATCCGATTAGCTGGATACGGTAACTACACGCGTGTTTGATGTCCGCGGGCCACGTAAATCTCCCGATGTAGGGTGTAAGTTGGACCAATCGGCATAAAATATAAGGAGGACCGGGTGGTAACCGTAACGGTAGCCCAGAGTTTAACATGCCAAGCGGCTCTAGGCTATTAAACCCACTCTACCGAAAGTTTCCAGCCGCCATTATCTGGATCATCGACGTTGGTTGTTCGGGGAAGTAACCCTGAGAGGTTGATCACGGAATAGCCAGTTTATCGTACGAGATAAAACGCCCGCAAAAGATGGTAGACGCCTTTGCCCAAGTTGCGGCTCCCACTTACAGTTCTCCTCGATCATCTAGAACTTTAAATACATTGCTCCCAGTAAACTTTGAAGCTTGGACTTGCGGATCCTGCCATCATTTTGGAGTATGTCTAATGCTCTCAGGCTTTCTTGATTTTTTAAACCCCTCCATCCCTGAACCATTGGGGTAGTCTGGCGAGGGGAAAGCCATTTTAATGGTGATGCCGCTGGAAGTTCAAAGCATGCCACGTAAGCTTAGATTACCTTTGGGCGCTAAAGAGATCTTTTGCTTCGCGCTAAAAGAAACTGCCGTGAGCAATTTAAATTCATATGCAAGGGGCGGAAACCTAAAGAAATCCGGATATTGCTTCTGTGAATGGTTTCTGCGGCCAAAAAGTTTCCTTTTTGTTGTGAAGAAGTACATAGAAGTCAGCCGATGGCAAAACATACTAACAGCCTACAGCTCAGCTGCGGTGCTGTTTGGTGATTTGTCTTCTCTCAGTCTTGCTATTTCAGCTCTGCTTCTGATAGATAATCGTACAAGGCATCTTTTACAGAAGATCAATCAGCATGTGGATGTAAGCCACTTTACCGATTTGAAAGATTTGCACTGCACTTATTCCTCAGTAACCACTTTTGTTGAGTTGGCCGTTGTTTATAAATATTGTCTTCACGAGCGAGGCGGTGGCTACCGACACATCTGCATAAAATACTAAACAAATTGGCATGGCTATCACAGAGCATCTGGCGAGCTCTTGTATCCCTGTTTGCTGGACGGGATGGCCTTATTGGGAGAGAACTGCTGCAAAGGCAAATGAAAGACACAGAAGGCGATAATGCAAAGCATATCTGGAATCTGGCTCACATAAGTCCATGGAATCAAAAGGGTTAAGTTTTGAGTTTTTACAGACCCGCACGTAAGACTTTCCAATATTTCAATGGGAATTGATAGGGACGCATCACGAATTGATAGGGACGCATCATCCTTAGGGACGCATCACATTCTAAGGTTGTGATTGGCTCAAAATTTTATTGTTAGTGCATCCGAATTCTGCCATCATCTAATGAAGTATCTTTCTTATCTTCTTAGCCCATCCCTTCATAACTACGAAAGCGCATTAGACATATTCAATTTATTCTCCTTTACAACGTCAAGATGTCTACCTCTACAAGTCAATCAAGGCCCCAATCGCGTCGCCGACCCAGCAGCTCTAGTATATACAATCAATTGCCTTCTCCCAAGCGCCAACGCCGTGCTATCTCAGTTAGTAGTGATGCCACTATCAGTCAATTCTATGGGGCTGGCGATCGTGAGGGTCAACCTGACCTAATCTCTAAGATTCTACCTGAACAATTACAGCAAGATTCCGACACAAGCTACAACCCCCAGGGAGATGAATTATATCTTCTATGTTCCTTTCCAAAGGGGACAATACGTATGCAGCGTACAATTTTACCTGAACGTCAACCAAAAGAAAGCCAATTAGTATTACAACCTGAAAATCAACCCTTACAACCCACTTCAGATCAGTTCTCTACTGTTCTAAGCCTCATTCAAGAGGTTGTTAGGACAAACCGACGTCTTACGCATGCTCTCCTCCAACAATGTGAACGCGTTCGTCGATATCGTGAGGCTTGGGGCTACTCACCACACCCTTCAGACATATCCTCAATCGGCGAGTCTCCTCCTCCTCCACCTTATTCACCTCCCCGACAAAGCCCAGAAGTGATAGCGATACCATCTTCTCCAAGTACTTTATTCCTTACTACAAGCGAAAGGTCGAAATCACCTACCCCCGAAACTATTCCAAACCCACCGATCCCTGGCGAACCAGAAGCAACAATTGAAACCCTCCTCGACCAAGTTAATAAATTTGCAAAAGAGCATGGATTTAGGATTGCAAAGTATAATAGATGCTATCGTAAAGGACGTATAATTCGCTATATACTTCGTTGCGATCGATTTGGGCTACCAAAGCGAGGTAGAGGTGCTGGCATCCGAGCCCGCGCATCTCGGAAGTGTGATTGCCAATGGCAAATTATTACTAAAGCAATAGAGGAGGGGAAATGGCTTTTACGTCAGCATTCCAACCCAATACACAGCCAGCATAATCATATCCCTAGCTTAGCATCATCTGCACACCCAGCCTATAGGAGGTTGACTGAGCCTATTAAGGATGCAGTTGAGACTACTAGTCGGCGGGTTGGTATTCGGGTACGCGACGTAGGTGCTATTATTCAGGAGCAGTTTCCTAAATCTGTTTTCACCCAGCGGGATATCTATAACGCTAGAGCCCGAATCAATCGCGAAAAGCTTAATGGGTATACACCAACTGCAGCTCTAATCAAGCTTTTTGATGAGCGGGAGATCCCTTATATTGTGAAGTGGGCGGATGATGAGCCGAATCGGCTTGTTGGGCTTGTCTGGACGTTTCCATACTCTCTCCGGATATAGAAGCGGTTCCCCGAGGTTATCAGCTTTGACAACACCTATAACACCAATCGCTTCAAGCTTCCACTATTCCAAGCTACAGGGCAAACATGTCTTGGATCGGTATTCAATGCAGCATTTGGTCTCATCGATAATGAGAGACTAGAGGGGTTCTAGTTCTTATCGCAGAGTATCTTACAACTCATTAATCAGAACTCTATTCGCCAACCAGATGTTATTATCACCGACTACGACAGACAGATGAAGGCAGCTCTTAACGAATACTTTCCGAATATGCAACAACAGCTTTGTATTCACCATATCAACTCAAACGTTATGCTTAAAGCCAAGCAGAAGTGGCTTCAGAGCTATTCTAGTAGTAGTGGGTCTGAAGAAGACGATCTAGCTCCACAACCAGTTACCGAACTTAGCGATGAGGACCATGCCTATATCCATACTTCAGTAGATAGGGCTACGCCACATAGCTACCGGGGGGTTCTTATAATGTAGAAGTTGGTTCTATTTGCTGAGACAGAGGATGCCTTTAGGAAAGCATGGGCAAACCTTTGCAAAGAGTTTAAGGACCAACGGCCTATTCTGAACTACCTGCATGGAATATATCTACCACTAAGGGAGCAGTGGGCACGTTATTCTATTCGCCAGTACCGAAACTTCGGCATCCGTGTAACCTCAGGGACGGAATCAAGCAACAACAACATCAAGGGCTATCTTCTTAATGGACTTAGCCACCTATATCACTTAGTTAATGTGATGCAGGATATGCTTAAGGATCAAGAGGTTCGCTTCAAGCAAGCTTGTGCACAGGATGAGATCCTCACAAGCCGTGAGTTTATAGGGAACAGATCTGAGTACCTTGGGGAGCTTCGAACAATACTCTCATCGCAGTGTCTTGGTTTGATTACGAAGCAATACCGTCTGGCAAAGAAGGCTCTACCAACAGGTAGAAATCCATTTCCAGCGCCTCTTAGAGACTGCACAGAGGACTGTACTGTCTCTATAGAGTATGGTATCCCATGCTGCCATAAGATCTACTCTAAACTTGTAGATGGGGTACAGTTTATGAAGGATGAGGTTCACCCACGATGGCGGCTGCGGGAGTCTTCTTCCCAGGATCCATATCGACGGATCCTTGATCCGAAGATTGCAGGAAACCTCCGTGGCAGACCTAAGAACTCAATGCAGCCAGTCCCATCATCCCTATCATTAAGGGATAGCACCCAATCAAGCAACCAGCTAGCTAGACAATCACACAGCCAACTACAAAGTCAACAACCTAGCCAATTAGCAGCAGGGCGCAGGCGTGGCAGACCACCAGGAAGCCGTAATAGGACCACCTTAGCAAGGCTTACACAAGAGACAGCCAGTAGCCAGGCGCCAACCTCTTCCCAGCGGCAGACACGAAGCCAAGTAACTACTCTTAGTACTGGCCGATCAACTGGCCTTCGTTCGAATGGAAGAAGATTACAGGCAAGCATCCGTAGGACGAGGAGTCAATAGGAACTACTTAGTAGTAGTGATGAGAGTCTCAAACGTTGAGGGTAGGGGGGGCATTCTTTATTATTATATAAGAGGAAATAGAAGTAGAAATCAATTGAGATTTATAAAAGCCGTTTCAGTTTAGTTTGATAAAACCCAATTCCTCCTTAGAAGGGAAGAAAAAGACCTACCATTTGAGATTTGCAAAAGCGGTCGTTTAGATGGTTTTGCAAATCTCAAATGGGAGGAATAGCCAAGAAACGTAGGCTAGTAGGGCGGGCCGGCTTTATGTCTATGAAACGGAGGCAGGCCTCTTATGGCTGTGAAAAGGTGGGGCGTTAGCAACGCTGGCCTCACCGCCTTCGCCGACTTGTACCTGTGGGTCACCAAAATTTCTAGCCAATCACAACCTTAGAATGTGATGCGTCCCTAAGGATGATGCGTCCCTATCAATTCGTGATGCGTCCCTATCAATTCCCATTTCAATAGCTACCTAACGATGGATTCTTGCGACTGATGGCAGCCACCAGCTAGCATTAGAGGCACATTTAGCTTGGATAGAAAAAAATAACACACAGGGAAAATACAATTACTCCGCGTCGGATAAAAACATGCCTTAAAACCACACATATACGCTCTAGACCGAGTTCCATGACTTTTACTCTAGAGGGAAAAACGTTGCCTTACAATTAGCATGTTTGCACGTTCCTCTCGCCTTTCTCTGCCGGTCAGTAGATCTTTGTCGCTTTAAGACTGGAAATATATTCGGTATGATCAAGAATACTTTCAGGACAGACTTTTTGCGATTTTAGAACTAAGTTGAACCAATGGACTTGGACTCGGAAGAAGCCCAAAATCGCGATGCACTTATTGCAAGGAACGATATCCGTCCGGCATGAAGGATTCGTGGTAGAGCCATAGCCGGCTTAATAAATATTGCGAACTTGATAGGACGAAGGTAGCACCTTCCTAGAAAGCAAATGCAGATCATTTCGATCGAACTAGGCTCAGCTTGGGAACTCAAACCCCATCTTTTCATCAGCATCAGTGCTGTCGAAGTGTTCCTCTCTAGGCTTGGGGCCATTTTTAACACGCTTAGTGATAATTTCTCATGCCCAAAGTAGGCCTATACTTCCAGTCATGATGCAAGGGAGGTAGTTTCTTCGGTTCATATCATGTTTTCGGCACCACGTCGAATTGGGAATGCAATATCGTTAACTCTTATTCGGCGATCCCAAGCTTGTATTAAAATCCCAGTGGATGAAGGCCTGAGGGCTCCTGGGGTCTTTGGTTGGTTAAGGATGATTGCAGCCTTGGAGCTAAAGCTCTTTTTTATGTTTCTGATATTAAATCTCGAAGGTCGAAATATTGCACAGTGACTGCTTGTCACGAAGATTGCTTTGCCTACGTCGTATGGTAAGTGTAATGTACATTTGGCTACATATTTTCACGACCGCGGGTAAGAACAAACGCTTGAAAGCCTGCCCCTCCTCAATGGCGCTCGTATTCCGCTCATACCAATTCTTCCGAACGATCTAGATTCCCCCCAATAGTCCTCTGATGTAGCCCTAAACAAAAGCATTCAACTCCTCTTTTTGAATTTCAATCATTCTTACTGGCGAGGGGATGGATCAGGCTTTGGAGCTAAGCACAACTCTCATAAAAGCCTCTGGCACTTTTCAAATGCAGCAAGTTCGCTGGAACTTTCCACATAATTCGGGTTACTCCAGACGCAAGCTAATACAATCAGCATGGTTGAAAATTGTTCAGCAGACATGCAAGCCAGTGCAGCTTGGACCACGCTTAAAAGTCTGCATTGAAGTGGTGGAGAACTTCCTGCCGATGAAAGTAAGGTTATCTTCCATGTCTGGTACTTAAAGTCTAAACCTAACGGATAAAGAATGGTATTCTGAGAGATGACTACACAGTCGGCTTTCCGGGAAATGGCTAGATCGGCGATTGGGCGGCTGGTTAACTTCCGGCCAAACTTGGTGATGGCTACAGTGTTCCCCACCGACAGTCCGAAAATCAGTCATTCCATCATGGAAAGGCTTATCGTATTTGTAATGTCCGCTCTCTTAGGTCACTGATAGCGAGCCTAGCAAACTATGTTTATGCACAACCCGAATAGTTGGCTCTTATCAAAGAGTGTGACCATAACCTTGTGCAAATCTCGGGTTGTTTTCGAGCTCAATCCTTGTCATCTGAAGTTCTGCGAAGTGAGGCTGAAAGTATTTGGTCTAGTACATGGTTAATGTCTTGCTTTCGTTAAAGTTGGAACCCAATTAGGTGCTCTCGGCGTCTATAAAGTTTTGAAAGTGGCTATCTAGTTTAGGAGTACCTTGCGATCTGGGGCACCCCTACAACAACATTGATGGCAAAGTCGGCTGACCAAAAGTGCCAAGATTGCAGACGACATGACGAGAAAATTGATGAGTGGGCAGGCTAACCGAGACTCAGCGAGGAAAAAATGAAAATACCAGGGAACAATCAGAGTTCAATGCACTGGTGGCGTGTGACATAAGGTAGTCGACATCAGGTGACCAAGCTCTCTCAAGACCTTGGGGAGCAGATAGCGAGATGAATTAGATCACCTAGGAGTAAGCACTAGGGATACACTGTAATAGAAGCTGCATCATGTTCATCATTCATTGCTGGGAAACAGGTCACGCTTTCAGCAGTAGAGTGGTAGATGCTAATAGTACAATACCTGACGCATTTGTTGACTGTAACATTTTTCTTAATATTTCTATTGTCCATCACGCACTTTGAAACGATAATGCTCGCCGCGGTCCAAATATACCACTCTGTCCCTCTGCTTCTGCTCATCCACCTCTTTCTTGAAATCATCTAGCGGCGACATAAACACGTCGTAATCATCATAATGAATCGGAATTGTTACGTCCGGATCAAGCAGTTTCATGAGCTGTATACCCTGTTTAGCGTCCATCGTTACCATCAGCAGAGGGGCTGATCGGCCGGGAATAGTTGTGCCGCCCAGGTGAACCAGCATCAAATCGATGCGCTCATTTTTCAGCCACTCGGGAATCTTTTTGAGATCATCGACCAATAATGTGTCGCCGGAGATGTAGATGCGGTATCCGGTATCCAAAGATGCATTATTTGCCGGGACGCTGGTTGGATGAACATGTCCCAGCTCCAACATCCACCCGTTAGTGGGTGGCACCGCTCCTAAGAAGTCGTTGGCGACAGCAAGTGGCCCGGGCGGGACGTGTTTGCCTGGCATGGCTGTGATCTTGATTGCTGCACTTTTGTCCTGCGACTGGTTGGAAGGGTCCGATATAACAAGCGTAGTGTTCTGAAAGAAATCCAAACCCTCCACTCTTTCGAAAGGTTCGTCCTTGAGGTCAGAGGAAGTCAAGCATGTTTTCGCGTGCGGTGTCGTGATAATGGGCACCTTTCGGTTCAGAGACTTTTCGACCAGCCGGTCGAAATGGTCCTCGTGATAGTGCGACAAAAGAATTATATCGATTTCGGGGAGCTCTTCGAGATCAATAGCGGGATTGGTCTTCCGCTCGGCGTTTACGCCTGGCCCTAGATGGACGTGGTCGCCGGCGTGCAAAAAGTTTGGATCCGTCAGGATCCGGATGCCTTGCCATTCCAATATCGTCGTTGCGGTGCCCACAAATGACAGGCTCGCATCCTCATTTCCGGTAGAAGCAGTTCGTGGATGAGTGTGAACTTTCCCAAGAGGTAGCTTTGTAGGCCCCTTTCTGGGAAGATGTTCCCGTAGAAGAGGTTCCCGACGAGTGGGATCAAGATGCATTTTCAAAGAATATGTTGAGAAATAGAGGAAAAAGTAATCAAATTTTCGTAATGTAATGAGTTGGTGTGGGCTATATCAATAGAATTAGGGATGACGTTCGGTGTAACATGACGTTGGATATTATCACTGGTGATGTAATCCACAACGCATCTTCTATCATTACAGTCGCCTTGCCAATCGATGCTGGAGAAAGTAATGGCGGGGAGAAAGAAAGCTCACCACGACACGTTGATTTTTCACGAGTATCTATTCGTACTTTGTATTCAATTGGTCAATTTGAGATGGTTGAAAAACCCAGAGAGGAAATGTCCAAGAACGAAGTTTTGAACAGCCCGGCTGGTAACACTTGTGGCAACTGAGATGATCCAGTAAAAATTAGTGACTAGGTGTATCACTTGGCTCTTGGGCGACAACTTATTGGACTACCCACCGCAGAAAGTCGTATCAGTGCCAAAGAAAGCTATCGTCGATTGAGCTATTGCCACATCGCCTATTGAGGGCAAAATTTCTAGATAGTATTGAATTTAGGATTCTTTTTGTTCATGTTAGTGAATTGACTCCTATCTCATATCTCGGGCGCCACCATCTATCTGTTTGTCCCATATGATGCTCTTCTGATTTACCAGGTTTCCGGTTACAAATGCGCTTCATAATAAATGTTTATGAATATTTCTGCCCTTAAAAGTTTTACAATTTTCAAAGCTGATGCACGTTGAAAGTTTTGCGATTTATGGTGCATATAAAGTAGTCACAGCGTTGTACTGGGCATTATAGTGATCAAAGTCGGGGTCTCTCGTTATAACTTCTGTAAGCTTAGGTTCACAATATTCAGCAGCTACCTAAAATGCGAGGCAAAAACAGTTTCCCAACTATGCCTCGGGGAGAAATTGTACTCTTTTATTCAGTCTGTGGTCATGTGCTATACCTGTCTGGTTAGCTTCAAAGTAACTTGTGTATCATACTATATACAAGAAATTACGCCATGCTGTTATCCCTGCTTGATATATATCTCTCATCCTGCCTCATGTTCTTACCAGGGCCACCACCAAGGGTTGGATCGTTTAACCACCCAGACACCGCGCTCCATGGTGTTGATGACGATGTAACCACTCTTGAAGTAGGGGTAGTGGCTCCAAGTACCAGTGTAGTTGTTTGCACCACCGCCAGGCTCATTGTCATCTTCGGGATAAATGTCGAAGTAGGCGATTTCCTTGACACCTTTGGCTGTTGGATCCCACCGAACTGAGGAAACGTCTAGGATGCGCAACCCCGCACCATAGTTGCTCTGGTATGAGAGGCCCCGGTGAATAAATTGGTTGTGGTCCACACTTCGCACTGTTCCCTTGAAGATTCCAGTTTGTTTGGGCTTCTCTAGAGATCGAATATCCCAGAAATAGGTGACAGGGAACCCATCAGCAGCAGGTCCGGTTTTGTTTCGCTCGTCAATTTCATCATCCAAAACCAGAAAGTCTTGCCAGTTAGGGTCAAACACCCAGCCTTGATGGGTGTAGGTGGCGCCTTCGTAAGAAGTACGTGAGATGATGTTTGTCGTGTTCTTATGAGTGACGTCGTAGCTGGGGTAACTGTTAGTAACGATGGTGTATGGACGTCAGAGGGGCGCTTGACTTACATAGTAAGTGTGTCCTCATTGTAGCCATAACAAATGTCACGGCCCCAGTACTTCAGATCAGGTCCACGATACACAATACATTGTGCGTCATGAACATAACCGTCGCCAGCAGCACAGCCCAGGTACTGAGGGTTGGTAATATCGGCCAGGTCAAGAAACTGCAGTCCAGAGTCGCAAGGCAGGTTGCGTCTTGGCTGGGCGCCGACTGCGACAGCATAACCCCTTTCCTCGTTGACCACAACATTGTGGCTACGACCAAGGGGAAGCGCCTCTGTCCAGTGTGCCGTTAGGTCGTTCTGGGTGAAAGTAACAGGGTTCTTAGGGTCAATGTCGAGAAGCTTGGTTCATGTCAGGACCTATTCTAGTCATTTGGCAGAAGGAACATGGGACGAACACACCTTGCGCAGGTCAAAAAATTGGATACCGTGATCAACAGCCTCACTACCAACAACAAGGTAATGTTTATACGTCTTGATCTCGCGCCACTGGCTTGGGGCGGAATATTGAGGAAGACGGCCAAGGTAAATGAGCTTCCCCTTTTTGGAGACCTCAACAAATGCAGCACCGTCAAATTGCCCCACAGCGAAGAACTCGCGGCCGTTGGGCGAGGTCCAGCCCCAGGAACCGGACCCTCTACCAGTGGAGTTGCCCAGGGCAGCGTGAGGTTGGAAGTCATAAAGGTCAAGCTGGCATGTGTTAGAAAGGGCTATCGACCCAAAAGCTGACAGTCACTTACATCCTTGCACCTGAACGTCTGGAGAGGGTCGCCTTTGACCAGTTCGACCTTTCCGTTCTTGCAGGCAATGGAGTCCTTGACGCGGCCGGTCCATTGAGCGGACTCAAACCTTCCCTCAGCATCAAACTGCTCCCATTGAGCCTGTTTGGTGTTAATGGTTTTCCCAAGATAATTGATGAACACGAAGGACTGACAAGTTTGTGTTCCATGCTCTCCTGATGAGCGGCACCCGTATCGTACCATGCCGACAGTTCCGCGCTTGGCTCCAGTTCTTTGGCCACAGATACTCCCGAGATGGCCCCAATGGCCAAGGCTAAATGTGCTGTTCTCATCCTGCAAGCTTTTTCTGACAGCTAGTACCACCAAAGGTAGCACTTTGTATTGATGTGAGATGAGCGGTCAGTGACGGAAGGAACGAGAAGGCCGGCAAAGGCTGAAGAAATCACTGCCATTTTATATTCGAGTTTCCATTACCCCTCTTCGTTCAGTTTGGAATCTTCGGTAAATTTGATCGTCCGTCCGAAAAGTTCCAATTCTCATCGACTTAGGGTAACACTACATCTTCGGGTATGCAGATGCCAAGGAATGACGAAACTGTTGTCCAAATAAGATCATTGAAAATTTTTAACATTAAGACATACTTCAACACCTTTACTTGGAAGCTGTCATCAGACAATCAATCAATAGGCTTGGTTCGGGTAGATGAATTAGGCAGGTGGAAGTGATGTCGTAACCGCTTGGCAATATTGTCCATCCTCACTCAATGCTTCCCCGCCTCAACTCTGCGCGAATTCTCTTAGAGCCTATCAAGAGTAAAAGTTTTTTTTTATACGACAGCGGCGCATATCAGCATATCATTTTTTTTTTTTTTTGGATTATTTTTCCCTATCACTTTTCTTCTTCTGACGTGATCTCTGTTCCGTCATTGAGCCAGAGAGCCACTTGCACCATCAGGGATATTGCATGAGACGATGTGACCTTTGAGCCAACCATGTGATGGCTACTTGACTATCTATTGGGGGAATTTTGCGAGTTGCAGATGTCCTTCTGACTATCTTCACTTTGAATCCAGCCCATAATTTGAGTTGAACGTGATTGAAATGTTTATTGAACACCTGTCACGACATGACTGTGCATATTTGCACAGCGTCGGAACCCTTTGCATATTATTTTTCAACTCAACTGTCTGTAACTATAAAAGTTTGAACGAGTGGCTCAGATTGTATCGGGGTGATAGCGTAAATGTCTCTTCAAAAAGGATAGACACTGCAAATGCTGTGAACAATATTGATGTCAAACCTGGGCTCAGGCATCATAATTATAGGAAACCACCCCACATTTGTAGGTTTGTGTTAGTTTCACACACTTGAAACTTTTAGATGATGGCAAGTAACTGGGTGCTGATGCGAACAGTTCTCGTGAAACCTCTAGAACTTGGATATGCACGTCATGCCACCGGGCGGTATCATCAAGTATTCAAGTGGAAAGCACCTTGATAATGCGAGGTGAAAGTGTCTTGCAAATCAACAACCTATTTCAAAATATTTCTTACAGCCTATTGGGGTGAGAAAACGTTGTGAAAACAAAAGCATGGAAGCGGGACTTGTTGAAGATTTGGGCACTAATCTGTTGCAGCTTGAGCATCTGGATGTGCGGATCAAGCAAGATACTCTCCAGAGGAGGTACATTGAATCACGACGGGCATGATGGGCTATATATCTAAACATAGTGCTCCTTTTGAGGTGGCTTTTTTTTTATTATCGCAACCTTAGGCTAACTCGGATACAAAAGAGTGGCATGGACGGCCTCAGCAGACCTACTCAACATTTGTATAAATCCTAACTTCATGTGATACGAAGCCATCCGATGAAAAGATGAATGAAAGACTGAGTGAAGGAAAAGACAGTGACCAGTTACTGAAGAGAGTCTGCAAGGCTTGCTATATCGCTTCGGGAAGTTGTTCCTTGCCCATGAAGATTGGAGATTTAGGTGCGGTAAACATTCCACTCGACCCTAGACATATCAATACCATTGTGGCATCCCATGTCACCTGTACCGCCGACGTGACCATTCCAGTTGAATCTGTTGATGGTATCATACGTAAGGTCCGCTACGTCTGTGTTACCGATGGGCGTGTCAAACCAATTGGCCGTGCCGACACCGAAAACGCAATTACCGCACCAGACCAAGTTGAACCATTTTCCATCGGAACGATTAAAGGTCCAATATCCCCGCAGAGTGTTGCGTGCATAGTCTGCAACGCAACGGCAGTCTCCTTCTGTCGGAGAGTCGGCGCCTGCCCGGTTGAAGAAAGTTGAACCACCGCACTTGTCTTGGTTTCCACCTTCGTACCAACGGAATCGTTTCTCCAGGCCGGATAGATCTCTGGACTTTGAGATTCCCTGATTATCCTCGGTTGATACAAAGTTCTTCGCTACCCATACAACACGTTTCTCGCCCTTGGAGTCGACGAAGTTGTGTGGTTCAAAGTCAGCGGTGTTGGCGGGGCCAGCTGGTTGATTCACATCAGCAGTTGGCAAAGCCAGCACTGTCGCGATGGCTCCGAAGGCGAGTATGAAGGATGCAAAATGCATGTTGTTTGATGATATTTGTTCCAAGCTAGGCTGTGGCGCAGTATGTAGAGATTTGTTGGACGTATGGTTCTTTCAACGATGGAATGAAGCTGATGATCTTCTGATTTTTTTAACCCCATACATCCGAAAACACCGGCTGCTTTTATACTTGTCTCGGACTTCCTCTCATTGCGGAGCATTTCTAACCAAGACTAAACACTTCATACTATTTCCAGTACCTGATCATGGGCTTGCAGAAAGTATAGGAAGGTTACCTTGGGTCGAGAATCAATTTGTCCCAATCAGTCCATCGGTGAAGCTGCCGTAACGGTTTGAGGTCTTCGTAACTGTAAAAACAAATAGTGCTTACATTAACCATGTAACCTCGCGAGAGACTCGTTTACGTTTGTAAGCCTAAAAGAGACACTGAAGATTCTGGAAATTGAGTCTCCGGATATGCATAAGCAGCTTGTTAAGGACACTAATGAATTGACAACATGTGGTAATTCTCTACTAAAACACACATGATGGAATAGAACTACTCCGAATCAAAACCCAACCCTCTTGGAGTAGAATTAAGCTCGGTTTTCCCACAGTATTGAATAATCCACATTTGGAAAACAACAACCGAGTTTACGAGGGACCCTAATTGGTAGCGTGCCCGCCAAGCACATGGTTAATCGACCATGCAGTAACAAGAGAAGAGCCTGTAGTGCGCATGCATCTGAACTGTGGATAACCAATCAGTAACCGCTTCTTCCCATCAAAAGCAACGCTGCAAAGTTGGCGCCTAGTGTTACCTGGCCATTACATATAACTTCGTCAACAAATTTGGAATGTTGCATTAACTTAGTCTGACTGAAAAAACCTCTCAGGCAAGTTATAATGCTTGGCATAGGTATAGAGCTGTGCTCACGTCAGCACAATGGCCCAGAGATACCGAACGTTCAGGCCCCTAGCATCATCCATGATGGTCTTCTATTACCGCGTAGCTCGGGAAAACCTGTTGTCTTCACTCAATTCTGTCTTTTCCTGTGAAAAAGACTACCGCCGCGTTTGTGCGGTTGTGATCCCAGTGGGGCAGGTGTTTGTGCATGGATGCGGTCTGCCAACTTTGGTGAACAGTCACGACTTTAGCCGACGAACCATTTCGCGAGATCTTATCACCATTTGTAAGTTGTTATTTTACCGTTCATTTTCGAAACCTATGCGGTGAAATACTGCAGAATATGTAGACGGTCCAAAGGCGCCATGATCCTTCCATTTGGATACCCGGCTTATGAGGTGGCTTGTGCGATTTGAAAATGCAGATGGAACTGTCTTCATCACTTCAGTTGTAGCCATAATCCGAATACCTTGTTGTCATTAAGAACAATAGAAACAGGCATTCATTAACCCATAGCTACAAATAACAAAACATGATAACTTAAAGAAATGCGTTGTCTACCCGAAGGAGGTGCTGTGACAAGGCAAAGAACTCCCCACTACTCCAGTTGTGCTTGAACGCTGTTGTTCCAAAAGCTGACGCACCGGCGTCATCACCAGGGGTATTTGTGGACCTCTTCCTCCTTCTCAAGGTCTAAACCCCTATCCAGCTGTTTCTGGTGCTCGTTATCAAGGTACTCGAGCAGCACCTTCTCATATTTCTCTCTGCCTTTGTAGTTGGCGACTGTGTCATCCCAGCTCCGAATCGCGCTCGCAAGTCTGCCGGGGACGTAGTCTTCCGTAGCCAGCTCGGTAATTGGGTGGAAGTAGGTTCTGATAGTAAAAACGACAGCACGAGTCTTGGGTAGCCGACGGAGAGACTGTCTTTCAGAACGGAAGTAGTGGTTTTCGATGGCTTTGTCTTTCTCGGCAGTGCTCCAGCTTACGACAGGGTCGTCCTCGTTGCCAATGCTCCAGCTCCAAGGAAGCGAATCGTCAACTTGAATGAAGTAGTTGTTTCGTGAGTAGATTTGGTCGCAGCGAAGACGCTTGAAAAAGCTGGCCATGCCGTTATGTAGCTTCTGTTCGTAATGAGGTACACTTCCAGAGGTATGAATTTCTTCAAGGGACATGCCGTATTTGTCTCCAAGACTCCAGAAGCCAGCCAAGAGAATAGCTCCAGCAAGTAGGTAGTATTTGCCGTCAGCTCGCTCCATCATTATCGCCAGGTCGTCCTGCACCAGCTTGGCTGCGATCGCCATGGGATCTTCGACGAGGGGCTTCTCCACAATGTTGAAGGATTCGCCGGACCAGAGGTTGTCGATGCCTACTGAAGTGCGCTTGAACATGGTGGGATATCGATTGGGTAAATACTGAACCAGTTCTTCCAAGAGCTCCATCGCAGCAGGGTATGCATCGGGATGGGTGTCGACGCACTTTTCACGTCTGTCTTGTATCCGAGCAACCTTGTCTTGGTGATATTTAGGGAAATGGTTATCGAGTTCTATCCATTCATCGGGCTGAACTGAACGAAGTCCCATTGTTACATGATACTTGGGACCGTATCGAAAAGCCCTATAGGGAAGTGGTTTTGTCGTTTCAATTGACCAGTTGGGATACGGACATGGAATAGGCATCTTGTAGGGTTCATGCTTCTCAACAGACTTGTCATGTTTCGATTTGTTTGACTTCGAGCCCAACACCGAAGCCTTCCTCGTCGTGTAGATGATAACTGAGCGAAAAGTGTAGGCGGCAGAACAAAGAGCAAAGAGACCTAGGAGAAGTTTCCATGAATCAGGGCTGATCGTTTCAATCATTTGGAAAGCCATGATGAAACTGAAAATGTTGGTATTGCTGCGGACGGTGCGAAATCAAACAAGAAGTGAAAGCATGCTTATGACGATTGTTGATTGTGTATGCTGTCGTCTCAAGTTGAGGAAAAGACGCGGCATTATCAGTCCCTAGCGCCCCGAGTAAGCTACCAACAAGAAGTAGCCTGACCTTGTAGGTGTAACAGCGCCGTATCTTTAATCCAGAATTGTTTCCCCGCGAGATCGACAACATTGGAGAATCGATCCCCACAGACACGGTCCCGAGCTGGTCCGGAACGCTTGTCCGTAAGAGGAAATTACAGCCTATCAACCCCCGCAACACCGAACTTTGCTGGACTACCTATTTCATTAACGACATCCGAAAGACACATCAGATGGTGGCGGAGAGGATAAATAAGGGCGGCTCGTTCCTGTACCACCGTATCGTAACAAATCAGCGCGATATACAGGTCACAGATTAGGCTACACAAATCGTTATCAGATCGTATCACTTATCTCATTGTACCGCCTTCCACCAACAAACAATCAAACAAACAAATTACAATGGCCTTCCAACATTTCGCCAAAGCCCAGTCTACCTTCAACATCCCACTTTTGGCTGGGGATAATGCCTATCTTGGAGATGTTTTCTCCAGTGACGACACGAACCCAGAGAAGCCAGTCTCGGCCGGCCTTTTCCGCCTCAAGAAAGGAGAGCCTCTCACCTATACCTACAAATATGACGAAATGAAGATCATTCTCGAGGGAGACTACACGATAGCCGACGCGACCGGACAGAAGGTTGAAGCGAAGCCTGGCGACGTCTTTTACTTTCCTGCTGGCTCGACAATTACCTTCACGACAACCGACTACGGCCTGGCTTTCTACGTCGGTCAGCGTAAGAAGAACGACTTTTAAGATGAACTAGAAGGAATGAAGGAAATATGGTCAGGTAGTCCACATTAACGTGCACCAAGAACATTGCAAGAGCGCAATACATAGCTTTGTTCCATAAAATGACATTCTTGATTCATACTGAAGGGGATTCAGTCCTTTTTAGTTCACTGCCATATCCAATATGTGAAACATTCAGCAGTATAATGTCTGATGCCTGGTATCACTACAGACCGCGCGGTAGCATGCGGCAAAGCCGTGATGAATATACAACACCCAATTGAGTAATCACCTATCGTAGCGTCTCACCCAAACAGCGAACGCAAATTGTTATCCTCCATAATATCTATCCAGTGCACTGTCGGCGTTCCAACTTCGCTGTCATAAGCCCTCCAGATAGATTGCACAAGGTCCTTGGCCACCACGACCGGGGCCGGGGGAAGGCTGCTTTCCAAGATACTCAACCGCCTCATTACAAAATGCCGAGCGCTGCTCACCTCGAGCGACAAGTTGCTCATTGGTTCCTCTGGTACCGGAGCCGACGCCATTTGACTAATGTATAAGGAGAGATTATGGGAGTCAAAGAGTGGGGGCGGACTGATTATGCTTGGCCCCGTGCCACCCATAAGATCTTGCTGCAAGGTTCCGAAGAGACTTATCATGTCGGATGATGCAGAGTTGTCATGTCGTAGCCCAGTGCTAGCCGAAATATATAGCAGCGGCTGAATGACACGGGTGCCAGATGTTGTAGGAATATGCTCCAAGACCTTGACGAGTCGAAGGGCGAGAGGAATAATCCATTCATCCCAAGGTACGGAGCCGCTATCTGTCATGGGAGATTCTGTTGGCAAACGTAGCGAAACCAGATCTGGAAAGGTCTGGTAAAGATGCAGCAGTGAAGAAAGCCGGTAAGCCTCAGCCACTCTTGCGAGGTGAGAGACTGGCGTCGCAAAGTCTCCCGTGTCCACGTCCGGGTTGTCTGGTGGGAACTCCAGCTCCAAGAGCTGCTCCTCCAGACGTTGGGCCACGATGAGGTCCTGCAACGCATAGGAGAAATATCGTTGAGGGTCCATTCCTTGTCTCATACGATGGCGGAAACTGCGACATAGTCGTATGCATTCGGCAAAGAGGCGGGTTGTCACGGTAGAAACCCCCGTCCATGGATGAGGTGCTCGTTCCTCGATGAGTTGTAGTTGGTTGGATGCTGTATCCTCGTTTTCTTGATGATCGAGTGGCTCATCGTCTCGAACGACGGCAAGAAGCATCTCACAATAGGTCAAACTTTTGTTGAAAAACGTCAACATGTCCAGGCCAGCGACATTGAGCATAACAGATTGTGCATTCAGGCGTTGAATCAAAGATCTCGCCTCTCGTAGGAATGGCAGACCAAAACCCCGTGCATCAACCCAGCATACAGTGGTACCGAGACAAAATAGGGAGAATAAGAGACTTGTGGGGATGGTGTGCAGGTCAGGCTGGGCCTTGACGACTTCTAGCTCCGCCTGGATGAAATCTGTCGCTCGCCCCATGAGGCGCAGAGCAGACTGTCGCATACTGGGCAAACGAGAGGCTAAGAAGGCAGCCGACATGCTCTCAAGGGAGCTACAAACCGTTGTCGACGTTCTCCATAGGTCGATGGCTATCTTGCGGTTCATGTTTGTGTTTGAGTCGAAGCCAGACCATGCTGGGCAGACCTGCTCAAACCAGTTGATGATAAAAGCAGATGAAGTGTCGACTAGGCTGTTGGTCAACGGTAAATTAGGACGAGATGTCTCGGCGACTGCAGTAAACGACGCTGGTGGTGATTTTATCAGCGTGTTTATCGACGGTCGAGACGTCGAGCTCCTGGCCGGCAACTTGGTTACGTCGAAGTCCCTGGCTAGAGGACCCAAAAGAAGGGACTCTGTATCCTCTTGGCATTCTTCATCGCTGCGGGTCGTGAAGGCCGTCCCACTTGATGAAGACGATGAAATAGAGTTGCGATGCCTTGGGCGACGATTGTCAGATGTGCTGGGTCCTTTCCCCTTGGTGTGATTCCGATTCTCTGTTACCGATGCCTCCGATCTCCTCGGTGAACTTGAGGTTGGATTGTAATCTTCGAAGGATAGGTTCTGAAGAGCAGGCTGGTGTTTGAATGACCACCTCAAACCTTGTGCATATCCCCCACAGTTGATCCCTTTTCGAGAACACTGTTGACAAGCAGGTCTTGTTTCGTCACATTTCAGCTATCCCCGATAGTCGTTAGTGCCTACGCGGAGGATATACTCGTTCGATTAAATGATTTAATCGTTCGATGAAGCAAGGGGTGGGACTTTTTAAAGACGACGTACATGTTTGGCCTTGCAGGTTACGCAACCTGATCTCGAACGAGGGTTGAGACCAACTCTAGCTTTGGGTGCCGCTTTAGGATTTTTCGGAGGTACCATTGAACCTCACAAGGGGGGGGGGAGACCTGGTATGTGTGTGGGCACGTAAACAAGCTCTGAATAAAAGACGCTTACAGATTTGTAGAGATCAGATACCAGCTCAGCAATTCATTGAAGGTAAGGTAAGAGGGAAGGCAAAAATGATCTTGGTCCAAGAACCGCATGCCAGCACGGTCGCGGGTATCTCACGGTAGGATGGGTCAAAATCGGGGTTGGGGGGTTGGTGCCGGTACAGGGTGCATCTGTTCCCATTTGCGGCGGCTGTGGACAGAAAACGCGGGGGAGGCGTCCATCTGATGACGCATTTTGTGCTTCAACATATCTCGGTATGGCAGATGATAAGCCAACGGCATCGATGATTGGACCATAACATTCGAGTTGATAGGTGAAACTGGCCTGAAAGACTCCCAGATTTATCCTTGCAGCGGCGGAGCGGCCACAGAGTTCTAGTTCTGGCCGGCTCTGCATAGTGTTAAATCTAGTGTACTCCCTAGGCCCGCAGACAAGCTGCAGACTAACTTCCCATGCAGCGCAAGGGCAGGTAAATATCGTTTTCGTTGGATCATATACTTAGATATATATGTTCTGACTAAGTTAAATTGGTGTTGGCTTCTTGTCGCAGCAATTAGCTTCCATGTTATATCGGCAGATAATGTGCTGCCAGCTCTGGTGTTCTGGGAACGGATAACGATAACCATCCTCCCCCGCACCAAGACCATGAAAAGACGGATGAATAGACTCCTCAGCTGGATCGACACAAAGCAGTGACACTGGGCATTTCAGAAGCGTTCATGGGTAGCCACTAGTACCAGGACCATACTCACAATTGGGTTGGAAACTCGAGAAAATACAACCCCGAGATTCCGCAAAGTCGTCGAGACCCTGGCATCTTCGGAGGTCGCGGCGATAAGAGAGGCCAATGAGCTCTAAAATAGCCAGGGATATCCTAGGTTCCAGGCCGAGATGCGTGGTGGCCCCCTCAATCTTCCCCGCATTATGAAAGCAGCCACGCCAACCATTGTCTTCACATTGTGTCTTTATCTATCACAAGGCCAGGGTTAGACTGGGGCTTCCACTAACCGACCAACCTAAGAGGCCCCGCCATTCCTTCACAGTCACAGATAGCGCAGACATTATGGAAGCGAACTGGGAGAGATAAGATTGATTTGGCTTTGTTTAGTATATGCTCAACAGTGTTATTCATTTATGATGCGTTTCAATTGATTTTTGTCAACACCAGAGACTTTCTCGCGTGGCTGCAGATATACCTCGTATCACGTACCCCATTCCCTAGTTTCTTACTTGCATGAAAAATAACCCTAGTACAACAGCGTTGATGTTTTAATACCTCACTGCGTGTTACCATGTTTGCTAATCACGTCTCTGCCAATAGCTAAGTAGCTCGCTCATCCCCCGTCTCATAGGGATCCTGAAAAACTACGCAAAACGCCAAAAAGTTGAGTGAGGCGGGATGCTTCAGCATTGGTTGCGCTACAACTAACGTAATCTCATATCAACAGAGACAAACTTACGCAACAGCCCATTTTTTCTCCCAACCCGGGAAAAACGGGGCTTCAGCTAATGTTTGATGCGACCAGTTTTCCTCTATAATCCCTTTCTCGATCTGATATCGTTCATACTCCTCCAAGGTTGGTTTCGCGACGTGTTCAACATGCCATGTTCCCTTGTACTTCAGTATACTCTCCTTACCATCGTTGAGGACTTTTAAAACTAGCGATGGTATGTATGGTTCATTTTTAAGCTCAGAAAGTGGGGTGAAAAGCGCCTTGAAGTTGAAGACCACAGCGCCAGAAAGCGGTAGGCGCCGCAGGGTTTGCCAGTCGACGCGGAGATGGATGTCGTCAGGCTTCAAGTTCGGGTTCTGAAACTCACGGTGAGTTATATCGGGATGTTCTGCCGGAAGATATAGTGGTTGACCAATTTCAAGACCCCAAGAGCCTCGCTGAATTGGCTTGGACGTGGCCATCTTGGTGAAGAAACTAGTGTGGCTATCGTTAGAGTCACTTCAGCCGTTCGGATGCGAATTCTTAGCTTACCGATCCATGCTAAACTCCATCTTTTCTTTATAATCTGGAACATATCTGTGAATCCCTGGCAATCCTTGACCGATCTTTTCCCCAAGGTTCCAGCCAACGGAGGAGCATATCATGCCAGCGCGAAGAACGTACCGCCCAGTCTCGTGGTCTCTCAGCATGATACCAAAGTCTTCAGGGACATTGTTTAGCAGAACGTGAAGAGGCTCCCTGGCGTCCAGATTGGTCTCAGTTCCGAGAATGCGATTTTTCAAAATGTTGGCCTTGATCTCGAACTGGGTAGGGTATCTCGCGCAAAGGAACTGCAGAACCATCTCCATGAGCTCCTTACAAGCAAGTTCTGAGCCTGGCAAGCTGCCGAGTACATCACTTCCATGCTTTGCGTAAAGTTCTTGGCGTTGAGCGATTCGTTCTCGGTATGTACTTTCAAGTTCAATCCAAAAGTCCGTGTCCATCTTCGTGAGAGCTGACACAATCTCGTTACCCACGATTCCACTTTAAATGAGCCTGTTTTACTCACACATTGTTTGGTGATACGCCCATCGGAAAGGCCTATAGGGTCGTGGAACGGCCTTATCGACGTTAAATGCATGCAGAGGGGATGGAAGCGCTACATCTGATAAAGCTGCATAGTCTGGGAAATCGCCAAGGGACCGAATATCACCAACACTAAAGCCACTGAAGTTGAAGAATGATGGGTCGGCTGTGCGATAGTCATCATGTAGTTTAAGGAGTGGCTTCGGAGTGATACCCAGGTTGACTTCGGTGATATTGTCATATTGCGGTCCAAGCTTCGTGAGAGCTGTTCTTTGTGAAGGCGGAAATACTTTTACATAGCTTTGTTTTTCTTCCGTGTCAGCAACACGCTGAGGAAATTCGGAATGAGCATGCTTGGCATTCGTCGAGGTTTTGCGACTGTTCACCAGTTTGCCTACAAGGTAAACAAATGTGCTAGCCGATGTGGCGATAACGAGAACGGCAACAACATAGGAACTGGCAAGATGGGACGTGAAAAACATGGCTAAACAGTATTCAAAACACACAGTATAACAGTGACTCATTGGCAACCAAGAAAAGGGCGTGAGAATGGCTCTTTTTCACGTTTCATAGAAACTCTTGCATCTTTCCGGCCGCCTAAGTACCGTGAGTTACCCCAGAAATTTGTGTGTAAGAGGTAGTATGCCGTTACTTGAACCATGGACCAAGCGCCTGACACACCTAGCACGCCCAAATGATCATGAATCAAACTAGAGCGTGTCCTCGTAGTGTTGCCGCCGGAAGAGGAAATTATATACGGCTAACTTTGGGCGCTCGGTGTGTTTCGGCCTAACCCAATCCGTCGAATCTACCCGACGACGTTCTAATAGACATCGATGAAGTTCTGATAAGAATGTACCATGTTATACAGGGTGTGGGATGACCCCGCTCGATGACGACCGCCCCCCGGCTATGCCCGCTCTTTCTGGTGTCCATACACGGAGGGCACGGCGGCATTGCAGCTGACACAGGCTGGGACCCCCTTGCGAGCGCTCGATATCGAATGGGATCAAAACATGTCTCCGGCACGGGACACCATAAGATACTACCCTGTTATAAAGGGGATTTGGGGGTACTTTATGGGACTGGACGTCATAGTCCGAGCTCTTGTCGGCCGTCATTTTGCAAACGTGAGTTAATTCTGAGGGTCTAGTTACCCTTACAATTCTTTGATACCGTCCTATAGGCCCATCACTGCTGGATCTGCGGATATGATATGATTTCTTTCGAACTCTGGCAAAGAAGGACACGAAACCCAACAGAGGAAGGCGTTTGGCATGTCGAGAAGATGGAATTGATGAGGCAAGACATGTGTTGTCTCCAATCAGCCTGTTTACGTTTGATTCGCTATTCATCATTGTGGCTTTTTTAGTTACCCCGCGTCGCTTTCCCTGCATAGATAGCAGACGAGCCCGTGGCCGATCTGTTTATTATGTTTCTCAATCAAGTTTCCCTTGCTTCATTCCGTCATTTTTGCCCAGACTTTATGGGCATGTAAACTCGGCTTCTTTTGTCCCGTTCTTGGTTCTGTAGATGGTTCACCACGTCGTTCGTAGAAAGCTATCAGGGGCAGGCCAATCAGGGAGCTTCACCTTATCTGGTACAGGGAAGATGATGAGAGTCATGGACGTAGTGAGTAGCGAAATTTGACACCTAGCTAGGACTAGATAACAGCCATATCTGACTTTCAATGATCTTCGATTGATAACGATTTGGGTAAATTGAGCATTGAGACCAGCTGTGAAGATTTAAGTGTGACCAGAACTTCCATTCATGTAGCATATGACCAGTCCGTCCTTCTGGTTCTTTAGCAGAGACCCAATGCTATCTTTTGTGTTACCTCCAGGCATAATCTTTCCTCTCGACAGTGCATCTTTGTGAAACGATGGCGGATATAATTCCTGTGATTGAGTTTCCCGACTACGCCGTCGACCCGACAGGGGGTAATCCCATTACTCATGATCTTAACGCTCCATACGACAAGGTAAATGGCCACTGAGATACTCGATCCCGACGTATCATCGTTTAAGAACAGAGGCTTACCGACAAAGGAACTATCAGGGCGACCTCTGTTGGGTTCTGGTTTGCACAATCCTGTGCTGGCAAATTACCCCAGCTATCGGGTTTCTGTATGCTGGAATGCACCGCCGAAAAGCAGCCTTGACCATGCTTCTGCAGTCTCTCTTCTGCGCGTCTGCATGCGGGCTTCAGTACTGGCTTTACGGTGCTTCGTTATATCAGTCAAGGACCACGAATCCAATCTTGGGTGACTTGTCTCTCGGGGTATTCCACAACCTCCTCGCGTCCCCTTCCTTCGCAAATTCCGACATCCCTGACATCCTGTGTAAGGCATTCGACGTAGCTGATTATAATAAATTTGCGAAAGCTGACTTGACTAGATGCCGCGTTTGGTTTGACTTTTGTCACGGCCACAGCCATGATTTTGGCAGGCGCGATGCTTGAGCGCGGTCGTCTTTGGCCTAGCATGCTCTTCATTCTCTGCTGGACTACTTTCGTTTACTACATGTTAGTGGCAACACCTTTCCGGAAAACTCCTATCTAACTCTTCGCAGTCTGGCATATTGGGAGTGGAACCCCAGTGGTTGGCTATACAAGCTCGGCCTCTACGACTTCGCGGGTTCCGGCCCTGTTCATATTGCCAGCGGCTTCGGAGCTCTTGCCTGGTCCATGATGCTTGGCCCTCGCATCAGCGACGATATCTCACTGAAGAAGAACAAGTACGCACCGCACTTCAAGCCGCATAACCCTTTGCTCATGGTCCTCGGCACGGTCCTCATCTGGTTTGGTTGGTTTGCATTCAATGGTGCTAGCTCGGCCAACCTCAGTCTACGGTCCATATACGTTGTTATCAACACGAACTTTTCTGCTTGCGGTGGAGCCGTCACCTGGGTATTGCTCGATTATATATATACCAAAAAGTTTAGCCTCGTTGGATTTTGCTCTGGAGTCATCTCTGGATTGGTCGGCATTACTCCAGCGGCAGGTTTCGGTCAGTCATGCAATCCGCGATCCAAACAACGATCAATGGAAATGTGGGAAGCTTTTAAGACATTTGCTAACATAAGCCGTTGCAGTACTTGTATACGTGTCGCCTGTAATCGGCATTCTTACCGCAATTTGCTGCTTCTTCACGGTCCGATATCAGTATCTCATCCGTGTTGACGATGGCCTCGACATCTTCGCGATTCACGGTGTTGGTGGCTACGTTGGCGATGTTCTCACCGGCATCTTTGCGCACAAAATGGTTCCTGCGCTCGATGGTGTTAGTGGTGACACCTACGAGGGCGGATGGTGGAATGGTAACTTTCGACAGCTTGGCTTGCAGCTCGCTGGTGCGACGACTTGCGCCGCATGGTCCTTCTTCATCTCATGCATCTTGTTGTTCGTCATCAACAGAATTCCTGGAATGCAGCTGCGTGTGACGGAGGAGGAAGAACGCCGCGGGCTCGACTTTGTTTTCATTGAGGATGCTATCTCGGACTATGACGGGGGAGATTTGTTCATACATAACGGCCAAGCTGTTGAAGTTCCTCTGCAGGAAAAGAGTGCTTCAAAAAGCGCATAACGTATAGTTGCAATAATAACCACAGCAACATGAATGATACCATCAAGATATTCATCAGATTTTATGCGCACGGCAACTGCTTTGATACACTGGGCTTTTGGTGATAAGCTTACAACATCCTCCATAGTCATTGCAATCAGGGAATTGCCCGGCAAGATGCACCTTTGATTTTCCTACCTTTGGCTTTCTGGTGCTGAACATCGTCGTCGACAATAATACTACGACGCATGCAACCGACTCTCTTGAACTGAAGAGTTGCTACTTTGAACGCCCTCTTGGTGATGGTAGCCCACATTCTAGCATCCAATACAGATAGGCATATAAATGGTGCTGACGGGCTCTGCTTAGCGTGGATCCTTGATTACGCAGTGGTTGACCTTGTTATTATTCGCCGGGCATTGATGTACGTTGGTTGCGACTGGAAGCTCAGCAGTTTCGATGTGGGATGAAATTCGAGGACGTGAACAGCAGTATATCGGCATCCCAGGGTGGTATCAGGCATCGGTTTCAAACGACACTGCAGCTTGTAATAAGGTGCCATTGTCGATTCGCTCTCCTCCTTACGAGTATATGTCGCAAACCAGCGTCCTCTGGACGACTTATTCACAAGACCCAGTCCGGCACTGGCAGGCAAGACCAAGCATCACACAGCACCCGCCGGACTTGACAAGTAATCATATGAGGCCGGATGCACAGGCATGCGAGCGCAAAGGCAGGGGATCGTTCGAAAGTTTTGTTATCGGAAAGGGTGGATTGATTCTCGGTCGGGAATAACGAGTGGGAGACGAGGCTTCGCATCTGTTTTCTTGGGGAAACACGGCTTTGACACATGGTCACGGAGATGATGAGTTCAGGGATCTTGACTAGAGATGACCATCGGTGTAATAGGGTGTTCGCTGTTCCTAATGCTGTAACATTTACAACGATCAAAGCTAAGATTAGAGTGGAGAGCTCCAGTACGAAGAGGTTGCCCGACCTCTCGGCATTAATTTCCTTCGGCAGAAGAACGACGAACAGGTCGGGACAAGGTTGGTTCGGCCCAAAGCAGCCCACCTGGTTTCCAAGCAGCAGTCGGAACACCTCTCAGTATGCGATTGAGTAGAAGTTCTCGTAGTGTGCTGAATATAGGCCCTCCAACCCTTATTTGAATATCCTCTTGTTCGCTTCGGTATGCCGCTTCGGGTAAATATGCCCCATCTGGATAACGTTATAATAAGGCGCAGGTTCGGATGCTGCCTTCCAAGTTTCCTTCCAAAGTATACAGCACGTCGTATTGAACAGCTGAGTGGATAAGCGCAAGACTGACAGGTGTCCGCCTCGGCACAAAAAGTAGTTGTAGTAGTTGTAGTGTAGTGATCTTCTATTTGTACATGTAACTCAGTATTCTTCAGCATTACCGTTAGACTAATAAAACAGGGCGGGAGGCCGGAGGGAAAAGATGGCTCTCATCAGCAATTCCTCATAATGCTGCTTGCTCGTTGCTCGAAGGGAGTGCAGGTGCCTATGTCAAAGTGATTAGCATTAGATAAAACGCCTGTGCGGCTGATGTTCAAGCCTGAAAAATGACCCACCTCCAGCTTCGTGCTGCCCGCCATGAGCTTCTGGAATCCGATACCAACACCCTCAATGACGGCAAGCAAGACGGCGCAGCCGATGGCACCGTTTCGTGCAGCCTTGAATCCACCACGGAAAGCGAGGGAACCACCTGTAAGGAAACCAGCTCCTATCGCATTCCAGGCGTCCTCTTTTTGCCGTGTGCTCTTGATTGCGCAGTCGAATGTGCTGAACAAACCACCCCAAACGCCGAAGTTTCCTCCCAAAACCGGTGCGCGCATCTTGATTGCTGAGAGAGCGCCGACTCTTCGCTCGCCATATGGACTGTTTCGGAAACCTTTGATACCGTGCCAGATAGTTCCACCGATGGCCTGTTAAAGGGTTAGTCGTGGAAGCTTGAAAACGGAGAGCGGGTGTTCAAGACATACTCCCATGGCGAACGCGCCACCGAAGTCGTTAAGGATAACCCATGGGCATGGGTCTCTGCCGTGATCCATAGACATTTTGAGGGTTTTCGGAAGGGCGGCACAATTGATACAGTTGGATCAGGTGACTGGCGACGTTGATCGGGTGGGACAGCGACAAATTCTAGATGAAGTTGTTGCGTGACGTGGCTGACGCGCCGAATCCAGAATTTTTTTTTTCCCCTTCGTCACCTTAGGTAAGCTTTCGGCCTGGTGGTAGCTTTGTTTTTGCGATCCGGAACTATGGTTCTTATCAGGTGGGGCACGTAAAGTGGATCCTCTGACTTATTTCGGTGCTCCGAAGCTTAGGTGATCATTGGAAGGAAGCATTGGGAGGCGGGCCTCGGCACCAATACCTGACCCACCTGTGTCCGATCTTTTTGCTAGGACTGTCACTGTCCAAACTTTTGACTTTGTGGAATCACCAAGAAAACATCAGCGCAGCAACGCTTGCAAGGAAGTTTTCTTCTTCTTTTCCGAATAAATTATCATTCGTGAATATTTCGGAGATACCAAGTATATATTGAAAGTGAAGCCTAGAAAAAGCGAGCTTGAGAAGGAGTCACCTGCAAGGCCTGTTTTAACCTCCATGTAAGGTTGATAAATCAAATCTTCCAAACAGCTCAGGCCACCCCTGTTACTGATACAGGTCAACATCATTAGGACTTCATTGTCGGATCGCATTGGAAGCTTTGTGTCATGGAGGCCGAGCCTCTTTGCAGGAGACAACTTTGCTGTAAAATATCTCTGAAGCATTTGGTAACTCGTATTATCTTTGACTTTCTTGAAGACTAGGTTATTGAAGATTTTGTTTTTGAAGGACCATATCAAATATGTTAAACGCGGCACAAGAAGGAGTAGAAACGAGTCTGTTGCATCACCAAGGATATGGGCGAGTCTTCGTGATGGCAAGGGTCAAAGTCCATGTCAATGCAGACAAGTTTGCCCCCAGCTGCCAGGGGTTTTGGGCATTCTCTTCAAGTCGAATGACAGCGTTGACGGCCCGAAGTCAAAAAGTAAGTTGGATCGTGCTTTGGGGAAAAGGGCCGAATAATGGTTTTCGGACGTCTTCGGGGATACCACAATTTTGATCATGGCTTTCCTCAATCTAAACCTGATAACATCTGGTATTTGTATTTTGATGGTAATATAAGTTTCGTTCTGGGTTTATGATGACATTTGGCTAAATACCAATTCCCAGAGCAAATCAGCGTACTGACCAATGACATAGATGTTTACAGCAGCGGCCACGAAAACCCAATTTCTGCTCTGCCCACCTCGGGAGTCACCGACATGACTCTTGTCAAATGGTTACTTAACCCCTTGTTAACTTTCACGTGGTTCGAATGAACCAGGACTTCTACGTTTGCCGCTGCCGTAGAAACTCTATGTCACAAGTTTGGAACTCTGAGCCCTCAAAGTCTTCTCGTATTTTCCATGCCTATTGCCGGATCTGAACCAAAAGCTCATGCTAAACCAATGTCGAGCCCGAGCTTACCGAACCTCTTTTTCAGATTGGACATACATTCGTAGGCGACAAGAGCACCCTGACGTTGGGGCGCGGAGCAGACCGCAAGAATCTGTCATGCAAGTGGCGGCAGAACCTAGATAACAGGAGACACCACCACATACGCTACTAGTTCTTAAATCACGAACTGAACAGCCAACTTTTGAGCTTCTTCGATAGTTTCTTCTGTATAGGTCTTTAGATATGTACGGTTACTTAGGGACTCCATCCTCTGTACTTCTGGGCATGTTGTTGCGAGTTGAGAATCCGCCTCTTACATGCCCATCTCTTACATGCCCATCTCTGAGGCTCCGTGCATTGTTGTTCGGAGGTAGTCGCCGGGACCAAGACCTGTTTGAATATTTGCCGACAAGAGGATTCTCAAAGGTAGAGTCGGTTAATTGGCGATTAGTGATCCAATCCGAAGCTAATAAAACTCTCATTGGTTTACTCCGTTTTGGGTGTTTAAATCGCGAGTTATCCGAGCCATTCGGACAAGCAGTCCTGGCACTCAATGCATACAGACTTCATCGGATATAGTTCGAACTTCAGGACATGGGTACAATCACAGCACTCCTAGTATGAAAATTTGGGCAAATCTTCTTTAATGTAATGTGTCATATCAGTCGAGGTTCTTACTTTGCAGGTACAATGGCACCGTTGATCTGGCCAGATGCAACCGTACAGTCCGATAGTCCATCAAACACGTAGCTGCTGCAAGCGGCTTGAAACCAGACCACAATACCTGACATGGAGGAAACCGATCGCTTTGTCCAAGTCTCAAGGCCATGGGTCTGCCCATCGTGTCCGCACCCTCCGCATATGGTTCAACATCGTTGTCAACTTAATGCACACATTGGCCTCTGATGGTCCACTCGCTGATATCTATTCTTCCAAGGCCCATGACGCATATAAGAAAATCCAATCGAAGAGCGATGAGGAGAAGCATGTCAGCATCTTTCTTTTTACGTCTAATGCGCTGTGTTGGACCCTGTCGGCGCTCGACCCTTTCTGAATAGGTCATCATGTAGTTGACTAAAGTGTCAGTTCCTTAAGGTGATCAGTGCGATCAAACCACTGTTATTGATCAATTCTTGGTTGGCGTCTGTTGACGGTTAAAAAGATCCACTCAGGAGAGCTATATGAGATAATCCAAAAATGCAATCGACTTAACCTCGGAACCTTAATACGAGAACAAACCAAGGCACAACAGACCGTAGTTGGCTACTTGTCAAGAATGGAGCTGAGATGATTTACAAAATGGGGGGAAAACACGACTTCACAGTGGCCAGCTAGTTGATGGAACAGCAGAGGCAAAACGAAAAAAATGCTATGGCCAATCCTACGGTGTAGATCTGATTCATAGTTGAGTCCAATACTGAAACTGTTGGTTTCATTACAAAGTAGTCGGCTAGATACACATCCACCACGACATCGGCGCGGAAAGTAATCAATCTGATCTCGCAGAGTTGGTCCAGCCAGTGGCGCTAGGCCACAGAGTTTAGGTATGCATAAGATAACACAGCACAGATCTGGTAACGGTCGAACGGTGGGCGATAGGATTGTTACCTCCGGAGCTCTAAAGCTGTTTACGCTTTTTCCCCCCTTCGTCATCCAAACAGATGAAACAGGATGGTATTGGAGTAAGGTATTCAGGGCATGGTGACCATTCAAGGTGCCCGATGAGAGTTTGGGTACCCGCTGTCAGATTGACGTCGGTGATGCATCCAACACCGACAGTTCAAGGTGGTAGATCGTAGACTTAGCCCTATCCTCGTCTCTCCGCTGATTATGACTCTTTATGCATACTAGGTATTTACGAAGTATACTCATAGGCTAATCTAGCAACAAATGAAATTCATGCGTCGTCAAGATTTAGAGAATGCCACCAGCCCTGCAGGATAAGTCTGTGCGATTCCCGTACGAACCACTCTGACTGGTGGCTGTTCAGGAGAAGCTGAAACTCTAATTAGCATCTCTCGTGCTAAAGTGGGGATGCAATTGCCGGCCAGCAAATGCGCCTTGCGTAGTATATCACTACAGGCCAATCCCCTATGGGGTTAGGCGAACCCCATCCGACATTCGGGTTTTCCAAAGTCAACACTGAACTGAACATGGTTTCATTATAGCCACGGCTTAAGCTGTCTTCGGCAATATTTAACGCACACTAGCCCATGGAAACCGATTGGCTAGCATTGCACTTATCGGAGCTATTCCTCGATTTTCGCTCAGGAGGCGCCCAGGCTTGCGACTTCCCCTATTTCCGACTCGTTGACGCTGGAGAACACTGAAAACTCACTGATTCGCTCACTCTTCGGCACCACGTATCAACCAACTAAATTATGAAGATGCCAACTCTTTGTGAACGCAAGAGAACCGGATGTCTTGTATGCAGAGCGAAGAGAAAGAAATGCGATGAGAGGAAGCCCGTATGTCTTTCATGTGCCAAAAAAAGCGAACAGTGCGTTTGGCCAAATAACTGGAAAGAGCCGCAAACGGCTGATGCTTTTGCCTGTGAGTTGGACTTGAAGCTTTTTTTTCAACAGGCTACGGCTCTTGATTCCCCAATACCAACTGATCACTTGAACTCTCAGATGCCGACACATCCAAGACTGTAGTACCTGGTTGTTCAAAACGCGACCAGAGGACTTCAAGTAATGCTACCCGACCACAAGCCGAGTTCACCAGCAGTACGGAATCACCGGAACATGCTTCTTTGCAGCCAATGTCGGAGTTGGCATCGCAAAAGACAAGTCTCGAGAGGACTTACTTCCGTGGCAAAGGCTTTCGCGATTCCCCAAAGCTTTTGCATCATCCACTCGTTGTACCTTCGAGCGTACAGTTAGACAGCGATGACTTCCAAGTGCTCTTCCAGCACTTCATCTCGCGGTCGATGCCCTCCATGTCCGCCGACGATGTGGATACGGAGATCTATGTCAGCCTACTGGTGCCTTTGGGTCTCACCGATGACCTCGTTCTCAAGTGCATGCTGGCACTGAGCAGCTTGCAATATATGCTGTACAACCCCACCAACAGCAAAGCCATCAAGCTTTCCAATACCTGCTACTCCAGAGCCATATCGGCAATGCGGGATCGCGTGGCTCTTAGCAGTACCGAATCGCAGAATGATCAAACGGAGTCTCTTTGCTCCGCAAGCATTTTATTAGCCTTGACGGAAACTTCACGAGGCGACTCAGGCACCAATCATGTCGACTTTGCAAGCCATCTTCTTCAAAGCATGTCGCCGTCACTGCGTAGAAGTGTCGATCAGAGACTATACAAGCACCTTTTGCGAATTTGCGTGTTTCTGCGTATTGAAAGCTCCACGGAAGAGCCCCCATCACTACTTACGCCGGCAAAGCTTAGAAAGCAGACAGACATGCAGATACTCGGTGCTCAACTCTGGGAAGCTGAAAGCAGAGCTCAGACACTGCTGCAATCTGAAGAGCGTGGACTTTTTCAGTCCCCCTTCATCACTGGATTGTTGACGATACCACACCTCGGGCGTCTACAAAACGCAGATTGCGTCAAGCAACTCAGTAACCAAGAGATAAGTGCACAACTGGCAGCGATCGAGATGCAGATAATGTCCTGGGCGCCCCCATTACCGAATACTAGCCTCAAGGTTCGCCAGGTTTGGACTCTTTGGCGATTGGCAATGCTGCTATTGCTGTACGATTCACCCGTAGCCGGAAACTTCTGGCAAGCTTCGAAGCGGAACGATTGTTTTAATGGGTTTATGCAAGAGCTCAAGTTGATTCCCAAGGGCCATGGGAGCTTCGGTCTACTGATGTGGCCCATAATGATAGCGGGGTCTTGTGCCCAGTTGCCTGAACACCAGAAGTTGATCCAAGACCACCTGGACCACTGTTGCTGCTCTCTTGCAACGCGGATGCCGGCCCTGATTGCGGATATGCTCAAGCTGACATGGGAAAGTCAACCAACGGACCATGGAATGGATGAGAGCCCTGAAGCTGTGAATGAATTCACGATCGATCCAATGTTCCTGTTCACCGCGACCTCATCATCAGCAAAAGAATCATCAGCGGCATCGCTGTTCTCAGCATCACCGTCGCCAACAGATGATTCAAAACAGGATGAGTTGGGAAGAAAACCGTTGAGCGAACAGGAAGTTGGGTGAATGTGTCAAAATTGACTTGACGCGCAGGCGCAGGTCTTATCGGGTTGAGAAAACCACAGCTGTTCCCCAGACTAGCCAATGGATGGAACTCAGCTCTATGTACTGCGCCGCCACATATGAATGTTTCACTGGGATAAACGCGCAATTCGAACTCACAGCAGAGGAGAATACCAAAGGAAGAAAGGGAAAAAAAGTATTTTTTTTCTTCTCCTTTTTCATTTCCCTCCATGTATCGGGTCAGAAACCAGCATCATCATCACTTGGGCGCAAATAAGACGGTTTTTCAAGTCACAATATCCTATTTAGAATCGGACACAGAGATGCACCTGAGCAACAACCCTGGTTTAAGACATAGGAGATTGGGCCTGTACCAGTGTTCATCATGTCGAATCAGAGCCTCACAGAGCAGATAGCCCCAAGCCGAAGCGGGTCCGGGTACGTACCGAACCTCAGGGGATTTCCAGTTCACCCATTTAATCCAGCCCCTCTCAATCGTCCCAGACACAAGTCAACTCTACAGTCACCACTTACATCTTGAATCCAACCTCCACAAGCCATCCAAATAACCATGGCCGAGCAAGGTCATACACCGTCTACGCAAAAGGGGTTTATCCCTCTTATCAACAAGGTCAATAAGTGCGTCAATTGCCTACCTGGCTCGTAAAGACCAGATCACTCATAACTAACTTTTTCACCAGTGTACCCCTTGACTTCGACTTCAATACCCTGTACAAGCTCTTACTCCCTAATGATACACGTCCGCATGGGTTCATGGTCCCAAAGACCGCCGAGCGTCTCCCGTGGACCTCTGACTTCCAAATTGATCACGATGAGCGCACCGTTCGCCTCTTGGATACCACGGCCAAGGATGGCCCAGACCCAGGCAAGGCTGCCACCGCCGCCTTACAACGCGTTGTCGACGCCGCCATCGACAACTCTGACAGGTTTCCCACCCTTAGCGGCCGGCACAGTGAACCCTTCCGAGTTTTGGGCGCCAATCATTTCGTCTCCATCGAGCGCTTTCCCGCTCCGCTGTTCGGAATCTCTTCGCGGGGCGCCCACATGACAGCCTACGTGAAAACTGCTGATGGAATCAAGATTTGGGTTCCTAGGCGCAGCGCTCATCTGTTCACGTTCCCTGATCTTCTGGATACTACGGTTGCTGGAGGTGTCAAGGCAGAAGATTCGCCGTTTGATTGCATCGTTGCCGAGGCCACCGAGGAGGCCTCGCTTCCTGCCGACTTTGTCAAGGACAACGCGCGCGCTGTAGGCGCGGTGACATATGTCAGCATGAACGAGCAGAAGGGTACTTTCTTCCCGACCGTGCTCTACTGTTACGACTTGGAGCTTCCCGAGTCGATTGAGCCGGTGCCTGGCGACGACGAGGTGTCCGGTTTCAAGCTCATGACGGTAGCGGAGATTAATACGGCTATGCTCGAGGAGCAGTTCAAGCCGAACTGTGTGCTGGTCATGCTCGACTTTTTCATCCGGCACAACATCATTAACTCGGAAAATGAGGAGGATTATGTCGATATCTTGACAAGACTACGTCGACACCTACCGGTACCTACGTCTCCTGAGCGTAGGTCATGAAAAGCCATAGAAATGCGCGTGTCGGGAGTTAATTTGAGGGCATATAGTCTAAGACAACTGTAAGGCAAAACAATAAATGCACCTTGTTAGCGACGACTCTCAAAGCTTCGTGCATATTATTGTGCCGTAATCGATCTTGATCCGTCCGTAGGCCTTGACTAGCACCATCGAGACCACGTGCAGTCCCGACGGTAGGGCGCTCACCTGTAATGATCAAGCCGACCGGGTCCGAGGCAATGACTTCTCGAAGTAGCGCGTGGAATTTTCACTCCAGCGCCGATGGTGGTAATGACACCAGTGTAGTTTTCAGGACAGGTACACTCAACTGTAAAGGTAACGTCCTGGAAGCTGTGACTGTTAGAGACGAGGGAACTCCAGCTCATGCCACGGCCAATGAAGTCATGACTTCCGTTGAGAATGGCCAGCAGTAGTTTTTCTTGCTTACAAAGTCAATCCCGACTTTGAGGTCTTTTTTTCGTGAAAGCTGTAGTAACATAAAGTGAACCGCTCTGTAGGATTGCCGTTAAGGTGTTAGTGAGGCACTTGAAAAGAGTGACACCCAGTGGGTAAGATCATAGTGCGACCATTGACGGAACGTCGGCTGCAAAGATCATTCTCGTCCATCCAAAAGTAATGCGTTAATCGAAACGATGTCACTTGTCTAACCATGGTGGAAAGAAGGACGTGAACTTCGGGGAGCTCATACTTCTATTAGCCAAGTTTCGGGCAAAGACATGTTAAAAGACATACCGCCAGGCCTTTTGCAGGTCAAATTAGGATTATTAAGATTATCGAGATTATTAATCTATGCTTATAACTCTATCGTACGGTGAGACGGACAACATAAGCTGATGATGTTCTCGACTTGGTAATCATTCAGCGTTAAAAAAAAATTGGTAAGTGAAAAGTACATGCAACCACAATTGGAGACTTGGAGACTTGGAGACATTTGGGGGTCTAGTGGGTTTGGAGACTCGGACGTTCCCAAGACCCACAACCTCACAATAGAAAGAAAATCTGAGGAGATAGCGTACGAATTTGTCAGCCTAGTTATACTAGAGTGTTTGGGACGAATGGGTTTGTTTCTTTCAGGTTCGAGAATAACTAAATGACAATGATCGAATATCAATAAATGCTGTTGGGGGGCTTTGGCAGGCATAACTCCTCTTCGAAGTTACCTCCCGTTATCATACAAACCTTCAAGAGTTACTGCTTATCTGCCATGAAGACTCTTGATCTTTTCAAATCACTCTCGCTGAAGCGTGGGCCCCCTCTCAAGAACCGACTCCTTCTTGCACCTCTTACGAACTGGCAGTGCCATGTTGACGGGACCGTTTCTGAAGACGAGGCTCACTGGCTCGAGCAATGCGCTGCAGGAGGGTTCTCCATGGTGATGACATGCGCTGCTAATGTCAGCCCCTCTGGCAAAGCTTTCCCGGGGCAGATGGGCATTTACAGCGATGACCATTTGCCAGGCCTTAGACGTATAGCCGATATAATCCGGGCTCATGGCGCTGTCTCCTCAGTCCAGATTCACCATGGAGGCCTGAGAGCCAATCCCGAGTTCGTCAATGATCTTGTTGGGCCGTCAGACAACCCGTCAACCGGCGTGCGTGGGCTGTCACTTAAAGAAGTTGAAGACGTCCGCGACGACTTCATTGCCGCGGCTCAGCGCGCCGAGGAAGCGGGCTTCGATGGCGTTGAGGTTCATTCTGCCTTTGGCTGGATACCTATGCAATTCCTGTCTCCGCTATTCAACCAGAGAACAGATAAATATGGCGGCTCTCTGGAGAACCGTTCAAGGTTTCTCTTTGAGATCATCAGTGGTATTCGGGCAAAGTGCAAGCCTGACTTCCAAATAGGCCTGCGCATATCTTTCGAGCGGTACGGCGTGCCTTTGGTCGAGATGCGAGAGGTTGCTGCCAGAGCCATTAGAGAGGAAGTGATCGACTACTTGGACTTGGCGGTTTGGGACTGGAAGAAAGTAACCCAGGAGGAGCCTTTCCAGGGACGTACTATCCTCGGCCTCTTCACCGACCTTCCACGCTCTGCTGTTCGAGTCGGGGCTTCTGGTAAGGTAATGAGTGTTTCGGAAGCGGCTTCAGTCCTGAACGCCGGTTGTGATTTTGTCATGCTTGGCAAAGCAGCAATCCTCGAACCTGATTTTCCACGCCGCGCGCAACTGGACTTGGAACATCGGTCGCCGCAGTTGCCAGTCACGCAGGCTTACTTGAAAGAGAAAGGGTTGAGTGACAACTTTGTCAGTTACATGCGCACTTGGGAGGGATTTGTGACGCCATGATCTGTTATTTAAGAGCAGTTACTTCATCCGACTGTCTACTTGTAACGGGGCAGAAGTTTGAGGATTGCGCGGATGGGAATTTGAAAACACAGAGAACTCCTAGTTTGATGCCGCTTCTGAATGACTCATCAGAGTCGCGTGTGTGTGAAACTATGTACTATAGGCTATCGCACATAACAGAATCAGAGTCCTGTCTTGTATCACCGGTCGGTCGCTCATTATACTCTTAGGAAAACTAACTTTTACTAATCTGAAAGCCATTGAAGCCTTTAGTATATCTAAATCACCTAGTACGCCTTTTTGCATAAGAAGATTACACGGCATCTACCGAAAATACAATGCCTCTAAGGAGCTTCTTCTCCTTTTCCTTAAAAACGTTTGAAATATCACGGCGACTTCAGAATTTCAAGAGACAACACCAAAATTTCCATTGAATATTACCCACTAAGTATCACATGTCACAGTGACAATGTATGCGTCCCTGCTATTTATCTACATATCCATAAAGTCTTGCCCCGACTATTAGGTTTGTAAGATTGGTGCTGTTCTGCAAAACGGGGTTGCTCAAGAAGCCTTGGGCGCCGGACATGTGTTAGTGACAGTCAAGATGTTAACAGCGGCATGAACGATAAGGTAGGCCCGGCTGCCACCACTACACGTCGGGTACACGAGCGGAGTAGGATTCGACCAGGTGGGTAAATTAGGGATGCTTCCAGCATTGTACGTGTACTGGCCCGGCCCGCACTTGTCGATGGGAAGGCAGTCGAGGTCGACGTGGACCTCGGCGAGGACGTAGGGCGGGTTGAGCAGGTATGTGACGGTGACACGACCGGTCGGGTTTGCTGTTGCGACCCAGACGCCTACATCAATGGCCTTGGTGATGTCGTTACCGCCCGCGCCCACATACAGCGGACCGGAGATACCGCCTTGCAGCTCGGCGAGTGTGGGAGTCTCGTACCAGCCCCAGCGGTTGCAGCCTTGACCGGACTGGCTATTGAGGGTGGTAGATTTCTCTACACCGGCAACGGGGTTCTGGAAGCCGAAAGCGGTGCCAAAGGCGCACGTCTTGAGTGAAGGCGGCGGCGTTGGGGCCGTCGGGGTCTCGGTTGAAGACGTGCTGCTTGGTGCAGGGCACGGTGCTACATTGCATTTCGAGCAGCGGTAGCTGATTGCAAAGTAGTTATAAGTGGGATTCCATGCCGTACAACTGCGTCTCGAATCTCTTTGGGTGCACACTGGTTCATGGACAAACGTGTGGACGGTTTTGATGTTAGTGGCCGAGTCAACGGACTCAACCTGGCCGGAGAACTGCAAGTAGAAGCCCAAACCCTCGCGGTCTCCATTGGGGCACATTCCGGCCAGGGCACTCTTGATGCTAGTGGTGGGTGTGAGGCCCAGAGCGTCGTTGAATGGTAGCTTACAGACGAGCTGATCATTAACTCCAGACGGCGCGCAGGTGAGTGTCGCCGTAGGTGGCGGGGTGCTCCAATGCGCAGAGTCGATCATGTTACCCATCAACTTCCACGTTACCGTTGCAGATTTCGTGGTATAGCCCGGGAACGAGGACACATTGAAGTAAATGTTGGGCCCAATAAAGTCGAGACAGACCCTGGAAGTAGCCAGAGGTGCATCATAAGGCCCGATGATGATTTTGGGACACTGCTCGGACCAGTTGTTCTCCAGTGGAAGCTGGAAGTTGTCCTTATCCGGCATGGCCACGCCGGCAAGACTGCAGTCGTTAGAGCAGACGTCGTAGTCCCACCTTTTCAGGATGGACGATCCTCGTCGTGCTAGTGATGACAATTCGGCATCAGCTGCTGCCAGCCCTATCAGGCTGACAAAGGTTGTTGCAGCAGTGGTGGCCTTCATGGTTGAAATCTCCGTTGTAAGAATTTTGACTAAAAGTGAGGATTTGACGACTGAAGAATCGGGGACAATAACCATGTTTTTGTAGTTCAAACTTGTTCTGAAATTAGCTCCCTACAATTCTCAAAGAAATTGAACGGAGACGAGCTAGCCACCTGAAAACGAGGCTGGCAGCAGCTAAGAATAGTCGAGAATCTCAGGCATGCAGATGGAAGACATCACTCTATTGTTATTCGCCGGCCCACATAAGACCATGCGACGGCAAATGCCGAATCTCCAACGGTTAATGTGGCTGTTGAAACTGTCACCAAATACGGGTTGTCCTCAAATGATGCTACCTTAGTATGAAGCCATAGTCGTCAGCCGCAGGGCATCTGCCTTACCACATTTAACTTTGCCAGTGGATGCCTATTGCCGTTTAGATTCCTTGCGCCCATTTGGTCTCATCCTACATGAGTAGTCTGACTCTATCGTCGTACCCATCAGTCTCCATAGCATAATATCGAGTGTGTACCAGCAAATATAACAATCAAGTTGTGAATGAATCGAGATGTGACCCAGGTAACATACTTGGCAGCGAGTTCTAGGCCTTTGGTATGGTCTGGGGTGGGCACCCGTGCACTTGGCTTGAAGTGAAATCCTCTATTCAACAGCCATCGCCTCAGAAGCCAGGTGCTATGGTGGTTTTAGCCTCAAGCTGGCCTTGACGTGTCATCTCAGCACCAATAATGTTGGAACAGCAACATGGACGCGAATAACGACCGGCGTCGACTAGCGTATGGCTGAACCACATGGCCTCCAACGGCTGACATTCTACATTCTATCATCTTCAGCCACCTTTAGCAAGTATACTAATTTAACGTATTGCTGCCCGCTCTTAAGAATCTTCTTGTGATATTAATATGTGAGAGATGGTTCAAGAGCGTATTGAGGAAAACTGTTGTTTTCAAGAACTTAGTACATTACCAAATGGTAGAGAATGAAGAGCCAGATCTTCTAGAAGTGGTTTCCCCGACGGATGTTAAAAGTGGAGGATTTCGCCTTGTCTGAGCCGAATTACTAGCTCAGCCGTTAAGCAGCTTCAACTGTCACATTTCACTGCTAGTTCTTCAGCTTGCTACGTCTCTGAACAACAAACACAGGGGGCGCAGTTGCTGAAAGTAGCCTAACAACGCCACAGCTGGACGGGCGCTTGATCGGACCCCTAATTTGTAACGAGTGGCATGAGATGTGCCTGAGCCTAGACCTTGAATATTCTGGCGTATAATCATACCATACTTGCAGCGGTCTCGCCTATTTAATTATCTTGACATACCAAAGTTTGCAACTAAGCATTGACTGTGCTTCTGAGGTCGAAAGTAGGTTCTCCGCGGCTGCTGGGAATCTGCAGCATCCCTTATTTTGATGCGGTTGGTTTAGACCTCACCAGCCACGTGCACTAAGTCTTGTATCGGCATAGCCTTTGCAGCGCCTGGTCCTCTCCCAGCCATATTCAAGGGGTTTATTCGAGATTTCATAATGGTCTTCATTGTCCTGGTCTCAATAATCTGTCCCTAGAGAGCCTACATCAAGCCGTCATCCACATGGCAAAGGTCATAGCCACAAGGAATGCTGAGAACATCTCCGGCGCATTTCTCGCCCCAAAGCTCACCTTCTCGTCTACCGAGTACTCGAACTGCCCAAGCACGTTACCCCTAGGCCAGTACTCGCACACAAGGTACCACGCATTATCGTTGCACAGCTTGCGCGCGCATCCGACGTCGGTCGTGTTCTTCCATACAAGTTGCGTGAAATGCCCCGTCTCCTCACTGAACTCGGCATCGTCGAAGTCATAATCGTCGCGCTCGTCGCCCCATGCCTCGACGCTACGGGTCACGTTCGGATACCCTTTCGCCAGGTTTTCGCCATAAGGTCCATCCGAGTGCTCCCAGTCGCAGTCTTCCATGCCATCGAGATATTCTTCCGCAAAGTCGGCAAGAGTCTCGTTCCAGGACACGTCCGAGGCGTTGTGTTGCTCTCGGTAGTGGTTTGTGCTATTGAGCACCGCGGAGGTGAAGGTGTCATCGGAATCCCATTCCGGCTCGGGGGTTGGCTGCGGTAGGTTTTGAGTGATTGTCGACACTGCCGACTGTGCGGCGGTAAACTGAAAGAAGATGACTGCTGAGGTAAGATACTTGAGATGCATGGCGGTTACCAAGTTGATTTGGATGGGTTAGCGTTGTCATTGATTTTATTGATTAATCGAGCAGTGAGATCAACAACACTTGTGTAGCAAGACTGAAGGTGAGGTTCTCTTGTCCAATTTGCGAGTCTCGTCACTTTAGATATAATAAACTCATGTTTTCGGGCGGCATCACTGAGCAGTTCTGTGACTGGATGGTGAGGTTCGCCAAACCAAGTTTTGTTCTCATGACCTTGCCTCTCGCCCGGTCAGTCGGATCGTGAGGGTGCAAGATGACGCATTCCGAGCCTCTGGGGGCATCCCAAGCCTATGGAGTTGCCCGACAGCGCTGACGAGGCCCTTGTTAAGTCAACTGTTTTTGCAGCTTGGCGACCCATTCAGGTTTCTCTGCGGTTCATCCGGGCTTGGGGCACGTTTGGTGGCTGACACCACTGCTGAGCACAGCCCTGCGCTGATCATGTACACATTGGTATAGCGCTTTCTCCGGTTCCTTGGGACTGGGCGTAGCGGGGTTATCCTCCCGTTGTGCCGTCTCTTCATTCTTGGAGTTTTCCGACGAACCGAGATTGAATAAAGAAGAAATACAAGATGGGACGAATAGTTGGTTTGTTATGCATATTCGTTGCTTCTGAAGCAGGTTAGTTCGAGCCAAGTGAAAACTGAAATCAAAAGCTGGTGGGTGCTCCCAGTCTTCAGGGCACCTCAGTTCACGTATCACCAGGTCTTTTGGTTTAAAACGTAACAACAAGCAACGCTCGCTGTTGCGATTAAAATGATTCTTAAATACGATGTCCCAAGGTCTGGTAGCTAAAGTCCTAATCCCCTTGCCGGTTTCGTGATGCGAAAGTTCAGGGCCGATTTATACGTTTCTAGAGCTCAAGAAGGTATGCGTCCTGTGATCTTGGCTGCCGGCCCCAAAGTGCCGGAACTGGCCCTTCACCCTCTACCTATGCAGTGAGTCACTCCTCGACGTCATTCTTAGCATATCAGTCGTTCTTCTAGACTCGAGCTATAAACTTTCAACTCTAAACCTTCGCAAATTGGCGGAAATATGAGATGATTGTCCTTCTAGATGGGTGTCTTGTGGGAGCACCTCAAAGTTTGGCAAAATCAGAAGTTTCAATAGGCCAGTATCCTCTTCTCGATGTGTGTTTCGCAAAGGCGTGGACTGTTCGGTTTCCGACAGACTTTGGGAGGTCCTGAAGCTATCTCAAAACGGTTTGCGCTAGTAGTGCTGAAAGTCATAGGAGTTATTACATCTAGTCGTACGTGTCTGTTCTAACCATGCCTAACCCGCCATCTAATGCTCAGTAAAATACATGACAAAAAAAAAAAAAAAAAAAAAAAAGAGGAGGAAAAAGAAGAAGTCTCTATGCTTAAAGCGCCCGGTTCTTGGACATGTTGTTCAGCAGCGGATGTAACCACTGGAAAGAACCCGGCTCGAACGGCTCCGACGTCGTGATGAAATCCAACACTCGCGCCTTCTGAATCGCCGGAGATACGATGTAAGTCAAGAGCATCTTCTGTATGAAGCTCCAAGACAAAATATATCTTGCCATAAACCAGTCAAACGTCGACGCCCACGCGTGCAATCTCGTCAGTCGTGCAGACTGTCCCAAGTCCTTCTCCAGTAGCTCTAACCTCTCCGTTCGGTACTCTTGGAAGAACGAGTCGAGAGTTTCGTAACTGGGCGAGCCTCCCGTCTCGGAGACCATCTTTCGCAGGCCGTTGCACAGCGCGACGACGTCCTGCACGCCGTTGTTGAATCCCAATCCGGCGTTGGGGGTGAATTTGTGAGCGGCATCGCCAACAAGTACAATCTTGCCACCCCACGACCATTGCGTGCAGATGCCTTCCTCAAGACCTGCTCCGCCGGCGTTGTATCGTTCCTTGAAAACGTCCCTCACTTTCAGTGTGCCGGTGACGGGCCATTCGGCGAATCGGTCGCCGTACTCCTCGAGCTCCTTCTCGGTGAAGGAGATGCGCTCTTTTGTCGGCTCGGCAAGCTTCTCGTAGCAGAAAATCCAACCCCTTTCCTTTCCGGTAATGTACATGACAGACTTGTCTGTTCCTTGGGTCTCGTAGCTCTGTCCGGCGGCTGTAGGACGTGGGAAAGATGCCCACATGCAGCGGTAGTTCGTCTCGTACGGTTTCTCGGGGTCCCAATCCCGAGACGGGTCTTCTTCGAGGGCAAGGCGACGCATCTGTCGGCGAGTAGCGGAGTGCACGCCGTCAGCTCCAAGAACGATGGACCCGGTGTATGTCGAGCCGTCTTCGCAGGTCACGGCAACGCCTTTGTCGGTTGAAGCGATATTGGCGAGCTTCTTGCCGGTGAAGTAGCGCGCCTTCGCATCGTCTGGGAGGGTGTCGTAGAGGGCCTGGATCAAATGCGCTCTGTGGAATGCTAGAGGTACCGAGCCGTGACTATTTAATAAGGCCAACGTCAGTATGTGTTTGCGATTTAAAGCGATGGAAAAGTAAGTAAAAAAACGTACTGCTCTTGTAAGAGTTTGAAAGCAGACGACTCCTTAAAATTGTATCCATCACTGGTGAAGCCCTTATTGTCGTTCAAGAGACAACCGATCTCCATGAGCTTGTCGAGAATGCCCAATTGGTGGAAGACGCGCATGCTTGGGGGCCCCAGCACCAGACTTGCGCCAAGGTCCTCGACAATATTGGTCCGCCTCTCGAGGACTACGAAATCGATTCCTGCATGGTGTAAGGCATGTGCTGCGGTTATGCCACTAGGGCCACCACCAATGATGATGACTTTGAAAGGGCTGCTTGTCATGCTGTAGATGTTTTACAGAATGGAACAATGGTGGTCAAGGTTGTTTCGCTGGGTTATGTTGTTTGGTATCTGGTACGGCAATAAAAGTTTCGACGATGGCGACATTGTCGCCGGCGGAGGGTTATATACTGAGCCCCCCTTCTTATCCTCTCCACCGGACTCGGTGCCGACCTACTTTCCATGTCCTGCGTATCAGTGTTGCTTGAAAAAGACCCGTTTGCCGGGGTGCTAGTGTCGCGAAATCCCTGAATCGTCGAATGGTGCGATATTGCGGGAACGAGACTAGGGAAGGGGATTACAGTTTAGCCCTTTTCTCCGTCCTGTGTAGTCTTTTACTAGCGTATGCCAATCGAGCTGTCACTACCAGTACAGATCACAGTGGAATGAACCGGGTTCGTCCAACCTGCGTGGCTCGCCGAGTTGCCGCCCGGGAATGCATATTGTCAGAATCACGGATCTGCGGGGGTCTTTGCTCCGTGAATGAACGGAGTCGGGGGAATTGTAGGGTGATACAGGAGAGAGAGTATAGACAGAGCGCTACAGGGTACTGTTTACCACTTTGTCCGTCCGCTGGATATCTCCCGACCGGAAGAAACCCACCTCGAAAACCCATATGGGTTCAAACATACATCTGCCTCTAGCTCTCTCATGCTGTGGATAGCGGGTATGACCTTACCAAGTCCGAATAGCCTTTTGTTAATGCCGTCTTTCGGGACATCAGTGGAGAAAACTCTTTGTATTCTACAGCGGGAAGCCGCAAGGTTTGTGTCGTCATCATCGGGCACAACGGTCCCCGAGTCCCCGACGATGGATTGCCGGGACGGTATCGATTACCCCCGATCCGCTACAACTGGTGTACCTATCTCCCCTATTACGAGCTGCACTACAGGCCTTTTGATTGAGACGGCAAGCGACTTTTACTGCCGCTTTCGCCGCAAACATAGTACTACTACCGCTTCCCCATCCTTTCCTCTCACCAACATCTTGGCCTGGCAACTAGGTTGATGCCCGCATCAGCTGCGATGCGTAAAAGATTTAGGCATCAAATGTCCGTTTCCGCCTGTCGCACCCCGCCCACTCGTGGCTACTTGAACCTAATCAAACTTGGGGTAAATTTGGCAGCGAGGAGAAATACCCACCACATTCACACCCTATCTGCATCTAAATCCAAGTTTTACCCCCAGAGACCACACTTTGGTGCTGCCGCATGAGCTTACGGTCCCAACAACGATTTGCCGTGCCAGCTGACCCTGTTAATGACCAACTTCTCTTCGGTTTTGAAAACTTTCCAGGGAATTATCATCCAGTATTTGGACAACTTTATGTACGCAGAGACGAGACAGGCAATCCTCGAGACAGCTTCAAGTGCCTAAATCTAGTGGATATCTATTGCATTCGATTACCTCTAGTGACTTGGTTAAGCATTAACCATGATTTATCATCTGCATTCAAATTTCACCGCCGCATTCCGGCATAAGGCGAAATTACAATAGTATGCTGATAAAATATGCAATAAGTGTTAAATAGTAGAGGTCGAATCGTGAATTCACACTCACAAACCCCTCCCTTCCTTGCATCACATCGCCGAGGTGGTTCCCTATATAACTACTGCTTGTGTGCCTACCGTATATAGCTACAGCCTATATAGGTCTCCTAGCTTAATAATTCCTACTTGACCCAGTAGCTAATTAGATAATAAATTTATGACATAATAATAATCATAAAAAATTCTAACTGTAATAGTTTTTTACATTCAATAGATTAATTAATTAGTTCCACAACTCTAATAGTCATATATGTACTTTCTACTAGCTTCACTCACACTCTACAAGTGTAACTACCCAGGTTGAACCAAATCAAGTATCTTATAGACAGTCAGAATCGTGGTTTTGTGAACCGAACGTAACAAGGAGACGGAAAGGATGCCGACTATGACGGAGGACGAGAAAATCCAGGCTGCGGAGTCGAACGAGCTGAAAGCCAAGGTGAAGAAGAAAAAGAACAATGCGAAGGCGGCTGGAAATGCAAAGAAAGACGACGGTTTCGAGGGGTTCGATGATTAAGCGCTGTAAGATATTATTTCACTTTGTTGTTGTAGACTTTTGAACGACTTGGAGACATTGGGATACCGCAGGTCTTGGTGGAGGACGACGCAATCCCACGAGACCCTCCATCTGCCCCATCGTTCTTCCTCGTCGCCGAGCTCGAAGCATTCACTCTAAAGTTTCCACAGCGGAGTCGTACTAAGGCCAAGGTGAAAAATGTGAACCGGAGATGACTCACTCTCCACCGCGTCCTACTTTGGTGGGCAACGACGTCTGGGCCTCAACAAACAGGATAAGCACGGTAGCTCAGGGGTAGAGCGCTGGGCTCATAACCCAGAGGTCCCTGGATCGAAACCAGGTCGTGCTAAGTTAGCTTTTGCCGCGCTCGTGCAAATTGCTTCCTTTTTGCTTCTTTCCATTGACAGTGCCTTCGAAGTCGACCTTCAGCTGTGATTTGCTTTGCATCGTACGCAGTGTTCGCCACCAGAATTGAAGACTCTCTGTCGCGACAGGTAGCATTATCGTCTTGCTCTGGCGAGGAAAACTCTTGACGTGGAAGTGTACTCAGCTAACGCCCTCAGAAAAGTCGTCAATGAGCATGATTGGGTCGCAAGTTTTCAAGGCTGCCTCGGCGAAGTGCCCCAGTTCTAATATATCTCACGCATAAAATCAGCTTAAAATTGAGAATATAGGAAGCTGATGGAAGTAAGTGTGACAGGATGGTAAGCACAGGGTTAGAGAAGATGAGGGTATGGAAGGAAACTGCTTTGACGAGTTTTCAACCCGCCCTCCTCCTAATGTGCATTGCTAGGATATGGCTGAAGCTGGGCGAAACACGGCGACTAGCAGTTTGCATCACAATTTTGATTAAACCAAACATGCTATATAACTGCCCTTGGCGCTGATTGGTCTCAGGAATTGTGGCTTGTGGTTGGTAAGCCATGAAGATAGCGGTTTGTACGTCACAGTTTGTGGCTCTGAATACTTATCTGAATATGACCTCACCTTGCATCTTGTCACAGCCTTCTGTCGCTTGACTTAGTACTTCATACTGCCACATAGAGTAATGCAACACCTCAAGCTGGGAGACATGGTAGCAATAGTCCAATCCGCTACTGCTATCCTCTATCATGGCAGTGTTTTTGCCTATGGAATACTGTTTCATTTCATCATAGCTGATGCTTGTCACCGAAGAGTAGCGAATTGATTTATGCAATTCCCTTCAAGCTGCTGAAATCGCGTGAGTATTAAAGCTAAAAATTGTATTCTATCCCGCGCAATTTGACTGCAGCGCTAAGAGAAGGTCGGGGGTATCTAGCAAAAGAAACAAATATCCAGCGCATCACAACTCCTTGACATGCATCTGTGATTCCTTCTCCTTCGCGGCCTTCTCTTCTTCCAATGTCTCTGCCCAGGTCTTCTTCGACATGCGCGGGGGAGGGTCGCGCTTGTTCTTTGAGGGCCTGTGTCCTGAGGGCAAATCGCCTACGACGACGCCGGCGTTATTCGGGGCATTCATGGCTAAAATGCTTCATTAGAATTTGTCGACAATATTTCGCGAGGAAGGGTCCAAGAGCAAAAACCATACGTACCAACGGCGTTAATGGTGTGTACGGCGACCTTGTCGAGTACATCGAGACACGATCTTCCCTGTTCACGAGTCACAAGTCAATTACCAAGCCAAAGGTAGAAGGACAGTGGGGTCAGAACACATACAAATCCCATTTTGAAATCAGTTTTTGCAAGTTCAAGTAGATAGTGTTGTTTAATCTGGCTGGCGAAAAAATCGAAGTTGAGTAGGTAAGGAGGATTTGCCTGAGACATAAAAGGACTGCATTTTAAGCTTATCTATGCCATCCGATCTGACAGGCACCAATGTTGCCTTGGAGGCGGGCGGCAAGCAGATCCACACGGCGAAGCAACCAGGTAGGCGATCCTGAACGGGTGCGAGTGATGTCATCGCCGGTCGGCCCTTACGCCCGGGTTGTGACGGGACATGTTAGCGGCCAATCCCGATGTCCTGTTCGGTGGGCGCTACTCCGGGGGCCACCCCGTTTTTCTGCTGCGCCACCGGAAAAAGAGGGTCGCGCTATGAGGTGCTTTCCCCGTTTGTTTGGTCGTCCGTCGGCGACGGTCGCATACCTGTGACCTCTAGAAGCCAAGCAGCCATAGCTGAAGTCTGTGAAGGCCGGGTTAGTAGTTGGGTTGGTGACAAGGCAGCGATTATCTGGTGTTGTATGTTTTTGGTAGAAAACCATTTGTTTTTTTGCCAAGATACTAGGGATCATTGCATACACAGGTAAGGGCAACCAACTATGACACGGAGCAAAAGCTTCGGTAATGACAAATCCGTTGTCGTTATCCCCTGTTATGCACCTACGTCGGCCAGTACTTCAGCTGGTTGAGTCGTAACAGACGTGTTGGTTTATTTAGTTCGTCGCCTAGTTCTACTTACTCTACATAACTACATACCGAGTAATGGCTTAGTTTCGGAATTCTCATTCAACCCACTATCTATAATCTCCTATGTCTTATTCATGGATGACACTTGTCTGTTTACATCCAGAACACGATACACAGATAGCTAGCAGTAGTTAATTATAGAGTCCTGCACTTTTCCACCCCAGTCCCTAGAACTTTCTTTTGTCTCATATCTGCCGGATCCTTCCCATGGATGACATACCTAAGAGCCACGGGCCGGAGCCAGCGGGCGTGCTATTAACATCTTCATAGGAACCTCTCAGGGTACGTTTCAATCAACTACGTTGTGATCCCTCGCATGATTCTTCTGCTGAGACTTCTTTGTTCTTTTTAAGGGGCGGGAGCTATTGATTGAAACTGCAAGCCAGTGCAATTTCAAAATCTGATCTGCTGTATTTTCACATCAGAATTGAAAGTCTGCATTAACAAACAAGCTGCGCGGTGGTCAGTGTGGCTAATATTGAAGAAGCGAAGAGAAGCACGTACCTCAGATGGCCTGAACCAGATCGGCAAAGTTGTAAAGCAAAAGTTAAAAACCACATGTCAAAACGACAAGAGGCAAGACTGTCACGCCAATAACTACGCCGATAAATCCAATGCAAATTTTCGTTCCTTCTGTTTCTCAGCCACGACATCTCTTGTTACTATATAGCTCTGCTGAATTGGGTCTTCGGTCGGTGTCGCGTCATCTATCTCCCTCCCGACAGCACTAGCTGCTGCATTTCCTTTTTTTGCCATGTCTGGAGTGGAGCGTCCCTTCAAGACGTAGAATGCTACCCAAACCCTCGAAGCTGGAAGGATAAGTAATCCATACGGTAGCCAGAACCAAGCCTATCACAGGATACCATTTTGGTGAGCTTTGTACTCGACGGTAGTTTGTGAAGCACCGGGCTCATCCTCATCATGTGCAGCCTCATCTTCATTCCCTCGCTTCGATGGCAAGCGTGGCAACAGGATGATGAATCTTGCAGGAATCGACAAAGATGGAAGGCTGGCCAAGTGGTTGTGGTTTCTCATGGCCCTTATCCCCCTTGCAAGTCAAAAGCAAGCAGAAACAAGAAGCGAGCGTCAACAAGCTTCAACTTCTGCCAACATTCGAAAGACAATTGAATGAGAATATCAATGACGACAAGATCTCGGTCGACGACAATTCTTTTCAGCAAATCACCCCCTGTGAGACAGCAATGTCTCTGAGTCTCTATGTATGTCTTGCACCCCTCACCTGGAGTTTCGGGGTGCCCTAGCCGTCCAAGGCTAACATCTCATGAGTGAAATATTTCGGGCATTCCGGACTCGTTTGCCACTATAATTGCGTAGCTGAACCCTTCATTACCTCATTGGTCGATTTGAATGACCACTAGAGACAACTGAGTTCTTGGTATCCAGGGCAAAATGTAAATGTCAATCTGCTCCGATGCGCCCTATTTATCTGCGCCTTCAAGTGGTAAGCAGTTTCCTAGTTTCCTTAAACTACTTCTTCTTGTCGATTATTAAATAACCGGAAACTTATGTTTATTTCAGACTCATGAGGCCAGCTGATGAGTCGTGTTGTCAATACTAATGTTATTCTGAGACTGTTGTGTCGTGTCAAGTCATTTCCTACAGTCCTCGGGACACGATCAGGCTATGAACCACGAACAAGTAGAACATGAAGGTTTGAAACATACCGAAGTAGCCATTTCTCAGATCTGCAACAACAAAACCGGTCTTATTACGTACATAGCCTTTGAACCCTGCGATTTGTAGTGTCTCAAGCGGCTCGAAGTTAGCAAGCCAGCTTCGACATCGGTCATCTGGAGTATCTGCAAAGACTGCCGTACCCTAGCGATGCTCGACTCTAGGGTAAAAGAAATACAATGCTATGTGCTAGTGACGTTTTGGTGTCACATTATTCGGTCGTGCCGGGCCGAGTCTTAGGCAACCACGCAAGGGGTTGCTCAGCTAGCTCAGCTCACCCCTGCAGAAGTGCACCCTACGGCAGGGCCTAGAACATGGCCTAAGTCGTTTCTCCATGAGGCAGTAGAACACAGTCGAGAATAAGCTGACAGCTCCACCTTTCTCAAGCTATGGGGTATATAAAGGGACTTCTGTCTACAAGCCATACAACCATGAACTCAGGGAGCAACCACTCAGGCAAAGCTACTTCTATTCTTCACAAGTGATATTGCCCAAGGGACTCATTACTCTGAAGCCATGAGATTCTTACTTCATTTCACAACTCTTATAAGCACTGCAAGTGCAACAGTCAACATACTACTGCCTCTGTACGTGTACCCTATCAACGACCTCCAGAAGCCGTATGATGGCACGGTGGACTGGAAGGCTACCATTGCAGCCATTGATGCTCATCCGGACCTCACCTTCAATGTCATCATCAATCCCAACAGTGGGCCTCCCTTCGCCAATGAAGCCGGCACCAAGATCGACTGGGCAAAGTGGATCGGCCAGATCAACCAACGTCCCAACGCCGTAACTCTCGGCTACATCTCGACTTTGGGTACAGTGCAGCCTCAGCCTCGCAGCATTTCCATTGTTACGCAAGGGGTCGACACATATGCTTCATGGACAACGGCCAATGACTGGGATGGTATTTCCTGGAACATCTCCATCAATGGTATCTTTTTCGACGAGGTCAACACCGACCCTTCCCACCTCCAATACTACACACAAATCTCCAACTACGCCAAATCCGCGACTGGCACTGTGGTTTTGAACCCTGGTGTTGCGGTGAACCCAGCCAGCTCTTCACTCTACAACGTTGCGGACGCCATTCTGTCGATCGAGACGTGCTACACGGCCGATCAGAACGCACCTCAGGATCGATGCCCTAGAAACACCTACACCCCGTTTACGCCGGCATCGCTAAACAGTCTCCCGTCCAATGCGGCCCAGAGGGCCAAGTCTGCCGTGTTGATTCACGACTTTTACGATAGCTGGCAGCCATACCAAGCTGCCTCCATTTCCACCCTGCAGACCGATATCAACGCCATTGTAGCCAAGGGCGTGCACAGCCTGTACGTCACGCAGTGGGGTTACAACGAGAGCTTTACACGGGAACCTGCCAGTGTGGGAACGGTTTCCAACCTTTTGGCTCTGGCTCAAGGCCTGTCGTCGGGTAAGCCGCTCTGAAGGTTTGGACTGGATGGATTTGAAAAGGTGGATAAGATGGAATCGGAGTGTACACCCAAAAGAGGATTCAGGGAAACAACTTGAAGACAGACATTAAAAGTGTTATTTCGACTCCCAAAACTTCCATTTGGAAGTACCCTTTAAAGGATGAACACGAAGGAAAGCAATCGGTGCTTGAGGTGTTGGCTCGCTCATTTGAAGAATACAAGCAACATTACCAGTACATGGAACTGTTTCTAAAGTGACAATGGCCTATATGACTTGAGCGTGATAAACTTCACTGTATGGAGACTTTTCTAACACGTGTTCCTGACGTTTTCCAAGATCCTCTCATTATCTTTGCTGTTCTTTCCCTTCCTCAACATAAAGTCCTGGCTAATGGTCTCCCCGCTCGGGACTTGGAACTCCAAGTAGTCCACCGTTTGAAAACCGTACTTCTCATAAACTGCCTTTGCCTTGGGCATCGATTCCAGAAATATCGGTACCCCCTCCTCTTCAGCCCTGCCACAACCCCAGCGCAGTAAAGGGGTAGCCGCGCCTTTTCCTTGATGGTCTTTGCGACTGACTACAAGCTCAAGGTACCAGTGCCTCACGTCGCCCATGATGGCCGCGTGCCTCCTTGCAAGGGTCCCAAAGAACCTGTTTGCAAACTCCGGGTTGCCCTGCACCGGCCAGAAATCCTGCGGTGGCGGCGGGGGTACGTTCGCCTCGCCGTCCCTTGCCGGCCGCACCCATTTGGCCCAGGCGATAACCAGGTCCGGGTCTTGCTTGTAATCCGGATCGGTGATGACGAAAACATGGGAACGGGCATCGCTCACTTCTTCCGCAAACATCTCGCTTAGAAGCTGGCGGCACTCTGGCGAATCTGGCGGGAAGCACGTCTTCGCGACTGGGTTGTCGCTGAAGGCTGAGAGGTAGACAGCGGCAAGGGCCGGCCCGTCCCCCGTAGTGGCGGGTCTCATTGTCGGGGCCATTTCAAAACTGACCAGCAACAAGGATATCAGGAGGCTTATGGGCAGTAGTAGTGGTTGTTAAGTGCTGGAACCAAAGCCGACCAGGAGATAGGTTCAATTTCTATCAAAGAACCACAACCATGTGGAAGTCGAGTCAAAGTTTGGTTGGCAGATGCGGAACATTGCGCGCCATTAATCGTATTTGAGACGGAAAAATGCGCAAACAACTGCTAGTTTAGGATGGTCCTCAGCGGCTACGATACCTGTTTTGGGGCTGGGGTTCTGTTTCTTACCCTGTCCCTTGAGGGGCAGGCCAGATTAAATCCAGGTCTCACTATAGGCACCAAGAAACGTGAGCCAAACCATAAATATGATTAACACCTGAAAAGGCTACTGCGAGCCCACGGTCCAAGATGGTAATATTCTGTCAATAAACAACCCACAAAAATGTCTTTTACACTGGTAGGCAGCGGTCCATATGGCACATACAAAGAAAAAAAACAAAAGATATCACGACAGAGATGAGATTTGAACTCATGCGGCCGAAGCCATGTGATAGCGACACTAATTCGAGTCACACCCATTAACCACTCTGGCACTCTGCCCTAATTGGATGGAAACGAATTCTTTATCAAAAACTATAACCAGTCTTGGTCAGTACCCACTGCGGCTGTTGAGCGGGGAAGCTTTGCTAGTGGGGTCTGGAAGATGCCCGAAACTAGGTGTTGAGTTTATTTAAAGACGAGCAACAATCACAGGGTTGAAAATCGGATTAAAAGCAGGCATGGCATGAGGATATATGTATCAGTCTGATGATTATGTTTAAAAGCGTCTTAGATTATCTCAATTTTATCTTCAACTCTTAGTACGTGGACATCGAACAAAGATGTCTCAAACCCATCCCTTGTCAAGCACACCTTATGTTGAAGTGGTCAAAATTGACCTGCTTCACTGCACCCACGTCATGGCAAGACAGCTGTCCAACCCTAGAGCCATTGCAGTGTCCACCAGAAAAGAAATTGACTGTGCAGTTGCATCCCCCATTCTGCTTTGCGACTATCCCACACGCACCATTGATCGCTGTGAAACATTGGCTGATTCCCCGCTGTGTCTGATTCGCACGCTGGAGGCGTTGGCCAGTACATGCCCCGATTTGCCCTCGTCCAACGTATGCGGATGCCTCGCAGTAAACTGCCGCCGAAGTTGGCGCCAGTGCAATGGGAAGAAAGACTGCTAGTCTCATTGTGAATATGAAGGTCGGTGTATACCTATTGCACTAAGTTTAATATCAGCGATGGAGTCGCAAGTTCGGGTCTTGCACTCGTACCTCTTTTGACAAAGCTCAATGCAAATCAGGAGGGCTAGAAGGAACAAAATGCTTTTGAACACTTTTTCAGACTTCAAACACGATGCGGTGGTTTCGCCTTGAGCACAGTTGGGGCATATATCCGCTGTCTTAAACATCGACTGAAGGCCAATCCTGCATGCTCAGAGGGCGAGCACAGGATACAGGGCTTGTGTGCCTGATCACAAAAAAGAATTACAGTTCATTAGTATCACGGTTACAATCCATGTGCAAACAGCCTATAGAATAATCCCTTGGGCATATCTTATGACCAAAAACGCGTATGCATGGTAACACCAGAACAAATGTATGTCTTTCTGCTCTGACAAGAAGTCAACCTTCTATTATGCTCGTGTTATTTTCGTAGAATTGAGGAGTTCAATGACGAAAATGTCCAAGGTCGCACCGCGGGCTCGTACATTCTTCAGACAAACCGCGTCGCTCAATGTGACACTGTCACAGTCTGCTCGGATATCGCATGTTTCCGTATTGATCAAATGATTGGGGTTTTAAAGCCCTGAAGTGAGTTTTCAACACCTTGCATCAAACAATTGCACCAAATGTAGTGGTTCTTTTCAAGACGTGTTTACCGTGCCTATATCGAAGGAAACTATCTTTGCATGGCTTGTTGGCTGATATAGTTATGGGTTTGTCTGATACACGAAATTTGGTTATGACAGTAGTTGCTTCCCAACATGAGCCTCTCGAGAACATAAGGACAAGCAGATTTGAATTCAATGCGTTGTCAAAACCTTGAGATAATTGAAGAAGAGTCATTGAATGAACGGTGGTTGAGTTTTCTATGGTATTGGTTATCTATCATCCTCTGTTCTTGCGCCTGGTAATGCTCAAAGAGTACAACAGCCGTCTAAGGAATGCGAGGGAGGGTTACTAGACTGGACCCGGTTCCGGTAATACAGGCCACCCAGGTGGCGGGGCTTTCATCTTCTGGAAAACTTTCGGGTCCATTGCATTCTCATTGACCCATTCTAGCAACGCGTCAAAGTCCCGGCAGACTTTGTGGTTCATGAAATCTGGAAAAGGTTGATCCCAGTTTTTCACCCAGTTGAATGTTATCATGTCCACGCCCCCTGAACATTTGAGGTTCTGGGCCAAAATGTCGAAGCAATGTCCAATGTGGGCTTGATGCTGTGCCCCTCCAGGCTTTGGTCCCTCTTTTGCTTCGTAGTAGTGCTCATAAGAAATTTCTCTCCTCAGCATGTCCTTTTTTCCGTCTTAGTCTTGCTTTTGGGAGGTTCTGGAAAATTATGACTTACCAAGCAATGTAAATGATGAAATACCTCAGTCTGGGCTATGTAGGCGTCTGACCCATAACCAAGTTCCTCCGGGATCTTGACTGCAACAGTCGGGTCTTTACCAAGTCGTCTCACGTCTGCCTCGCCGATAACAAGGGGCCAGACATGATCACCGATGCGATGCCATTCGTCGTCAGCTTCTTTCCCAACGCGTTGGCGGAGGATGGATGGCGGATTCGTGTCGTATAGTGTGCCGTTGGTGACGCGATTTACTTTAGGAATATCGAACTTTTCTAGAATCGGGGCTGACAAGACAGTAAGCATTGGCTGAGGACACGAGGGCGAAAAGGAGCTTACAATAGAAAGATGTGGCTTTCCAATGATCTTGGATACTCGGAGTCGCTCTTGATACCCTCAGCCATACGGCACAAGACGCAATGAAGAGGCCGATATTGAATGTTGTCAGTAGAACTGACGGCCGCAATAGGACATTAAACCATGAACTGGGGTTCCTGTTCCGGTCATTCTGCATTTTTGCAGTACTGGCGGGCAGTAAAGCCTTTTCCAAGTCTGCGAGCTCATCCGAACCATTCAATGATGTCTCGTCATCATTGACGAAGTCGTTTCGGCCAGCGAATTGCCCTTCACGTGTATCCATCGTCGGGTCCACGGTGATTTCTTGGACACTACTAAACAAAGAAGTCAGAAATGAAGGCAAACATTGAAGGAAAGGGTTTCGCCTGACGGAAAGTGGCAGTTACCGTCAGCTCAACGCATCTGCGTCCGATTCTGGGAAGCATACCGAACCTGTCGTGTACGAGATATCGAATGAGATCACCGCGGATGCCGACATATCTACCTGCCTTGATAATACTAGGTTTTGTTACGAGTTGCGACAACAGGTCTCCTCAAGCTCCACTGCATATTCCTTCGCCGCATTTCTGAATCTTGGCGCATCACAAATGACCCAGTGGGTGGCCTAGATGCAGCCAGTATCACTGATCATCGCTCACATACCGTTGTGACCTTCTTCTTCCGGTATGCATACTGAATCGGGTAAATTCCCGGTCCTAACCGATATGCACCGCGCATGATGCAAGTGAAGAGTGGATGTTTTGATCGTGCTTGGGGGGCAATCCGTCGTGATTCAGATTAGCTCGCCTAATTGTCTATCCCATCATCACCCTCATTGTGCAATGTAAACCTCACAAGTGGCTCATGTAAGCGGCAAAATAAAACAACTACAGGACCAGGGATACTGTCTTAAGACTGAACCCATCCGCCAGTCTTTCTCCTTTTTTGAAGACACTTGGAAACTTCACTTTGCCTCATAACTTGACCTCTTCAACTTCGACTCCCCAACAGCAGACGAATTATAACGACCAAAATGCGTTACCAGCTCCTTGTCCTTGCTGCCGCTGGCCTTGCCGCCGCTGCTCCCCTCGGTACGTGCCCACAAAAAAAATAACAGGTGACATGTCTGCAGTCAGTCAGTCGTAGCTAACTTTGGCTGGGTGCAAAGACATCAGGGGAGCTGATGCTGAAGCTGAAGCCATTCCCTTCTATCCCAAGAGGGACGGTGGTTCTGAGGCCGAGGCCATCCCATTCTACCCTAAGAGAGGTGCCGATGCAGAGGCAGAGGCTATTCCCTTTTACCCCAAGAGAGATGGCAGCGCTGAGGCCGAAGCTATTCCCTTCTACCCCAAGAGGGACGGTGGTGCCGAGGCTGAACTTCTGCCGTTTTACCCTAAGAGAGGCGACAATGTTGAAGCTGAGGCCATCCCTTTCTATTCCAAGAGAGACGGCGACGCCGAAGCGGAGGCCATCCCCTTCTACCCCAAGAGAGATGGTGGTTCTGAGGCCGAGGCCGAAGCCATCCCATTCTACCCTAAGCGAGGTGCCGACGCAGAGGCAGAGGCTATTCCCTTTTACCCCAAGAGAGACGGTAACGCTGAGGCCGAAGCTATTCCATTCTATCCCAAGCGTGGCTCTGACAACGAGGCTGAGGCAATCCCTTTCTACTCTTGATTAAAGCATAGGGCAGCTGCACCAAGTTTTCATGTGTGCCTTTGAGAAAGCTTTTCATGCATGACAGAATTAAGTGCATACATTGTCGGAACTCATCATGGTCATCAAGATTATGTAGTCATTACCTAGGTCAAAGTTCCGAAGAACTGTGAAATGGAAGTTAGGTGCCTTTGGTTGGGAAGCCATTAAGGAATTGAGGATATGGTTTGACGGTGTACCAAGGCAAATCAGCACGCTCGCTACTACATTGAATTTAACCAGACGAAAGTAAGCCTGAAAAATGTGTAAGCTGTCCAATCTTGAAGTCACTACTTTCGCTCCATGATCTGGCCGTGACCGGTGTGCCAAGCAAAGCTTGGATGTAGAAGCTTTTGCCTTTTTAGGCTTGCCGTGAATGTCGTCCAGTACTAACTTACCCCGCCGCACTCGCCACGTCTACGAATAGCTGGATATGCTTCGCAATGAATTAGGAAATATGTCCTCAAAGGAATCTTGGCAAAACAGCAAGGTGACACCAAGACAAGGAGGACAATCTAGAGTGTACGTGTTACATGCGGATGCAGGGCCATAGATCCATCCAAGGACAGCAACGTTTCGTTGACCACAAATGTAGGATGATAACAAAAGTTCGCGTGCTACCATGCACAATTATGCATACCCTGGCCGCGAATCGCGTACTAGCCGCGGCCCGCACATCGAGCGGAACTGCGAAGATCAGATCAAACGAACTTCTTCCTTTGGCTTAGGGCGCGGGGGCCGCGCCGCCTCCTGGGGCTGAACGCGCATCCAGGATTCCAGATTCGTGGAGTTAATCTGCGGCATCCCCCATTTGAATCCCTTACTTCATGTCATCCTTCACTCCTATTCCTAACATCACGCAATTATTGCAGCTGCCTGTCTGAGAAAGAATGACGTGAGGGAAGCCTGTATATGCGTAATTGTGTTGCCATCACTTTTGGAGAGAAGTGCAGGATTTGAGGTACTTCCTGGGTGCACAGCTCTGGGTCAGTCTTGTAAGGTGTCCTGGAGTGAGTGAACCAAGAGAGTTCACCTTACTTGTGTTTCAAGGAAGGAAGACTCCAAAACTTCACAATCATGCTCAACGTGTATGTTAACTTCTCATTTGGAAATGTCTGGTTTGCTCATCCTCTGACCTAATGCTGAAACAGCTTCAAGAAGTTGTCCTTACAAGGGGCAAATAGAGACGACTTGATTTACACCAAGATTCCAAAAGACGAAGAAATTGCAGGCCGCGAAAGCGAAACATCCAAGACTATCCTCCGGCGCGAACCTTCAATCACAAAAAGAGCCTTCGTCATTGCAGCACGCCTCATTGTCACCCTTCTCGCTGTATATGGCCTTTTTACTTTGCTGGCATCCCACTTTCCTTCTACGTTCAAGTCTCATTCGCTGTCTTGCAACTGTGGTGATACGATAGAAGAAGCGAGGGCTAGAGGATGCGTTTACGATTCACTCGCAGCAGCATGGCTACCAAAGCACTGCCGTTCCCCAACACTGACTGCGGAGTTCGAAGCTTTGGGCCCTAATGAGCCAGACACGACCGGCAACACCTGGGGATACTGGCACGATCAAAACCAAACACACCCAATGACACTGGAAGAGGTCAGTCAGCTTCCAGAGGCTGCAAGACACGGTCAGCATGCGCGTTTCTTCACTACGCACGAATGGCACCTGGTTCATTGCGTCTTTTACTGGCGCAAGATGTGGGAAGCGGCTCGGTGTGCCAAGGGGGTGAAGGGCGCTGCCTGTGGCGAGAATGGTGTACTGGTCATTGAGAAGCGATATGATACTCTCATGCACATCAACCATTGCATGACAATGATGCTCCTACGAGATCCTCTCGACAAAATCGCTGCTGAGGCTGGTGTTGCACTGCACTCAGACGAGTTGCACGTCGCGAAACCTCACAAGCATGAAAGCACAGATGGTCATCACGGTACGGCTGTTGGAGGAGCCAAGTCGGGAGATCCATATGACAAGATGGACACAGAGCATAAACATGGCCAAAAAACATCAAATGGTCAATACTGAGTGTCTGCTGTGGCTAGGCTAGTTCTCAGCCGGGAATCAGTAGGCTAGTAAATATGAATGGAAGTGATCAATATTTTCTTTGTACAACATCACAGAGGACAACGATCTTGGGCCAAGTCAAAAATTATTTGAGCACCACAATACAGCTTATAGGCTATTAACCTCTCATCTGTTACAGCTTCTTCAGAAGGATTTTCGCAGTAGGGTCAGGAGATGTCTGTTAGATAAGATAGTTAGCAAGACGTGTTATGACAGGCTATCACTACTGCTGATTCCCACATACCACTGATCCAATTTCCAAGTTTTTGATTCTTTCCTTGCTACCTCCCACATTCATAATATCATATTTCAAGATTAATGTGCCGATAATGATCTTGATCTCGTGGACGGCGAAAAAGCGGCCTGGGCAAGCACGGCGCCCATAACCCCAGAGCTGGCTTGTTGGCCCCGCGCTCACAAATTGTGCATTGGAGACCGTATCGGCCTGTTTTGAGCCCGGTTTTACCTTTGCTCCAGCCAGCTTGTAAAATCGCCAAGGATCAAACTTTTCTGGCTCCGGGAAGTATTCCTCGTCATTGTTGATACCGATGAGAGGCGTCTCAATCACCGACCCGGCTGGAATTGTCTGACCATTGGAAAGAGTGAATGGTTTGAGTACCTTTCTTTGAAACGAAGCTGCAAGCTTCATTAACTTCGAAAAATGAGGCAGAGAAGACTTTGGTTCGTACCATAATTCAAAATATTATAACATCTCATAGTTTCTTTGAGAAAGCTATCAAACTTTGTTATCTTTTGCATCGAAGTGTTTGTGAAGGAACCATTGCTCTCGGCTAACGCTTTCTGAATGTCTTCACGAAGAACTGGAATTAGCTCAGGATATGCTGCCAGCGTGTAGATTCTTCAACATCATGTTAACATTCTGAAGAGCTCGTATGCTGAGTGCGGGAAATTTCTAACATATTGGTAGTTGCGAGCGTAGTACTGTGGATGGCAGCAAAGCCAATTGCAAGCTGATATCGTGCGAGCTCTTTATGGTCCCTCTGACCGAACCTAGTCTGGGAATCGATAATCCATTCTAGCATATCGTTCGGCTTTTGGTAGTCAGGGTCCTTTTCAGCTTCAAGTCTTGCTGCAACAACTGGTCGGAGGAACTTGTCCGCTTCATCTACCCGTTGACGCAATTTTTTTCACTTCCGGGAATCTCGATGACAAGAACGGACGCATCCATGGGGCATGTGCCGCAACTTTCGTAACTGCTGCTATAAGGTCAACAGCTGCTTCTTTCTCCCAGTCGATATCATCTTGGCGATGATGTTTGTTGTTCACTATACTCGGGGCCAGTTCTCCTGTAGCTTCAATGGAGACCTCTGTTACTGCAGGGGTTGGTGCAACAAGTGTTGCCATACCTCCCAGTGTGCTCGACTCGAATAACTGGAACAGAGAGATAGTCGTATTGAACACCCTTTCCACTTCAGCTCGTAGCTGAACCAACAATATTGAGCTGCCACCAACATGGAAGAAGTTGGAATGCTTTGTGACTTGATAACGAGAGAGTACCTCTGGCGTTATCACTTGCTCCCAAAGCTGTCGTAGCCTTAGCTCGGTGCTGTTGAGTTGTTCGTCGTCATGAGCCGTGGAATGAGTATCAGTCTCTCGTGTCCTGGGAAGCGGGATAGATTTAAGCGCAAATCTATTTACTTTGCCTGAAGAGTTTGTTGGTAACTTTTCCGACGGTAGGATCACGGCTGGACGCATGTATTGTGGTAGAGAGAGCCGATCCAGTATGAAGCTAAGGTCTTCAGAGGCGTTGGGGACTGCTGGAACGTCGACATGATGCGCTTTGCCGTCCTCGACTCCCAGGTCTGGTCGGCAAAGTTCGGGCTTAGATTGAGGCACACTCCTGTAACTCCGACCATTGCTTTCTGGAGGACGTCCTCGTTCTCGTAGTCTCCGGGGGTAAGCAAGGCGCCCATGGCCGACAGAGCTTTTGCGGCAGGTGTTTCAGGGTTGCGAACAAGAGCATGTACGGCGATGCCGCCCGAGAGGAGATTTTTGGCAACTGCACCGCCGACTGTGCCGGTAGCACCACAGACAAAAACGGTTTGCTTTGACATGACGGTACGGTAGTACTGTGTGTGTCAACGGATCGGATTTTAGGTGATTCAAAGTAGACAAAGAGATTCACTTCGGAAGTGTGAGATATGAGATATGACCGACCATTACCAAAGCATTTTGAGCAGACAAATCAAAGCTGTATATGAGTCCTGCTCAGTTTTAGTTTGCTACTCGTGGTGGGGTCCCAAAAGGTTCCTTCTTTCCCGACTTAAGGGATTAAAGATAAACACAAACCTAAAGCGATGAGAATTCGAAACTTAACTTTCCTCTAGAATTTAATTATTTAGCTGCATTTATGTATTGCTGTGAGGACACGTAGTCTATCATATGTACCTAGAACTTCCAGTCGCTCATAATTGAATAAGCTTGGGATACGTTTATCAGTATATGCAATACTCGCCTTGAAAGGTTAAAACCGGCCTTGGGAGGGTCCATAAAGCGCCAGCGCCTACGCCACACGGAGGCTCTAACGCACAAAGACAAGATATAATTACAAAGTACCTTTTTGAGAAGGCGCCACGAGTTGTCCTTGAATCAGTAACATGTTAGTCAGTATTTGACTGACCAGAGGTGAAAAGAAGCATATGAGGGATGGTTTGTGGCCGACAGCTGACTTTTTTGCCGAGTTGCAACCATGACAGGCTCAAAAAGTCCCAGTATGAAAAGTAGAAGGCCACGCCTGCGACCTGATGCAAAGGCTAGGATAATTTCTGGTCGTCGATTAGAGATAACTCAATCCCTTCTTAAGTGAAAGGTTCAAAGTACTGAAATCAGAGGTGGTGTGTGAATTTGGTATAGCAATGAAGTTCTACAATTGGGAAAGGCTTTAGAACTTCAAAGCTAAGCACCAATCAAGTGTATGCTTGATCTTCTCTTGGTAGTACATGGTTCTCAATTAATAGGGTCTTTGGGTCTGAGAATAGGTGTCTTTAATTTTCAGTACGTTTCTTCGTTGTGTTATGTATTGCATGCAATTTTTGGGGACATGTCCCTGAGTTTCTCGGGCACAATATGCAGCCTCACAACTTGATCGGAGTAAATCCAGGTTGATTGTTTCTGTATGCACCGAAGATTGTTTATGTTTATAGTAGGATAGCAAAAGTGTGCTCCCTTGTTCGGGTGTGTATCTGCGAAACGGTCTTATGTTTCTGAGCTCGTAATTCTTGAACTTGCTGGCATTGGAAAACGCTGACATTGTAGTTCTTTGTGCCAACCACTGAAAGAACCTTTTTTCTAGATAACTCTTTCTCAACGAACTATTTTAATAACTTTGCGTATTAAAAAACATACGCTCCAACGGAAAGTGTGATTTTTCCTAAACAAAAGCTATCACTCTGAACGTTATATGACTTTTCAAGTTTCTTAAACAACATAGCAAGCCTATTGAAGCGCAAGACTTTAGTCTAAGCACTAGTACAATGGCTGAAGATGATGCCTCCCGCACATGAGCCTTTCAACGATACCTCTTACTACGCTCAAACTCAATATGTTTATCCATGCATTGCTTTGAGGTTCCATTGCGCCGGAACTGAATAATGAAGCAACTGAGCGTCGATAACAAATTTTTGAAGATGGTTTGATTATTCAGGCAACCTTGGGGTTTCTCGGTAAGCAGAGCACGCTGTCATCAGGAAGAGCGCTGTTGCTTTTTAAATCCCACTACAGCGAAGATAGATAAACGTCAGAAGATATAGGACGCGGTAAAGCCAGAAGCTATACTATGACGGAAATGCAAGAACTCTACAACACAAAAAAACTGATAGCTTGGTTCTTTGAGTAATCCTGCACAGCCCCAATACATTCGACCTCTTCATTTACCGGTTCAGAGCAACTTCCTTGCTGTTTCGCAGACATGAACTCTCGGAAGGTTATTCTGGGTGAAAATTTGAATGAGAACGAGTATTGAAATCTCCCATACAAATTCCAAGGATCGCCAAGGCTCCGCCATCAACAAGACGTTAGTAATTAGAAAATTCGACTGTCCTCGCAAGACAAAAAGGTACGGCAGCAAATAATTGATTCAGGGTGACCCATGTCCAGAAAATGATAGTTATATCCTCTAGTTTGATATACTCATCGGCTAAAGAACAAGGTTGCAGCCGAGGGTTCCGATTGTGATAGCTATTCCACCAACGATAATTAAGCTCCGTTTGCCGGGGTCACAGTGCTGTGGATGTTTGCATGTCATTGATCGGAGGCTTGCATTTATTTGCTACTTGAATTCGAGCCAAGTAGTGGACGAGAAGTGGCTTGACGATGGAAGAAAATGGACGTGAGTAAATAGAGAAGGCAAAATCATACACAACCTGAGGCGAGCTGAGAAGGGCGTGTTCTCAATGGAAGTTTGAAAGTAATCAGACTTGGTTTCTGTGGTCTTCACTCGCAAGCCATGTCTTCATGTCTTAAAAATGCTTGTTGCTTCGCAAACATGGAGAAGTTGGCAGCGCGAATCGCTATCGCCAACCCAGAGATGGAGTTCCCAGCCAAGATAAATGCGGTTGACCATGTACGGTATGCTGCGAGCGCGGCAAGTCTTTAGAACATGTGTTGATCAATTGAAGCAAAAGTCAATAAATTCCACTTTAAATCATTAGAAAGCATTGCAATGTACAGATCGTTAGTGGGGACCATTAACATTGAGGGGTTGCTGAGCAGACTCCATGTGGCTAGGGGACAGGGATTTGATGGTTGGAAATAAAGGCGAAGGTCTAGATGCTTGCTGCAATTCTGCCTGGGCGGGTTTCGACTACCATGCCAAGCCAAACTTCAATGCGACTGTGCTGGTAGATGTGTATTGATTAAACCAGCACGAAAACGAAAGACATGGTAGCTAAACTTTCTTCGCTTAGGAGGCTTCCAAGCAGGTGAACAGTTAAGTGTTGTATTCGCTTACTGGTTGGCAGGCATGCACGGAGCACTCCGTGTGGCTGATGTCGCTAGCATTCTCTTTAAATAAAAACAATAGCAACGAGTTCATCACATGGTAAGCCTGTGTTTGGAATGATCTAGTTAGTGTAGAGGAGCCAACCTAGATTTAAACTTCTACTTATTTGCTGGGCGTGCTTCAAGTCTAAAGTTCAGACAGCTGTTCACACCCGGCAGCAGATCCTGTTCATCTACCGAAGATTAAACAACGCCAACCGTCAATTGAGGAAATTGTGGACAAAATAAATTGCAAAAGATCAGGTCGTACCCGGGTTCGAACCGGGGTTACCAGAAATTTTGATGCAAGTCAAAATCTGGAGTGATAACCACTACACTATACAACCAAGGAACTGAATCCTGTGTGGATCCGGTTGTTGTGATTGGCCCAGTGTTGGAGTTGCTAATGAACCCTCACATGCACTCAGGGCTTTTTTATTGTGGACCACTGGAATTTTGCTCCGGCTGTGTAACTCCGTATACATTCTCAGTCGTCACGCATTGTTGAGCCTCTTACTTCGTCCGAGACAGTGGCTCTGGTGCTTTTGGAGTAAATTAGTGTTGTCACAATTCGTCACTCCTTAGCCCCAGAACTTGGACATGTGTGAGATTTGCACGTCGTCATCTGGTAAGTGCAGATGCTCATCCATGGAAGGCCTACAATACCCTCTGCAATATCTCTCAGGCGGTAGTCAGTCTTGGCACGGCGATACTAGAAGGTGGCTGTGCGCTGGAATTTACAGGAGGTAAGGAGCCTCAGGAGCGATTATACGCCCGTAGTCTCGGAGAACAATGACTCGAGGGACTAGGGACGCCGTTGTGATGGGCCCATCAGCTTGGAATATCCCTGGCAGCTCCAAACTTTATCTGAATAAAGCTGGGAAACAATTTAAGAAACTTCCTGCATCTTCATTGAAGTTGAGACAATGGAGACTTAGCGGCCGCCAAGCTCCCCTGTTCCTACTGCTCCGTGCAACCAGACCATAGTTCATCCGGCGTCCGGCAGTGCCGGGTGAAAAGCCCCATAGAGGCCGATGCCCTCTTCGCAATGGCAATAACCCGGCGGGATGTGGGCAATTAGACATTGCCAAGAGGTCGAATCATACATCATAGGAATTAAGGGGCCGTACCAGATTGGTATAAAGAGCTGCTCATGCTTTCTCTAGGACACAGAAGTTCCGACCGAAGTTCCCCAAGCACGGCGCTCTAACTTCATCCCTTCTTTCGCCTTTAGCTTTGTTAGCATCATGGTTCGCCTTTCCAGTTTCGTCGCTTTCGGCGCGGCTCTTGTTGCCCCTCTTGCCCAGGCACAGGACTTGGAGACTTGTCTCGAGATAGCTGGCCTTATTACCTCCTTCCCCGAGACCAATGCCTCCTTTCCTAACGACATCCGCTCATGGCAGCGCCGGATCACTCCCACTCCGGCCGGCGTCGCTTGGCCTCGTACCACCCCCGAGGTCGCCGCCGCTCTCGCTTGCGCACGGGAGGCCAAGGTCGTCGTAGCCGCTCGGGACGGTGGCCACTGCTACGGCTCTTACAGTCTGCCAAACGGCGGCCTGACCCTGAACCTAACCCACTTCCAGAACGTCAGCTATGACGACGCCACCGGTTTGCTCACCTATGGCGGCGGCTCTCTTGTGAGCCCCGTTGTTAGCTGGCTCTGGAAGGAGCACGGCGCCCGGTTCCCCCACGTCCGCGCCAACATGGTTGGCCTGGCCGGCTCCTCTATCGGAGGTGGCTTTGGTTCCCTTTCTCGTATTCTTGGAACTCCCATGGACTATCTCGAGGGTGCTACGTACATGCTGTACAACGGCACCATCGCGGAGTGCTCCCGCACCAAGAACCCTGATCTGTTCTGGGCTCTTCAGGGAGCCGGCAGCTCCTATGGCATCATCCTCAGCCTGACCACCAAAACCTGGAAGCCGACCTACCCCAAGGCCATCGACTACACCATCACCCTCAACGACACTACCCTTGCTACCGGTGTGGATGCTCTTTTGACCATTCAAGATCATGTCCTCACCGGCGCCTGGCCTGACGAGCTTACCCTCCGCTGGTCTCTGACTGCCCCGCCCTTCACCGGCTCTGGCTTCTACTGGGGCAACCCTGAGGATTTCGACGAGTTGATGAAGCCCCTTCTTGCCAAGCTTCCCGCAGGCACCAACCTGACCCGCAACATCCAAGACTTCTGGGCTGTCGAGAACGTTGCCACTCCGTCAGTCGACATCCCTGTTGACACTTTCCCTCCCCGCAGCTTCTACCTCCAGGCTCTCGTCCTCCGTGCAGACCAGCCCTTCACCAAGGAGTCCGCGACCGTGTTGTATCAGCACACCACCTTCGCCTTCAACCGCACTGATTTGACCAAGTTCGGCTTTATCGACCTCTGGGGCGGCAAGCCCACCCGCGAGCTCAAGGATGGAGACACCTCCTTTGCGCACGCCAACAGCCTCTGGCTCATCCGCTGGGAAGGCCGTCTTGCCACCGGCTTGACCCAGTTCCCTGCGGACGGTCTTACTTATATGCAGAACGGCTTTGAGCCCTTCCGCCAGCAGCTCAAGACTGAGGGCGTGCCTCTCCGTGGTTTCGTCAACTACCGCGACACGGCTCTTACCGTTGACCAGTGGAGCGAGCGTCTGTACGGCAAGAACTTCGCCAAGCTCCAGCAACTCAAGACCGTGTATGACCCCGAGGGCATGTTTACCGCCCACCCCCAGAGCATTCCTCTGCCTGGCCAGGAGCCCCCTGCTGCCATCAACAAGTAGACGAATGGCGTGGTGAACCCTTTTGGCGGGCCACATACTGAAAGCATTTCTATATATTTGAACTTAGATCGTACCCTCAGTTGGTCGGTGCACATACTTGACCCCTTCATCTTTATGAGACAATACAAACTTTTTTTTTTTTTTAACACCTCCTTTGGAAACAAGAACTACCTGTACTGCCATCTGCAACTGTAGAGACCTCCTTTTAGTCTGCCAACTTTCCTCCAGAGAGTATCCTGCCAGCTGCCTTCTTCATAGCGTTCATCGCAATCATGTAAAGACTGGGCCCGACGCTGATCCTGGCTACGCCAATGTTACCTAGGTCCTGCGTTGAAAGCGAGTCAGGCTGATCACCAAGCTTCACAGCAACGCGTCCCCCGAGCTCTCGCACGAGCACTTCAACCTCCGATGTGCGCAAGCCCCTGCCCATACCGCCCCAGTAGAAAACAGTCGTGGCTCCCGTGTCGAGGTACATGCGGCCTCGTTCAACCGCTTCCCTCAGAGCCCCTTGGTCGTCGTTGGCGAAGTACGGCTCCAGTCGGAAGACGTCGCATCGAGCATTGACGACAAAGTCAGGGCACCCGGCTTCTTTTGCCGCTGCAAACGCCCTCTTCAGGCGACTGACCTGCGTCTGCGCGTCGTACAGTGACCCATCGACACCTTTGCCGAACCCTGCCGACGGGATGCTATCCTCGATATTGGCGCCCACCGCCCCCAACGCAATCACCCTCTGCACGACCTCTTCGATTCTCTCGCCGTACCCGTCTTGAATGTCGACGGTTAGCGGTAAGCCTGCGGCTTTGACAACCGGGGCGATCTGTGCGATGGCGGCGAGGTTCTGCTCGAGCGTGAGATCCTCATCCTTGACTCCCAAGATTGCGGCAATGGCCCATGATGCTGTTGCAATGGCTTTCACGGGCTTGGTGTCTGCGGTGTTCAGGGAGAGGATAGCGTTGAGAGATGCAACGTCCCAGACATTGGAGAAGATGATGGGAGATGAGGGGGAGTGTAGTTGTTTCAACTTAAATGCAATTTCGTTGGCCATCTTGAATAGAAGATGGGTATTAATGATAGATTGTGTAGAGTCATGCACGAGTTGATTTCGAGTACAGCATTTGAAAGAGATAACAGAGCTGGGCTGTTGACATATTGCCTACAGCGATGACTCTTTAGGCGTTTGCGGGGGAAAATTAGTCTAGCATTGCGCTAGTGACATGCGAAGGGCGTACCCGCATCCTGCCGATACAAGCCGTAGCCTAAATTCCGAGAGATACTTTGATATAAGTACGATGGGGAGTTCAATCAATTGTTATAAAGAAAAGAAGGAAATTGATGGCATAAACCCTCCAAGTTAGCTATTGTGGCATTATTACTAAGTCTGAATAGGGGGAAAAATACGGTACATCAGGGGCTCAGAGAAAGGATGAGTGAATTCTCAAATACAGTGAGATCTACAAGAATTGGTGGATACTTTTCCTACCTACAATGGAAGAGCATGCATCAGGGTAGTTATGACTAAGATCACCTCGAGCCGTTGTATTGGTAGAAGACTATTAGCAGAAATTCTCTCGACTACTATTATATTTTTACCGCTTTCAGCCTATGAATGCACTATGATGAACTACTCATCTTTACTGTGTTCCTATCAAGGACGCCAAGATATGCAGTCGTGAGACGGTGGCGGTGCAATCAGAGGCAAGATTCCCAAGAGGCGATGGCGGCAGGGGTGGGTGTTTAGTCCGATGAGGCTGTAGAGCGCTTATGCAGCTTCGCCACGCCCTATCAGTTATCAGGCAGCAGCTTTCTGCATGAAGTTTTGCCGCAGACCTACGAAGAATAGTGATGATAACAACGGAAAGGAAGAAGAAGGTAATCGGTGTTGGCGCACAGGTACATGTGGTCGTTGCAATCAAATGACTGCCAACCCCATCATCAACCTTCAACGACAATCTGCATCATTTGAGCAATTTATCTGTTCTGCAGGATACTTTTGCCCTGACCAGCTGTCAAGGATTGGGATATTTAACCCTTTCCTAAGCATCTTCTTATGCCTATTCTGGACTGTCTGATCGATTACAATACCTTGAACAGACTCAAGTTAGCTTTTCCCAATGTCATTTGCCTTTCGAAATGGCACTGCTGGGAATGGGACTCGAGGCGGCCAGGAGCCCCAGTTAGGAACATCGCCTTGGGACGCTTTAGGGCCATCATTAGTGCTCTTGGTTCTTGTTATTATCCCTCTTTTCATCATTGCCGTAAGCCTCCCGCGTTCGTCGCCATGTTTGACATCTTGACTTACGAACATCTTGGCAGACAATACACGTGGCATACACATTAAACCATCTTTACGTAGCTATCGCTATGATTGAAGAGGAGGATGACCCTTATGATGATTTGTTTTGGGAAAGAAACGGTGGCCGTTTCTCAGACAACCCACTTACCAACATCAGCATTGAGGGTGACTTTACTTCCGGTTCCGTGGACGACAGACACTATCTGGCTGAGCCAAACGACGACATTCCCAGACCTAGTCCCCTAACAGCCTCACTGCGCTGCATAGACACGCGTCTTCGCCTTTACTCCGGCCGTTTGGCCTCGTTCCGCGGCCTTTTCGCCTTCTCTATGATCGTGTTCTTCACCATTCTTGCCAAGGTCTTATACAGTCTCGCCACTCTTACTCGATCTCCAGAGTCAGATAAGAAATGGGAATTATCCCCTTCACTTAACTCGGAGCTCTCCACAGGCCTGCCTGCTCTCGCAATCTCCCTTGCTACAGTCCAGCTGAGCACACGTTGGGTTCACATCATCGTCACACCCCCAACACCCTGGAGCCCGTCCCGTATCATCCCACACCTTGGGCATCTGCGCTCGCTAAAGTATCTGTTCATGGGCTGGTGGACACTCCTATACCTTTTTCTCGGCGCAGTCAAGTCGTTTCGGGCGAACTTACCGCCGTTCAAAGATGCGTTTCATGCTACCGCAATGCCCGTAGCTCTTCAATGGCTCGCGCTGAATGCAGCTCGGTGGATTAACGAACAGGCCAAATCCGCATTTGGCGTGTCGAGCGTGAAGCTCACCATGGAACCCAGGCGCATGTGGAGCACTGTGATGGCCTTGGTTATCGGCAACGGTGCCTACCTGATCCTCGTAGTTCCTATCCAGGCTGTTCTCTTCCGTATCCAGGCCTCCATGTTGCCGCAGGTTGCGAAACCTGTCGTTTCGTTCCGACAGATTTTTGGACGTCTCGTTGAACCGCGACACATTGGTGGTACGGGTTATTTGTCCATGAGCGGTGCCTGGCGTTCGTTCTCTCGTCAAAGTTGGCGTCGCTTGATGATAGTGCAGGTCAAAGTGCTGTGCATCAATACGATGCTTTATTTCATGCTGCCAGCCGTATGGTGGGTTCTGAGGTTGGTTTTGTTGCTTAATCATAAGGCCTCCGAAGGAACAGTTGACACTTAGCCAATTGAGAGAGCAATGGATTCAATATATTATTATCAGCTACTTGAGAAGCGTGTATAATCCTGAAGCAATTCTAGCTATATGTATTATGGTGGGTACTGTTGGTCCAAATATATACTGAGCTGCCTTTTCATGTTGATATGGAGGGGTTGTAGCAGATCTCTAAACTTCATCTAAGGCAAAAGAAGTCCGGAGTAAGATTGTTTCCCTGCCATTTCCTAATGACTTCCCCATCCATGAAATGATGAACATAACATTCTCCGATAAAAGAATAATCCCCATCTCTCAGAGGCCTCAGCACATACGGAACCCTTCCACCAAAAAGCACAACAACGATATCTCCGGACCTCATGGTCTCCGGACCTATCCCCAATGAGCCGCCACTCGCGATGAAAAATGCTCTATCAGAACAAGCCCGCGTGAATGCAGCCTGGAAACGATGGGGGTTCCGCCGGGCTCTTCTCTGCTTTGCAAACCAGCCTTCTCCGAGACTGTGAAACAGCGGAACATCAGGCGTGTTTTCCGCCAACCAAGCCTTGGCGTCAGAGAAAAAGCCGGGGTCATCGTTTACAGCCATCTGCTCGTCGGTGAGACCAGCAGTGAGGGTCGAGAGGAAAACTCGAAGCCCCTCCTTGGTTGGTTTACCACCTGCTAGACTGGTGATGTAAAGGTTCCAGGCCGACTTGACGAATTGGCACTCGTCTTGGTATGTGATGTGCCGGAAACCGTACGAGCTCAGCTTCTCGCTGTAGATATTCACAACAGCAGCGCGAACGCCCTGCAAGGAGAGGCTGTTTGGATCCAAAGAGTCTCCAATGACCATGTTCTTGCCATCATTTGCGTTATACCAAGAGGCGTCCAGATTGTGTTTGATGAACTCGGCAGATGCCTTCACCTGTCTCCAGTCCGGTACCCACGATGGCCATTCGGCACTCCTCATAACTCGTGTTTGTTCGACATGTGAAAGAACTGAGAGGTCCCCGTGCTCTATGATTAGGAATCGCGCAAGATCCCTATAGACTTTCGCACATGCCTCCTCATTCCCTGGAGCACTTGAGTATGTTGGTTCAAGCAAAAAAGGCAGCCCGTGAGAGTTCGTCTCCGTCTCATGAGCCATCGAATATGTGGCGTAAAGTTTATCTTTCTCGTCTGTCGCGTTTCGACTCCTTAGTTCTGCCAGCATTTGAAGAAGTGGCCACCTCTTGTCGATAGCCTGATTCAACCTCCACATTGCTGCCGCTTTTGCCACAGGCAGCAAATCATTCCTGTCCACTCTCGAGAACTTGTAGTTTGCCGGCATGCCGTATCCGTGATCCTCAAACCACGCTGCCGCCTGTCCCAACGCCGCCCACTCCAGCTGCCAATCCCCTACAATCACTACCGCCCTTCGTGCCAGCACGATCTCCTGTACGATCCAGACGCGGTCGAACCAAGAGTTTGTCAGAAATTTCCGAAGCACTGTCCACTCGTCGGCTGACGGAGAAAGCAACCCGTACGCTTTATTCCGATGGACGAGATCCCATGGCGGACGCAGCTTCGCAAGGTAATTCTCGGCACCTTCAACGTTTCGAATGGCTTGAGCTATGAAGGCGAGAACCAGTGGCATCGTTCCGTACTGCAAGAGGTGATATACGGGCCGCTGTCGTGCGAAATGACCACTAACAGTAAGCAAGCCATTCCCTATGTTTGGTACCCTTTCTGTATTGAGCGGTTGAACAGCAATCTGTGAAGTGTCGGCAGGTCCTAGCCAAACTTTTACGGTCTCGGCGCGAGAAAAGATGCGGTCCATTAGCTTTACTTGCTCCTCTCGCTCCGCCGTATCGGCTTGGTTAATACAGAGGCTGTCGACCCAGATGAAGTTCTGCTGGAACTTGTCGTCCGGCGGCATCTCGTTGCGATTGCGAGCAATGCCCTTCCAGGCATTGTGACTTGAGTGAAGAGCGTGAGTCTCGGGCCAGATGTCGTGGGCAACCCATGAGGGAAGTGGACGGAGATGGCGAAGGGCTTGCATCAGGTTGTTCCGGATTGGCATGCGATGGCCATTACAGATTATGGGCTCGGAGGAGCTTTCGAGGCCCCAGACATAGGACAGAGCGTCATAGGTTGGTGCCTCCTCGATGGCGAACGTTGTGAGCTCGCATTCGACTGGGCTTGTAACATGACCGTATCGGAGCTTCAGCAGGCGAATGGAGTTCTGGGGAAGTGGGGTGTAGACTGGGCCGTCGGGTACTAATGAGAATTGAGGGAGAGGCTCCACGCGAGCTTGTTCGGCAGTTTGGGGACTTCTGTCTGTGTTCTGGTCATGATCTTGATTGGCGATGCTAGGGTGAGCTGAATCCGGTGTCGTGTTTGTTGGTCGCAATGTAGACGATGTATCTTTGAAGAAAGAAAGCATGTTTGCTTATGGAAGAACACAACAGCTATCACAACTCTATCACTATGGCCAACGTCTTCTTTTCAAACACGACATGATGTTTTGTTCAAAAGCTTCAGTAATAATGAAAACCCAAGCTGAGAAATCGACATGAGGCTAGGCGGCCATACATGCGAGATGCTGTACAGCCTGGGGATTGACATGGATCATCCATCTAGTGATAAGCGCCTCAACGCCACTGGGGCAATTGCGTTATGATTGGCTAGCTTGAGGTGTTTTGGGTGCCTTGCCAAGGGTTGGATCCTCAATCCTTCGCGCCCCAGTAAGCAGAAGGAACATGCCGCAGGGAATCGGCAATGGCTGTGCAGCGGAAGCTAGGATTGTACTGCGTGTGTATGCATATGCTACCCCTGAAATCTTGCCGCCGGCCTTTAAACGAGTCCTCATCAAGGTAGTACATAACGTTAGGCTGTAGTGAACCTTGAAATAGGCGGTTGTTCCCAGGGGCCCATCCCCATTGCAACTATTGACTGATATATACTGCTTGACTTTGGCTGTATAGTTTGGGTACTAACGGCGAGTAATTCAAATGACCCTCTACGCGAATATCAAGAGCGACCTGAAGCTCAAAAACAGCAGTAAGTTGTACCCAGTTAGAACGACCCGACGAGTCCATCATGCTGACCAGGTAAAGCCATCTTTGCTCAGTGGTAAGCTGAAGTCGGAGCCAGCCCACGATTCGCTCACTCACAATCTATAAAATAGGTCTGGTGTGCTCTCAGCAGCTTTTCTGTCGATAGCTAGCATTACCGGGGTCATCTTCATTGGTATCCGAGCGCAATTCGGGCCATATCGATGGATAGGCACGCTTATAAGCGCCTTGTAAGAACATCTTCCTTCCAAAACCTCCTATCTAAGTCATGACGTGCTCACCATTCTATCCTAGTCTTTTTCCGATCGCAGTCCTGGTCGTTGAGCTCCCACATGTTTTTGCTTCCTATAGAACCTGGGTGTTCGGCGCCAGTCTGGCCTCCTGGCCCCTTCTTTACCTCGCAGCCGGAGCCCCGACGGGCCAGTCCGGTAGCGTCCAGTCCTTAGTAGACACCATCGGCTGTGTCGCTGTGGCATCAATCATGGGCCTCTTGAGCAATGTCAACTCTGTCAAAGCCCGCATCTGCTTCTATGTTGCATTTTACTTCGCCATGGACGTGGCGATGCAATACCCGTCCGCTTTTGGCGTCGTTAGTGAAGGAGCCTTGTTGTTATGGAAGACTCCAGCCCTGGCATGCTGTGGACTCACGTTGTTGGGGTATGCGCTCTCACTGCCTTTTGGTCATCCTTTTGTGTTTAGTCGGGCGTTGGGCGGATCGGGAGTCGAGCCAATGACACTATTGCCGCTTGGTACGGGGCCAAATCGAAGCAATATCGCGGGGGGAAGGATAATGATTTAGAATGATTTTGACAATTTTAAAGCTTTCTGACCTACTTCCTTCTGCCCTGGGTAGGTGTTGACGATGACAAAGCGAAACAAAAGTAAGCAGAAACATATGCTCATGGCTCTTTAATGCCCGCGGCCATATGCGTGATCTCTTTGTATTTTGTGTAATCTACAACAAATGCTCAAACATTTTCTGGCAAAGCAAGTCATTGTGCAGTCGAACAGCACCCAAGTATGGGGAGAGTAAATGTATGCTGGCTTCAGAGACATAGAGCAACATAACATTCAATCTCACAGCTTACCTATTCACTAAATAAAACCTCATGCTCACTTCTCAAGTCGAAGGCATTATTAGCTTTCGTCTTCACTAGTAAGCCTAGGTCCCGCAGTCCCCGCTAGAACTAGGGTTCTTAATATGGGCAGAACCCACAACACTACTGACGACACCTTGCGAATACAGTCCGGCACCCTCTAGTCGAGGTTATGCGCTACTATGAGCTTCTCCATTCTCGGAATTCCCATCGAAATCCATTCAACCCTGCTAGGGTACGAATCGGGAGGGTGGCCGAGTTGGTTATGGCGCCAGGTTAAGGTCAGCTTAACATCTGTTTCCTGGTGGGGCAACCCGCGCGAGTTCGAGTCTCGTCCCTCTCATTTTTTGATTTTGCCGTGGTTGCGTTTTAGCTATTGATCTGTTTTTGGCCTTTTACATAGGCATATAGTGATTGCCCACAAGTTCAGCTGCGTTATTTTAAATGTTTCAATAAGCCGCCTTTAATATCAAGACTGTGGGGGGTAGCTCATTTGGCATAAGCATGCTTGATGATGCATGAGGATTTCTTTTCGCGCAACATCACCAGACTAGGTACCTTTTGTGAATGCACTTGCGCGGACAATTATTGGTTCGTCTAGAACTTACAAGTCTCACTTCATAAGCATGACAATTAAGCATATGCAAAACTCAATAGGCCGGATAGTTGCTCTACTGGCCATGGACAGGAATAACAACCAGTTTCCATGGACAACATCAGGTATGATGAGGTAAGCAATGGAGATAATAAGCAGTGCGGAAAGTACCGACCGGAAACATTTCCGGTGCGCTTCTCGAGACATGACAAACGTTTGTAGCGAAAATTGTTTGTAGGCTACCCGCAAGATTTTCTCCGGGGCTTTACGACCGGGGATAGTGCTCTTAGGGAAACAGAATTGAGTAAGCAGCAGTGGTTCAGCGATTAGCAAACCAGATGAACATATTGCACGAAGTAGGTGCAAACGAGTCTCTAGAAGGAAAACCCTGGCCCCGGGAACAAATCGATTAGAATTAGGTTCTGTCGGGTGCATTTTAGCTCCGTAGTTGCTGGAGCTGTTGGTGAACGTACTACCATTTCCTCGGAACACGAGTCAACTCGACTGCCGGTAGCCGGAAGCACCCAGGATGCGGGGCCTTTACATCCAAATACAGGAAAAATATCCCATTGACTGCGGTATAGCAGCAGGTACATGGCCTGGAGGAGACTAGCCAACAGGACATGGATGCTATGGCTGTCACTCGAATAGCGAGCATTATGTTGTCTAGTATTCGCAGAATTATGGGTCTTTAAATGATGATGCCATGTCGCAGCCGATGGGATACGTACGACCTTGATAAATGAGCACTTACGCTGGCTTGTGTAGACCCCTCGTATTTGTAAGTCAACATCGGCGAGTCAGTCAGATTTGGAGCTTGTTGTATAAACATTCTTCATATAATAGCCATCAATTGCCTGCACCGTGAAGATAATCTCAAGCCAAAGTAGAGAAGAGGTTTGCAAAAAAGCCGAAAACCAGTACTCGTCTCTTCCTTTTTCGTCATGGCACCGCTTCTCACCTATCTTGTGCCGCTGCTGGCCTTGCCAGCAATTCAGGCCTGCCCGACCAAGCATCACAGCAGCTCGTCCTGCGGTCAATTGTCTGGAAACAAAACAATCAAGGCATTCCAGTTATATCCCGAGAATGCCGACTTTGACACAAAGCGCTGCGTTGCGTACTTTAGGTTAGTTGCCTCAAGTTTTAAGAGAAGCTCGGCATTCCGCCGACGGAAGAACCCAATGTTCAAAACTAAATCCTTCCCAGTGTCCTATACAACTCCACAGTCGCTTCCTGGAACCCCTATACCTCCGAGATAGAGACCATCGAGATTCCCGGTCTGAGTTTCGACAGTGAGCTTCACTCGAGCGGCGTCCGCGTTGATCCCCTCGACCGCCTATCCATCATCATTGATGCTGGCTCCGCCTTCGACACGGAAGGCAAAAATATCACTGGCGACAACATCCTCGTCAAGTACGATCTCACGCAGAAGCGGGTGTTGTGGCAGCGCAATCTGACTGAGTTGACGAACGGCGTCTACGGTGGCTTCCAAGACACGGCACACGGTCCTGACGGCACTACCTATGCTCTCGGTACCTTCCCGAGCAGTATTATCCGTGTCAGCCCGGACGGCAGCAAGGCGGACGCATTTTACCTCAAGACCCCTGCTATTCATACCATCCACGGCTTTTCTGGTCTCGTCACCGCCCCTGATGGCAAATCGATCCTTGTGGCCGACAGCTCTGACGGCCAACTCTACCGCCTCGACATTGGCGTTTCTGCGAACAGCACTGCGGTGGCGCCGGTCCGCGTCCCGCTGAAGTCGGCAGACATAATTGGTTCAGCACTCGATGGAGTCTCGATTCCTTCCCGGTACAACGGCAAGGTTATTCTTGTCTCTGACAACGTCAACGGGACGGTGGTGCTGCACTCGGATGACGCCAAGTGGGAATCGGCCACCGTCCTGGGATCGGTGCCCAACGGATACCTTGCAGACGGAGGATCGAGCGTCACTACGGTACAGATTGGAGGCAGTGTGTATGTTGTGACTGAGTGGTTTGGGGATTCTAAGGTGGCGGGCACGTTGGCCGGTGACCGCTCAGAGTGGCCTCTTGTTGACATTACTGCTGCTGTCGATGCCTTTCTGGCTAAGCTGTGAGCAAGGCGCGTACCGCGCATAATGTGATTCAATCCTAGGTTTTAGAACAACATTAAGTCCTTAATTCTACTTAACTAAAACATATAAATTCCGCTTTGGAAGTATAGAATGGACATCATGTCTGTTGGTGAACTGGCCCGAAGGCTTTTGTCCAAGGCATTCGGGGCTGCATGTTGACCAGCAAATTTCTTGCCACACGCTTCTGACCATGCCTTCTCGTTCCTTACTTTGATCGAATCTTCATTCGAATTCATTCCGGAAGTCTAATCCACCGCTTACCAAAGACATCTTTTGGTTTCTTGTGAAGGAGAGTGTTGGTCTCAGTCTATATGGGTAAATATAAAAAGCGTACAAAAACATCGTTCCCCGCAAAGGTCATACTTTATTAACAGGTATCAGTTCTGGTCCACCTTGAGAGTACTCAAACTTGACGTCCATCCCTCTTGCTCTTTCGTCCATCTCAGATTCACTGCTGGCTTCTCTCAACAGTGACCTCCCACTTTCATCGAGGCCATGAGCAAGAGTCGCCAGTGAGCTTCCTTTCCACGCTGGGAGCCCTAACCCACGAGTTTCCAAGATAGACCATATGCAGAAGATACAGCCTCCTATGAGGGCACCAACAGGCAGCGACAAGAAAGCCCAGTTCACTCTAATCCGAATCACCCACTGTTTCATTGTTCCAGCAAGCGGATCGGTCTGGAGCGAGCGGTTACGCATCCACTTGGTCAGACTAACAGCGACATTTTCAAATGTTCTCGTCATGTTTTGCGAAGCTGCTAAGGCGTTGAGTGCAGGTGTCTCTCCGCCATAAGTTGGATATGCAAGCATTTTGTCGCTCCGTGGTGTTGGGTACCGAGAAAACTCTTCAAGAAACCAACTCAAAACAGACCCAATAGTATTATAAGACACATTGAACCGTTGGGAGTTATCTTCAACAGTCCCAGTAGTAGCCGAGTAGTTTTCATTTGGTGAAATCAGTTGTAGGTCTGTACGTTTAGAGTCTCGGGAGCTCCAGTAGAGTGTGTAGTTCGTGAGCTCGTTGTAGGCTTTGTATTCATCAATCGCTTCGAGGTCCTCCGTGGTGAAAGAGTCGAGGTTACGGTTCGAATGGGAACTCAGTATTGATTCGTTCAAAACGTTTTGTCGCACGGTGGACTGGTACGTGTTTGTGCAAAAGTACAGTGCACATTCCTCTGATGTGACCTTGCTCTCTTCCCAACGTTGGTGCCTTTGCCGGTACTCTTCACTTGCCTGGATGGTTGCAAAAGAGATAATTAGGGTTTTGGAGTCTCTGAACGATAGAGTATCACTTGGTCTGCAGGTTGCTCGAGCCGTCAACTCTGCTCCGACCATCCAGGAGGAATAACCACCATACTCATCTTTCACCCTCTGATCGGTTCTGTATATTGATGACTGAGCAATTCCATGGAAATTGGATATGCTAAGGTCCATGTCCGGAATTTCATATCTCGTATAGGGGAACTTTTTGGTTTTATTGCGGGAAAAATGAGTGTCATCGTCAGGCTGGTGGAAAACTGTGATGAGGCTATCATTAAGGACCGCCTCCCCGCTTGACCGGGCCACGTAGCTTGATATGTCGTAACAGGCGGCGCAAACAGCCAATGATGTGTACGGTTCCCATGTACAGTTTCCCGTAGCGCAGTTGAAGTTTGGCTTCAGATTGTCGACAGAGCTCAGGTTAGAAAAGCCTTCCCAGATGGCTGCCAAGGCACCAAAATCGTATTCGGATCGCTTGCCTTCAAAGGTGACGCGAGAAAATGAGCCATCCAGAGTTCCTGGCATGGGATCGCCATAGCTATAGCTATGTAGGCCGACATCTAGCCTTTTCGTCCTACCGATGGCTGCTGCTGTTGAAGATTCTGGCATGTCCATTTCTTCACCCGAGAATGTGATAATGGCTTGAAGGAATGGTTCGAACCCGACCAGTACAACTGCCGATAAGGCTCCAAGAGCAGTCCAGTTTCTGCAAAGTCTGTCAGAAAGTTACGGGAAGAGACCCAGAAACACAAGGCTTGGTACCTAAGTTTAGTCCACCACAGCAGGCGGATGCTCCCCCAAGGTCCCCGACTAGCTTCCTCGAATCGGTTAAAAGTCATTATTTCGTCGCTCCTCTTGCAATACCAGTTCCATTTCCCTTGGCTGATGCAAGCGCTTATGGCAAACGCAAGTGATGCTCGAGAAGTAGCCCCAAGGATGGACAATATGGCGTTCATCGATATGGGCAAGGACCATTGTGTTAGGGGCTTGTTCTCAAACAGCGGCAGCAGAACAATTATCGCAACAAGAGCGCAGATGCTGAGGATTATCGCAGAAATCTCCAATCCCCAATGGTTTTCTCCAAACTGCAGTAATTTGCGCTCTCGATCCGACCCCTTTGACGAAGCGATCTTGGCATAAGCTCCAGGCTTTTTATGCGACAAATTGTCAGCGGCCAATCTGTGGTGCGCAGACGAGTCTTGGGTTGGGAAAAGGGGAGTCAAAGGCCTTTTGTTACCGCTAAAAGCGTTAGACGACATGTGAGGATGTTCAGTTGATGGTTTGTGTGCAGGGGGTATCTGGTTCAATTCAAGCAATGGAGCGCCAGCGTCATGGTCATGGTGGCGTGTGGCTGTCATTACGGAGGTTGGATTTCACCAAACGGTTAGGGTAAAAAATGAGATAGCAGTCAAAATAACCTTTAGGGGTAGAGCCTAGGCATGGTTGCGGCACTTGAGGTGTATTTACAACGTGATGGCGGAGGCAACGCGTGTTTCAAGGTTGCACAGGATTGGTCGCCTGATTTGCTTCCCAACATCTGTACTCATGTGCTCCGTACCGTTGAGCCCATTTGCGACAAATTTACCAAGACTGTGGCACAGTTTCGTACTGCCACGGAACAAAAAAAGAAAGGAAAAGGTGCCTTCAGCCCCTGTTACTGATCCCATTTCCGCGATCTGCAAAATCCTACTTGAAAGACAGGACCAAGCTACACCTGCACAACCTTCTGATGTCCCACTCCATAAGGTGATGCACAATTGGCGGTCCAATGTTCGTGTAGTCTTCTCAACGGGGGTCCTACAATTGACTAGCTGCATATGACTAGGCTACAGCAAATCTGAACAGGATAAATTCACAGCCCCAGCCCAATAATTCCTTATACAGTAGTTTTGGCGAAATTGCCTTCACATTTGCGAATCATAATGAGGAGTGATTCTTGGCATTCACGTCGTGTTGTTTTCCCCAGCATGGTCAGTATTAACCGTAAGTCCCGGGCGTAAACACAGCCCTGCGTAACATGCCTCGCTTTGGCTGTAGCTCTGCAGCATATTGAACTGGCCATTAATTAATACTACGCAGCACGCATTCGCGCCAATCATGGTGCCCCTTCAGGCAGCAGGGAGGCGGAGTACGAGGCCTCCACGCCCGGAGTGGGAGCATGATCCCTCGCGGTAGGGACCAGTTGATAGGCTATTGAATCTATCATGGTGCGAATTATTCAAGGGTCGATCGTGAAATATAATGGCACGCCTTTTACCTTGGTTCAAAGGACGCGCGTTCTTGCATTTCTTGTCAGCTACTAACTGCAACTGAAATGCATCCTACGGCGTTCCTGTTTCTTTCTGCGGCCGCCGGCCTTCTCGGCCCCGTTGCGGCCCAGGTGCCGACCGAGACGGAGAAGTCAACGGTGTGGCTGCCGCCGCGCTCCACCACCATCGGAGAGAACATTTACGCGTCCGTCATCACAGCGGCGCCATCCTCGACCGAGTTTTTGCTAGCGTGTACATCCGTCTTTCGATCGGCGTCGGCGTGCTCGCATTTCAACAACGTCACGTTGACGTATGGTAACAACACGATGAAGATCGGATTCAGGTGGGCATTAGACTACTTCCCTGGGATGATGGCCAGTAACCCTGAGGCTAACTTGTTTTACCAGGACCGACACTTTCGATTGTAAACGTGACTCAACAGCGACTTGTGCTGTCGCTTCCGGCAATGCCGCAGCCTCGCAGTCTACTCTCGCAAGCTCGGTGTCGGCATCGTGGTTCACTGCTATTACCATCATCGACGGCCACGACAAGCTCAGAAAAGCCAAGGCTCGCAAGACATCGACGCTTGCCGGCGCCGCACCAGCAGCGACGACTTCGGCGAACAACAACGGCATCTGCAAACGTTCAACCAAGGGTGGAAGTGGAAGTGGAAGCGGTGGTACGGACGCTGGTTCTGATGACGGTGCTGATGCTGGTTCTGGCAGCAGCAGTGCGACAAAGCCAAAAACCCATTCAGACGGCGACGCCGGTGGCTGCTCTGCCGCTAGTAGCAACTTTGGAGGGCTGTCACTGGTGATGACAGGCCTTGCAGCAGTTGTCGGTGTTGCTGTGACACTCTTCTTGTGAGATGCGACATGAACGAAAGAGATGTGGAAAAGCCCAACTGGGTTTTTGTCTCGCTCACGATTGTGGACGACAAAAACCTAAGATAAAAAGACGACCTGGCCACGACGAGACGAAAAATAATAGCAGCTCGCTGTTATTGATGGGCTCCATCCTCCCTAATCAAATCTAGGTACTCGCAAATTAGCGGTCTAATCACGGTCATCGCTTGTTTAGATGGTATTTCCGGCTAAGGTTGTGTTCACGAAATCCTTGAGCGGGCGTTATAGGCATGGTTCAACAAGCGAGTACGACAACCAAACTTCTTGTCAATATTTTTATTTTATTTTCTGTATCTAACGGGTAGTCACGTAGTGTGTGTACCCTTGAAGCTCTCCTTTGCGCCCAGATCAGGGATTTGCAAGATTCAAACAATAATGACACACATATGACAATCCTGTTGGGCCCAAAATACCACATTGTGCGCGCTCCCCACAGCGCTTAACCTCTGAAGGGGCGACGAACCGTTTCAGTGCTCCTCGGTCGCCTGGGTGGTGGTTTGACAGGCATTGGGAGGCGGCCAAGCAAGGGGGGGCAGGGGATCATGCTGCACTAGCGGCAGCTAAGCACCTAGTGTGTCTACCTTGTTTTTTTAGTGTATTGCCGTCCCGAAACTCTGTTATGATTGAGGTGAACTCGAGAGAACCCTGAACCCAACCCGAATTTACTGGCAGTAGTATAGCAGCGGGGAGTGTGTGGCAGTGTCCCCAAATAGTACGTGACTCTGGCGGTTTGTTCATTGCGCTCGGGAAGATGCGATGCCGTCCAATCAGTCGAAATGAAGTTTATGCCATGTCCAGTTGCCGAACGGGACGTGGCGTTCAAGACAATATTTGCTTGATTCAGTTGACATGGTGTCAGAGGCGACGTCAAGAAAAGTTTCGCAACTCGAGCAAAAGCAGTTGGGACGAAGTCCAAAACTCTGCCCAGCCAAACGCAGGAGACCCGAATTCTCATCATCTCTGGTCGGCGTGTTTGGGATCTTCGAGGGATCACCGATGCAAGTGAATCCACATTGCTCTCATGTCCTCGAGGCCAGCGGGCGGTGATGCCAGCCAACTTCCACCGGTCCGTCCTCTCTCCAACGACAGCAAAAAGAAGGGCATGACAGATGTGGGCACGGACAAAGCTCATGCCGTTCCAATATTTGCCTTCCCAACGTCTGAAGGTTAAGCTTGGCAGTATGATACAGGGGTCGTGAAACCCCCCTGGGAGGGGTGGGGAATCTCGGAGCTTTCCCGCCAAAGCAGTCAGCCAACAGGCACTCTGCCGCCAGTGGGCATCTGTAAAGTCATTCTTCAATAGGCACAGTAACCGATCAGATACCCAAAAGAGGGAAAGGGAGAAGGAGAATACATGACTATCTATTGAGTACCTTTGACGGAATTACGAATTACAGTCTGTCTTGGTTTAGGCTCTGGCTTACCGAGACCTCCTTGCCATGACCCTAGTAACGCTATCTTAGTCTCCTTCAACTCCGTCTCAACCCCGGGCCCATCTTCATGTTTGTTGCCTTGCCCGTTGCGGCCACTGGCCAACCCCTTTGGAACTCCTCGGAGCCTCGCGAGCCTCAAAGGTGTAACGACAGGCGCTCAGTCAGGGTATTCCCTGTCGCGCAAGCCAGATCTGAACATAAGCTGGCTTCCTGATCGGGCTTAGCAGACGCAGCCGCAACGTCTTGGCAGCTTCATCGGCCCTCCATGCGTCACGAACTTCAGACTTCTTCGAGGCTGGCAGGCGGGCTCGACATGAGATGCTCGTGACGCTGCCGTCTCAATCGCCCTGCCGAACCCTGCCATCCCATGTTCGATCAATGGTTTGACTGATGCAGTTGGGGGCCGCTGCGACTGTGCCACCGCAACGTCTGTGCATTTCCTGGCCTCGAGGGGTAACAATACACGAACGATGTGAATATCCGAAAACGAGGATTATAGCAAAGGTGGGAATTTTGGGGAGGCAAACATCCAATGATCCGATCCTACCTTGTAACTTAGCGCCGTTCACATAATGTGAACGGACAGAGAGATCGTCTGAAAAAAAAATCTTGTATAAAGATCAGCTCGATCTTCCTCTTGGTGTCGTCTCTTTCTTCTTGTCTCATCACGCTCTACAATCATTACAACCTTGTTCGTCTTTTTCTTCTCTTCATTCTACAACAGCTGTGCTGTCTTCAATCTCTTCCTAACGCACTTGATCATTCATTCTATTCTTCCGGGTCCGTGTCCCTCTTTCCGTCTCATCTCAATACCATCCAACATTTTTTAAACGTCAACTTTCGACCCACCTCAAACCATTCAAAATGAAGTTCTCTCTCCTCACCATCGGCTTCGCTGCCTTCGCCGCTGCCGCCCCTCTCGCTGCTCGCCAGAACAACGTCTTCTCCACCCAGACCTTCAACGACCTCTCCATCAGCGGCGGTACCGCCGGCACTGCCAAGCAGGAGGCCCTCGACAAGCTCTCTGGTCTTCCCACTGACCTGAGCTCTGTCAGCAAGGCTGATCTGGACTTCCTCAACAGCGTCAACCAGATCGCCAACAAGGCTGAGAAGGAGGCCTTCAACCCCGCCATTGAGGCTGCCACCGGCGAGGAGGCTGATGCCCTTCAGGTATGTCACTTTATCTAGTTCCACATCAAGAGCACAGACTGACCAGGCACGATCAAAAACAGCGCGGAAAGATCAAGAACAAGGTCCTCAAGCTTACCGCTACCATGATGAAGCTGCAGGCTCAGCAGGCCCAGGGCCAGGACGTCGCCGCCAAGATGGCTGAGGAGCAGAAGAAGCTTGACAACAACATCAAGCAGGACGAGGCCGAGGCCGGTAACGCCTCTACCGCTCTGGACTTTGAGGCCTCCACCGCATAATCGACTTAATGAAGAGAAGGTTGGGAAACCGGGCGTGAATAAAAACACGTGACCGGTTGATGAAAATGAGGATGGGAATGAGAGACATCGGTCATGAGAAACTCACGAGACGAAAAAGGCGCTGTGTGCCGGACTCGGATGATTCGATCAAGTGCTGGCCATTTTAATGTTATTGGATTGTATGGATACTAGTTGGTACGTTCTAATAACTATAAAAAAAGAGATTAAAAAACCTTTTATAATCTGGGGTCCTTCCTTTTTCGCGTCAGGGCGGATCTCAGGGGGCATCACCTTGGGAATTACTTTGGTGCCTTTTCTTCTGCCAAAGCTGTCCATCTCTTCTTCAGAACATGGACTGAGCTCTTTGGTCGCCTGTCTCGTGTGAACACACCCTTTTTGTTTCCGTCTACCCGGTGTATGCCAGAGGTAGTATGAAAATCGGCAAAATTCCAAACGTGCTCCCCTACTACACTATCAACCCGATCAAAAACGCGGTGAAACATTTCTAGAAACTTTGCCTGGTACTCCTCGCTCCAAGGCAGATCAGTGACAGAATGCAATCCAGCCAGACTCTCAGCGCCGTACTCCGTCATGATGATGGGCTTGCCGAACTTGGCCTGCCACCCCAGTAAATCATCTTCAAGCGACTTTTCTGCAGCTTCCAGGTCCCCGGTCTGCGTATACCACCCGTAATACCGGTTCAAACAGATGACGTCGAACAAGTCCGTCAGTATGTCCGTATCGAACGTACTAAAACTCATATTCGCGAAACAAACCGGTCTCGTTGGGTCCAGCGCCCGTGTCAATGAGACCAATGGCTCGAAATACCCTCTCGCCGCAGGTTCACTCGAAGCTGGTTCGTTCGCAATCGTCCACATCACAACAGACGGGTGGTTCTTGTCACGAGCCACGAGCTCTCGGATAGCCTGTGCATGTGTTTCTCGCGTCTCGTCATTGCAAGCTTCGGGACAGAATGTGGGCGGCGGTTTAAGGCCGAACATGCCTGCGATGATTCCCAGATTCAAACCTACGGCGGGAGTCTCGTTGATGACGACGATCCCGTGCCGATCAGCGTATTCGAGAACTTCCTCCGCGTAAGGGTAGTGAGCCGTCCGGAAGGAGTTGGCGCCCATCCAGGACATGAGGTTGAAATCGTGTATCATGTATGCCGGGTCGAAGCCTTTGCCGCGAATAGGGGTGTCCTCGTGCTTGCCGAAGCCGGTGAAGTAGAAAGGCTCGCCGTTGATGAGAAAGCGGTTCCTTTCGACTTTGACCGAGCGCACACCCACCGCTAGTTCATAGGTGTCGAGTGCCTCGTTTGTTCCGTTTTCTGGCAGAATTTCTGCTTTAAGTTGGTAAAGATATGCCGCTCCGGGTTGCCAGAGGTGTACAGACTCGATTCTAATCTGTCCTCGGCTTTTGATCGCAGAACCAACGACAGCCCCATTTTCGTCTCTGAGAGACACTTTAATCCGAGTTTCTTCAATAGGCTGCGATGTTTCAATCACATATTCCACGATACCCGTACCATCATCGACAGTCGTCACAACAGTCATGTCGCTGACAGAGACAGGCGGGACCGCGCAAAGCCATGCCGACCGCGCAATGCCGGCATAATTGAAAAAGTCATGCTGGTAATGCTGTTTCCGTTTTCCACTGGCGAGCGTTTCAACCCTGCCAGGAGGGATCGTTTGGAAGGTCAGTTCGTTGCTCACACCTACCGTGAGGCGGAAACTCTGTCCTGGTTTCACCAGGTCTGTAATGTTGGCCTCGAATGGAGTATATCCGCCAGAATGTTCTGCCACGAGCTTTTCGTCGACGTAGATCCGTCCATGGTGTGTCACGGAATCGAACCGCAAGAAGTACCGCTGACCGACCCAGCTTCGAGGGACAGTCACTTGCTTCTGGTAATATACCCATCCTACATGATCGCGAATTTTTTGATCGACGAATATGTCGTTGTAACTGGCAGGCACAGGCACCTGGAGCGTTGGCGGGATCAGTTTGTTCCAAGGTGCTGTTTCTTCATCATTGGATGAATAGTGTACAGCAAAATTCCAGATGCCGTCCAAAGAGACGAGCTCTCGAGTGAAATTGGATTGCGGCTTGAGCATGGCTGGCAGTAGGGGCTAAATAATTATGGTTCGGTGTTCAATTGATCGATAAGTTACGTGCTACGTGGGTCGTTGTTGAGATAGAACGTCGATATCGCAACTGTTTCCGCACTATAGATTTGTTTATAGATGTTTGGGTTGTTTGTTCAACGTCGGAACAGCCGCGCCAGCACCGGCCGGTGCAGGCGCCGACTACCGTCCACAAGTACCGGCTTTTCCGTTCCGCATTATCCTCCACCTCGGCACCCCACCTCGTCCATACTACCACCTGTGCCGCAACAATGCATCAAGGCACCAAAGAGGCAGGATCGACGGCTTGTTTCACGATCACGATGTGATACAAGCATCTTTCGTGATTCTCACGTGATTGAAGATTTGCGCAAATAAAACACATGTTGAGTTCATTTCAAGCCCTTGATCGATTTACGGTTTCTAGAAAATTGCGACTTTCGACGTTAACGAATAGGCAACCCGTTCAAGTCGTAGAGCGCGGCGCTGGCGGCTACCAAACGCCGTGTCACTATACTGGGGGATTGTAGGCATGTCGATCGGAATTTCCGGGCCCGGGCGGGCAGCGGGTGTCCGTTTGATAAATTACCGAAGTAGAGTTTGGGCGCGCGCAGCATCTGACGCAGGAGAATCCCACGGGTTTAATATTCGCGGCTGTCCTATTAGGCTTCTGACCTTCGTTGGCTGACCTGTATGTGTTGATTAGCCCAAACTTAGAGTGAAAAGGTTTTGGCCGGAAAGCCAAAGGTGCGGTATGAAGTTCCACGCACTTTTGTCTGTATACAAGATCAGATGATGATCGTTTCAATTCAGAGCATAAAGTGTTCAGTAAACATCTGTGAGCAGAAGACTTTAGGTTATATCCCCTCTCTTATAAGTCTGGCCCAACAAGGGAATCACAATTGTCACTGGGTCCATGTGTTTCGCTGTCCAAGTCTTTGGTTGTTTGGAGCATTTCAACATTTCGTGTTCGATTGGCTAATCGACTCCAACGACAGCGCAAAGCACTTTACCGTGCCAATTAAAATGACGCAAGTAGGACGCTGGAAACAGACCTCACTCTTTAGGCCAGGGCATCTTATGTCTCTGAGTAAAGTAGTGTTCTCCAACTTGTTGGCCGCCTTATACAACTGAACTTCCGATGCGGGCTACGCCTCTAGAATCGAAGCTCAAGGAAGGGTCCTCAACACTCCCCATCTTCTTCAGGCACAAAAATAGCTTGCATCATTTCTGACGCGTGAAACCTGCTCCTGTCAGGCATCATCCGTACTGGGGTGGAAATTACGCAACCCTTGACAAAGAGCCTCGGTTACAAGAGAGCGGATCTGGACCCACCCACTAGGAGCTTATTTGTAACTATTCGCTCTCTCTCTGGCCAGGAAAAAAAACCGCACCCATTTTCGAGGTCGGTAGTTATGGCTCCTAGACTAGGGTTACAATGGCCGCACAACCGATGAAGTGGAATCAACGGGTTGATAGAGCCCCATGCTGGCCTCGACGTCAACAACAACATGCACAGCTCACAGCGAGCTCATCCCCGATGGCACAATTGGCTAGCGCGTCAGACTGTTAATCTGGAGGTTGGTGGTTCGAGCCCACCTCGGGGAGTTCAAGTGGTTAAATTCCACAGCTGTTGAATCAACTTTTGTTTTTGAAAGGCCCGGTACCAAGGTGGAAATCGTTATCAAATAGAACAGCCGTCTTTTGGTGGTTTATCATCACGGCCGCGTCATGTCCTTCCGCTGGGTATCTAACCTGTTAATTTTAAATGTCTTTCTTTTGGGCTTTGCATTCCTCTTTTTTGTCCAATAGTGCTTCTTTACGGAGTCACTGCAACGTCGAATCCCAAAAATGGTATCGAACGATGATTACGTGGGTGTCATGATCTTTTCTCACAAACAGTGCCTTGAGTTGGACTGCATACTGGTGGTACAGTATGACTCCAAACTGACCGCCTCTTTGCTTTTTTGCTCACTTGACACTGTTCGTGTGGTTGTTAATATAGATTCAAATGAGGATTTTCTTGGCCGAAATCGGACTAGGGGATATTTGATTGGGCCAATGCTTGACGAAACAGCAAATATTTCTCATGGGCACTGACTGGCACATGTCCTCGGGAGAAACCCACCACATTCCAGTGGGTGTCAGGAATGACAGTTTAGTCTTGTCGAGTACTGTTGATTGGCCCAGACTCTGGCACTAAGTGCCGGTCTTAAACTGTTGGGGTCAGTCCGGTCCTCAGCCGCGTTCCCGCGACTCCTCTACCCCAAACTAAACATTAGTTAGCCCGACGGCATCCAATGGCATTAAGATCACGCCGTCCGCGGCCGCTTTGATGAGTTTATTTTGCTTCGACATAATGAATGCCAAGTGGTCACTGTTTAAAAAAGCCTGCCTGGGAATAGGCGGGGCATCGCGGGTCTGTGGTCCGTCTACGGGGGCTACCCATACTCCCATCAATCTCTTGCCACGACTTGATTGCCGCGTCCGGTAAGACGTTCGTCCTGGCTCCATCTGATAGCGTCGTCGCATATCGACCTTTGGTGGAGTTTCCCAAGCACATGGACGTCGGCTGCCCGCGGACAAACGCCACATTCAGCCCCACGCCGCCCCCGGGGGACCTCTTAAGTAGAAGGCAAATAGGATTACGGACGAATGGCCTGGCCCGAGTCCCCGACTTTATCTTTCATGTTCGAGAATATATATAACAGTCGTTCTGCCGGCCACGGATGTGTCTCCCGTGAACCTTACTCTGACGTCATCCCCATTGGCAAAAGTTCACCATGTTGGGTGCACTTTTACCTGGACGCTCTCTGAGCGATGCAGTAGCTACCAATTCAAACCCCTTGAACAACACATATCTTCTTCTTCCCATTGCGGTCACCTTTCTGTTTTACGTTCTCTACAGATGGGCTCTTCCCAAGCCCATATCCGACATTCCTCACAATGCGAGTGCTACGAAGAATCTTCTTGGAGATGTTCCATCGCTGCTAGAGGGCATGAAACGGACTGGTGAATTCCACCTTTGGATGCTGGAACAGGCCGCCAAGTATCGCTCGCCTCTGTTCCAAGTTTTCATCCGCCCTCTGGGCAAGCCGACCCTGGTGCTCTGTGACTTTAGAGAAGCACAGGACATTCTCATGAGACGGAAAGATTTCGATCGGTCTCGCGGCACTGCTGATCTTCTCGAGGGCGTCGGTCCAAACCACCATATTCACATGAAAACGGACGCAGAATGGAAGCGCCATCGGAGGCTTTTGCAGGATTTGATGTCTCCCGGCTTTCTGAACGAGGTCGCTGGCCCTGCGGTATACGCTGGCGTGCTCAAATTGATCGACCTCTGGAATGGCAAGACTCGATTGGCTGACGGTCGCCCTTTCCATGCCGAGTCGGATATTTACTACGGTGCTTTGGATGCTGTGATGGCTTTCACTTTCGGCGAAAACTTCCCCAACAGCGCGATCCGCCCGACAGCTGACGCAGTCAGGAACCTCAAAGAAGAGGACATTGACCGCCTTCGGGGTGCTTCGTCAACGGACCGTAACGGCCTTCTGAAGTTCCCTGTGGGAGAGTGTGATGAAAAGCTCACTGCGACACTGGTAGTTGCTGGATCGATCGAACACCTTATTGGATCCCCTATTCCTAGGATTAAATGGTGGTTCGTTGAGAGGAGAGCGGACGTTAGCCGAGCCATCAGCATCAAGAAAGAGTATGTCCGCGAAGAAATCTCCAAGGCAATTCAACGTCTGAAGGAAAACGGTCACGAGGAGACAAAAGTTCTGTCTGCTGTCGAGCTGGTTGTTCTCAGGGAGAAGAAGCTCGCCGAGAATGAAGGTAGGCAGCCCGGTTTCTTCAGCCCTACAATGATCGATGAGGTAAGTGATTCCTGGTTTTCCTCCGACAGCTTCTATCGAAACTCATACCGCTGCAGGTCTTTGGTGTTGTCGTTGCAGGCCACGATACGACTAGCACAACTATGTGCTGGGGAGTAAAACTTCTGGCAGACAACCCTAGAGTGCAGACAAAGTTACGAGAGGAGCTCCGAGCCGGGTTCGCGGACGCCGCGGCCGAAGGTCGAAGCCCTACCATCCACGAGATTACCAGTACCAAAATTCATTACTTGGATGCCGCCATGGAGGAGATTCTGCGTTGCGGTGGAGCTGCTGCTCTCATCGACCGAGAAGCCACATGCGACACTGAGCTTCTTGGTCATCATATCCCCAAGGGCACAGTTGTCATGCTGCTTGGTCGCGGACCTAGTATGATGAAGCCTGCATTCGATGTCGATGAGTCCAAGCGCAGCAAAAGCAGTCTCGCGGCAAAGGCCCGGGTCTGGGATGATGATGATATTAGTGAATTCAAGCCCGAGCGCTGGTTCATTGGCAACGAGGGAGAGGCATCATACGAGTTCGACCAGCAGGCGGGTCCTCAGTTGGCGTTTGGTTTGGGTACTCGGGGTTGTTTCGGAAGGAGGCTTGCTTACCTGGAGCTGAGGATCTTGGTTACGCTGATTGCGTGGAACTTTGAGCTGCTGCCTTGCCCAAAGGAGTTGTCTGGATACGGCGCCAAGGAAGGTCTTACGTATAAGCCTAAAGACTGCTATGTTCGCCTGCGCGCGGCCGAGAAATAGTAGGCCTGGCATCATCATCGGCGTTTTGGATTGCACCCATGAGCATTTGCATCATTTACTAGCATTTACTTATGCTGTCTTAGTATCAAGTCATCTCCATATACCACCTACCAAATCTCTGGCAGAGGATGTTCTCTTCTACGATTGCTTCTCAGACTGTGAATGCCATGGCCCGTAGCACAACTGTGGCGGCAAACGGCAAGCTGAATACCAATTATTACCTTGAAGTTGAACGTGATCACTTCTATTGCTGGCCTGTAGACTGAATGGCTATGAAACCATTGGCCAACGACAGCTTCCTTAACATGAATCATAATTTGCCTCGGGGTGGCCGACATTTCTATTCCAGCGAGTAATGTCTTTGATAAGGTTATTCATGTCCTGTGTTATGCTGGGGGACGGTGATGGTATATCGAAAATAATCAAACCAAGTGAAAGAAATTCGTAAACATCTTCAGAATGATAGCTCGTTTTGAACCAGTTATTACCACAAGACTCATGTCAGCTTTGTGATGCTTTAGACGAGGCGTGTGGCCTTACGCCATGTTTTTGACATTTGATCCGATTGGTATTGACCCAGTCGTCACGAAGGGAAGGCAAAACATCATATGATCAGATATTCAACGGCGAGCTGCAAACAAATATGAGTGCCTAGGAATTCAAACCGGCTTAGTGGACTTAGGCCGATGTTTAAGATTCTAGCTTTTCCACACTAGTGATTGTGTGTTTCACAGGACTGTTCTTCAGGTTGTACGGCTTCAATCACGGCCAATCAACAGACTAGCATATTTGTCAGTTACTGACATGTTTGACGTGGCGTCGAATGTTCCAGCGGAATGTTGCAAGAACAGTTACACAACAACTCTTCAGGCCGGCCCCGGGGGTTGCTCCATCGCCGATGAGGGTAGGGAGGAATGATACTTCTCCGGATGTGCGCGGCAAACTCCCGGAAATTTCACCCGCCAAGTCCCCGCAGGACCATGTTTTGTCACTGGAATGAATGAACAGTTTGCAGACAAACAGTCAAGGCTATTCGAACCAAGCCGTTAGATTCAGGCAAGACGTATCAAGTGGCTTACATGATAACGAATTGGCAGCTGAAAACAATTGTGGCGACCTGGCCATGGACATTGATGAGGATGGAGTAATATGTGCGCTTACTTACTGGTGGTCCAGGTCTCCTCAAAGACGCCGTCGACATCAAATGTACATTTCCAATCGACGAGGATCAACAGGGTGGAGCATACAAGACATTTCGAGCCGGCTAGCTGCTTCTTTTGTTTTTGTTAGATTCTTTAGAGAAGCATCAAATTAAACAACATCGGTTTCATAAACAGTAGGAAAGGATCACGACCGAGGAAGAGTATTTTAAAGAGGACATTGCCCCTTCCCTGTCCCATCCATTACACCCGACCAAACTCCAACACATCAGACATTTCCAGAACACACACTCCCTAAAAGACCTTTTGCAATCAAATTGGCAGTATGAGGACTTCATCCGCGCGCGCCGCCATCCTTGGGCTTCCGGCAGCTGTAGCAGCCGTCTGCGCCAACAACTGCGGCCGTGCCGTTGCTGGCGAAGCTAGAGACAACCCGCCTTTCATTATTCGTGAGGCCCAGTGCTCTGCCTTCGTTACAAGTACCGCCACATTTACACCCGAGTAAGTCGACTTTTACTCGCTGAATGTCTTAACCCAGGCCTGAATAATTTCACTAACAACACCTCCAGGGCGGTAACTGTCACCATTGACCCTGTCCCTACTTTCGCGACTGAGTGCGATGGCATCACCGAGTATTGGTCAGCATGCCAGTGCTTTACCGGTGTTGCCCCGACCGTCGTCACCCTTACAGTTCCGACGCCCACGGTTTACGTGACAGCAACTGTCAATGTACCTCCTGGCCCGATTGCCAGCTCTTAGATTCCTGACGACTTGCCAGTTTGTTTGTTGTTTCGTTCAATATCACCCTCAATCAAAGCTTTGAATCTCGTTCGCAAGGTTACCTACCTTCTGTAGGGAGCTCGCTGTGGAACCTCGTTTACCCTCGACCCCTTTGACTTACCCACTTTCCGCAACTTTGTTCAACACTTGCGTTAAGAAATTGGTCTTCTGCAACAAGTTCTACACTTTCCCGTGTCTCGTTTCAGCTACGAGTTTTCTTCGACGTGCTTTTCGGGTATCATCTTTCTCTAAAGCACGCATCGAGCACCGCCTATCAAGTAAACGGTTTTGCTGGGTGTTTGGCACGATGATCGAGGACAAACTCCGTCGGAGCAGCTGGGGCACTTTTCTTCAACCCTTTTTGTTTGATGCTACCCGTTGGTTCAGAATGTTGGTATTTGGCTTCTGATGCGTTAGGTTGATGGACTGGATTTATCCATCAGCATCATACAGAGGAAGATATTGATCACAGGAACAATATACTAATTGGCGGTGTTGGCATGCTAAATTCGAATACCCATGTGTCTCTACCGTGATTCTCAGGCAACCTGTTGTCAGGAAGCGATCCGCGTACGGCGCCGGGGCCTACTTTCGGTATTAGTGGGGCAGGGAGTAAAAAGGAGATATTAGGGTTATAAGCGCGGGCGCCGCGAGTCGGCGGCGCACAAGCTGGGCACAAAAAGGGGAGTCGAGGGATGTAAGAGGGGGGGCAGATTTCAGCGTTAGCACCTACCTAGACCTACCTTAGCAATATAGTCCTATCGTCCTTACTCCGTCTATTCTATTATTAATAGTCTGAAATCTCGAACCTTAAGGGAGACGGACTATTAAGCGATATAGCGGCTAATACCCGACGAGTCAACCGCGATAGCGCTTTGCTAGAGTAGCAAACGCAGACCTAACTACTTGCGTCTGACGCAGGGTTTGGATAACCCGATAACAGCCAGGCTACGCCCTCGCGTACACGAACGGCGAGCAAGCGGCTAGCCCTCCTAGAGCAACAAGAGAAGGAACTCGAGGAGGAACTTGCCGTCGCAAGGCAGGAGGCGCGGATTCGAAGCAAACTAGCTAAGCTAGCACGCCTCCGAGGTAGCGACGGAGGAGATTCCGCGCCGTCGAGACAGGGCCCCTCGCCGGCAGGGGAGCTAAAGACCTAACCCGGACTCGTACTATTACTAGCTAGCTCCGTAAGTAAATAGCTAGAAAGCATCGTAAGTAATAATACCTCGCGGCTATATCAGCCCCCGGCATTACTAACCCTAGAGTATTACGAAAAGGCTTACCGAGAATTATAAACCTTCTTATTCGATTACTATATACGTTTCGACTTATAAGTAACCTAGATATTAAGCGATAGCGATAAAGTAGCGTTCGCGATAGGTTGCTTTAAAGGCTAAGCAAAAATAGTATAGATATACTACTTTAAGGAGAAATAGTAAAACCTTTTCTTCTAAGTCTTGTTAATTATATAGAAAGAGTTTGAAGATTATCTTAAGGCGGAAGTAGTAAACCTAGGTAGCTACTTTATTAATACTATATTATAGCTTAACCGGAGCTACTAACGACTAGACTAGACGGTCGATTAATTTATAGCTATTTATAACGCTTTTAAACTTAAACTATTATATATGCTTTCGGAGGAATAACAAGTCTCCTCCCTCCTAAATAAGTTGCTATTAAGCACCTACGTAGCGATTACCTTATAGCTATTCTTCTCCTAGACGTAGGCGGAACTAATTATGCTAGCATGCCGGATCGAATAGGCAGGCCGCGATAGTCAGACTTCCTAGGCATTATAACCGCCTTACCGATAACTATAGCATGCTAAACTAGCTATATAGCTAGCAAACAAAGCCCTTAAGCTTCTTACTAAGGTAGAAGGCATAGCGATTAAGAAGGAGCCGCGGGGGGCGATTAAATGCTATAACTACGGGGAGGAAGGCTATATAGCCTTACGATATCCTAGACCCTTATAAAAACGAAGATCCTGCTATAGGTACGGCTAGACAGGTTACCTCGTAAAGCAGTATAGTTTAAGGAAATATTACTAGTATAGGAAGGCTAAGTACTTTCGGAGGTATTGCCTTAAGCTCTTAATAACGTCCCCGAACGGTATCTTAGTAGCCGTAGCAAGGGAGTAGGGGGTAAGTTAAAAGCGCTGCTTAGAGATCAGACTATAGCTATGCTTAGGCGGCTATTAGCAACCTAAGAAAGCGTTAGTAGACTTAAGGTCGGAAGCAAACCTAATTAGTACGAGTTACTTCTAAGTATATAAATCGTAACTACGTATCTACCCTAGCCTCTCGATCGTTAACGTTAATAGCAAGCTAATTCCGATATATAAAAGCTACTATGTCACAGTTCTATTAGACACAACAGTAGGGATGCCACAGTTATGGGGCTGCCAGTGTGGCTGCCAGTGGGGCTGCCACACGTGGGGCGATACTGTCGCCCTAGACCGCCCTATAGGTATATTAGACCACCTGTTCGCTAGACCTAGGATAGACCTAACCTAATAGACAACAATGACTAGAACGACTTATTAACTGTGACAAGTGGTAGCACAACCTACTTTGCGATCCCTCGCGACCTCATAGTTAATTTTTCAGCATGGGCAAATAAGCTACTTTTTTCAATCCGTTGAGAAACACCAGACCGTGGCCAATCCGCCCGCACCAGGCTAATTCTGCTGCTAACGCTGCTGCTAACGCCGACGCCGCCAATATGCGCGCACCAGCTATACTATTCGCCTCCCCTCAAGACCCTACGCGAGACCATCACCCCTCGTACCGTCAACGCCGTTATCCCTCTACGCCTACGCCAGCGTGGGACCCAACGGTATGGCCGTCAATTGACGACCTCAAGGCTATCCAGACCCGCCAACAGCGCCCAGAGCCCTGCCGGAAGTGTAGCGCTAGATTCCCCAGCAAGAACGCTCTCTTCCGCCACGTCTATGCCAATAGCTGTGGAAGCCAGTTTCGCTGTCGCATCTGCTATAGCGATTTCACATCTCGCAACGCCCTATTCCGACACCTACAACAGGGCTGCCAGCCCTCAGCCTGTAGGGCTAGAATCCCACAGCAGGAGACTGCTAAGACTACTGCCGAGACTACTGAGACTGCCGAGACTGCCGAGACTGCCGAGACTACTGCCGAGACTACTGAGACTACTGCCGAGACTACCGAGACTACTGCCGAGACTGCCGAGACTACTGCCGAGACTACTGCCGAGACTGCCGAGACTGCTGCCGAGACTGCCGGCCAGACCATAGAAGTTATAGAACGGGCTTCTGCGCCGTTTCTACAGACCCTCTTCAACGCCGCTAAGCATGCCCATATCTATACCGAAATTAGCCTCTGTATGACTATGCTACAGTCCCAACGACAACAACAGCAACTGCTTTTCCTACCAGACCCAGGGAGAAGATTCGCAGCCATAACGAACATTCAGCAACGATACGGAGTATTCTGGCCCGACGCCGACAGCAAGTACGGCAGGGAGCCTATATTCTATGACCAACAGACACTATGCTACCGAGACGTAGATCTATGGCTCTTAGCAATTGGAAGGAAAATCGTTAATCCATACGCTCGAGACGAAGTCCTCCGAGAATGGCAGAGCCTACTCAGAGGTAAAGCACTCAGCTGGTGGGAATATCACCTTAGGCCCGTGGAAAGGAACCGGTATAGGGCCCTAGGATGGTACGGCCTACAGAAGGGACTAAGTGCCCGCTTTGGGCCAACCCAACTAGTTAATTACAGCCAGCCAGCCAGCCAGCCAGACAGTTACGCCCAGCCAGACAGTTACGCCCAGCTAGTTAATTACAGCCAGCCAGCCAGCCAGCCAGACAGTTACGCCCAGCCAGACAGTTACGCCCAGCCAGTTAATTACAGCCAGCCTTAGGCATACCCCCCTATTACGCCTCGCACTAATAGAGGCCTAAGGAAGTCATGTTATTAAGCCGTTTAAAGTCATGTTTAGGCAGCCGAAACGATCGGGACGATCGTCTTTTTCGGGACGGGCACCTGTCACAGTTCTATTAGACACAACAGTAGGGATGCCACAGTTATGGGGCTGCCAGTGTGGCTGCCAGTGGGGCTGCCACACGTGGGGCGATACTGTCGCCCTAGACCGCCCTATAGGTATATTAGACCACCTGTTCGCTAGACCTAGGATAGACCTAACCTAATAGACAACAATGACTAGAACGACTTATTAACTGTGACATACTACCTCTAGATAAAAGCTAGGGATAGCAACAGAGTAGAAGAGAAGTAGCTTTACTACTTCGTAATCGCAAAGCTTATAACGCTAACTCTAATCCTCGGTATCCCGTAGCTAGAAGATTCGGACCTGATAATTAGCTAGAAGGCGAAGGCTTAGCGTTACCTTCTTTTCGAACGATACCTTAGCCTTGTCTCGACTAAGAAAGAGCTACGATAACTCGTAGTCGTAGCAATAGCATATATTATATATAGCAAGCCTATACCGACGACGCTATCGAAAAGACAAAACGATTTAGATAAAAAGTAATAGAAGGAGTTTTATAGCGAATTTAAAGATCTTTTCTTAATAGAAAAGGCTACCGAACTACTAGCCTACTCGGCTTACAAGCACCGTATTAACCTTAAAGAAGGAACTATAGCGCTATAGAGTCCTATCTACCTACTATTAGAACGAGAACTCGAGGTTTTATAAGACTATATTACGAAGGCGGAAGCATACGGATAGATTCGCCTTTTAAGTAGCCTAGCTAAGGCGCTTATTCTCTTTATACCTAAGAAGGGAGGGAAGCTACGACTTTACGTCGACTACCGCATGCTAAATAAGATCATACGCAAGGACCGTATGCTACTACCGCTTATAGGGGAGATCCTAGACTATCTATCTAGTGCGAGGGTATTTACAAAGCTAGATATTAAAAATGCTTACTATTAGGTATATATCCGCGAGGGAGACAAGTAGAAGATAGTATTTCG